TTGCCTCAGATAGCACAAATTGCATATATTCCCTACATATACTATGATACAATAGGACATTATATTTGTGGCCTTGCACACACACACACACAATCATTTAAATAGTAAATGTAAGTAAATGTACATTAAAACCACGTAACATTTTTTTTTATTGATTGAAATATTTCGCTTTATTGAGAAACAAATCTCCTTTTATTGTATAAGAAGTGAAATGAATAAAACAATGGTTACGAGGTTTCTAATATTTATATCTTTTATCGATATGAGTGAATATATATATATTAAAAACACATTATGTATAAATATGAAAGACAAAAATAAACTACATAAAAACATTGTTTCGTAATGTGGCGTAATGTAGTTTCCAAGACCAAATAAATAAAAAGTTTCTAATCAGTCAAAGTTGTTTTTATGTTTGATTACAAATTTTTTATCATTGGAAATAAATATTCGAAATTCATAATTTTTATTTAAAATTATTGTTTCTTTTTAGTGTTAAGTCATTATTTGAAAATATCAGTACTCTCTAATGGTCTAAATATGACCCGGAAAGCCCACATGATTAACTTCCAAGTGGAAACGATGAAACGATTTTTTTTGTTTTCAAAATCAATTAATATTATAATCATAATTATTATAATTGTATTATAATTGCATTGAATGAAATTAGTATATGAAAATTCGGGATTCGCAAATCGGATGCATTACAATAACTTTCCACTGGGAGGCTAATAATTCTTATAAGAATAATATTAAATTTAATTCACATTTGTGCTGAATATTATAAATAATATTGAAAATAATTCAGTTAGTGTTAGTTATCATTTGATACATCAAACACATCAATTCAACTATCTGTTTGATATTTATTATCAATTTAACACTTTGTACCAGTATGTATGTATGTTTAATATCATCAAACATATCAACGTATTCTAATACCATCAAACACTACAACACCTCATCAGGTGAATTTTTACGTACATTTATATTTACCCTACGACGTTTATTCCGCGAAACCATAATATTTCATGATAAAACATAACATTTATTTATACTCATTGAAAATAAGTACCTTAAACAAACATTATTTTTATCAGTATTTTTTGTTTACTTATCGCCGTTGAAAAATTCACAACTGCATGACAATATAAGTGTGCAAATAAAATTGTTAATTAATCTATCGAATTTATGAACTTTGTAACTGTTTACGATTTAACTTGCTTGAATTTTTATGTATATTGACGTCAATAAAATTTTCATTGACGTATTCAATGTCAATAACGATATATTTGGAGTAAAATAAAATGTGCTGAAACATTCATTTAATTCATTATAATTTTTTGTATTATTTTTTGTAAATTAAAAAAAAAGTCATAAAATAACTGATGTTCACTTGAAGTAGATTACAGGTAAATCTATTTATGAAACTAAACTTTCACTCTTTCATACATACTATAATGCTTGATAGTATTCATGGTATATTAAAACCTACATGATAAAATATATGTCATTGATCATTTCAAAATATAGCACGTAAAACAATTTTCATACTTAATAATCTTTATATCTTCGTTTATATAAATAGTTAGCGTCGATTCAAGTTCAAAAAAATATTAGAATAAATAATAGTTTAAGTGTGACGTTGCATAAATAAGTTTGATGTCGAATGTTTACTTCTTAAGAGCACATTAAGAAATTCCTTCGGCTTAAGACAGTTTGCAATTATGTACTTAAAATCACCATCTGCTTGTCAAAGATTTCTTTTTTGACGTTTTTGTTGTTGTTGGACGATAGCTACCCAAGATATATCTTACTTTTATCCTTAACAATCATTCCTTATAATCCTTTGTAGCATTCTTGAAATATTTTCCATGCTTGAATGTCTGTGGACTACTTTAGAAGATTAATGATCTTAACTGTTCATTAAAGCCGTCTATTTATTAATTTATCAATGTATTGGTATTTTTAGATTTATTTTTCGGTTACTATTTAATAAGCAAGACAGATAAAAGCTATAGCTGTGGTCGATCATGGATTTTGGAATACATAGTATTCTTTGTTTTCTTTCTAAGAAAAAGGAAGAAAACGAAACTCAGACACATAATAAGAACGTTCGTTAATCGAACTACAACCTCTGTCATAAAGTTGAACGAGAAGATTGTCCTTAGTTCACTCATCTATACGGTATATTTCCATTCATGCAAATTGCCATTAGCTCGTGAGAAACTCTCCTGGGCGTCAACTACCTGCTCCGTTTGTCGGCTGTTTTTTCACTTCCAATTCTTAACAACCTAGCACAGTTGTGTTAAATATATATATATATTATATACTTTCCCGTTAAAAAAACCACAGTATCGTACCTACCTATTTATATATTTATTCATCTAATTGTTGTTTAGAAAAATAAAATGCCTGTAAACAAATGTTTCAGTAAAATAAATAACAGAATAGTATTTTCATCATAAGATTTTAGACCAAGGCTAGATAATTTTGTTTGAGAGGCAAATGAGAAAGTTTCTGGGTCCCTGACTAAGTAATTCTCTTGTCTGCTCCGAAAAAGTCCAAGTTACCACAGCCCTGTTGTAGACCATACAAAAATTGTAAAACTTTCCTCGTTCGAAAAATATTTTAATTTATACAATGAACAACATCCTTTTCCTGGAAGGATACCTCCTACCTAGCGGCAGACTTAATGGTTAAATAAAAATAGAAGGAAAATTGTTTAGAGCTATTTATATACTGACAAATTTTTGTCGAAAGATAATAATTTAAAATATTCCAAACTTTGTGAAGAAAAATATTATATAAAATAAATAATTGTCTCGGTTTTATAATTATATTTTATCAACGATCTATACTAACTTATTCAAAGTGTAACAAATAAACAACAAAAAAACAATGTATATAATGAAAAACAGAATTTTATCAAACATTTCTTTACATAATATTTTAATTTAAACAAGTCAATTTTTTGTTTTTATTTTCCTTTTAGCACTATTAAAATATTCCACATTATAAAAGAAATATTATTAGAATTTATCTGTGTTCATACAATTAAGTGTTATTTTTGTTAAAAAAAATTATAAGATTAAAAGTTTTTATTTAGGCAGCTTTAGTTTGTAATGTTCACCTGTCTACCACGTGCCATAAATATAATTCAATCATAACAAGAGTCTGAAAAAACATGAAATTATTGAAAAAAATTCATTCGTGCTGACGATATTTGTAAATGTAATTTTTAAATCAAGATAAAATAATGCATTATTGGGTTTTTTTTAATGTATGAAATTAAAGAAAACATAAAAAATCAACTTGAATGCAGCAAGAGATTTTTTTTTTTATTTTTACAGGTATCGCTGAGCACGCGAGAAGTTTAATAAGCTGCAAACAGACCGTACCGACGTTCTAAACCTACCACCTGCCGACAGATGTTGACTTTGCCGTATTTTATATTGTCATTTTTATTTTATTTATTTATAAATTAGCATTACTAAATTTTATTTTAACTTGCTTTAGTAGACTGCAATTATTAACAAAATAACTCTAATAAATTTTAATAATTACTTTTTCAAATTAGACATTTAATTATCTTCTATCAAGCATTGTAGATTTTTAAGAGCTTTTCTAAATTAAAAAAAAATTAAATTAAGGATAATATGAAATAAATTTGAAAATTTGTTAGCCAGCTCAATCATTTTTGTGCCACAAAATTTTCGAAATGATTTTTTTAACTGCACATTATATAGCAGTAAAAACACCAACAGCACACGATTACCAGGTATTGTAGCAGGTGTTTGAAATTTTCTTCGCTAAGCAGATGTTACTAAAATCTTGCATCTTTTTATCATTTTATTCTTCCTAATGATTTTTTGCACTCTTACATTATAAAAATCAATATCTCTTATCTTATTTAAATAAAATACATGTATAAAACTCAAATTAAGGCGGATTTTATTGATACGAAACAAAAAACTTCAATTCTTATCATTTTATTTGTTGACGCCATTTTTAGCGTCATTATTTGGGCCAGCTGGCACAACTCGAGCGATAGTAGGCGTAGCGCCGTACTGTCGCCAACAAAACAAGTATGATATTACGAGATCATACTTAAAGCTGATAAAGACATATTAATAATATTGATCTTTTTAACAAATCAACTTATTTAAAATAGATTACTACTCACATTAAATTACTAAGTACATAGAAATATATACTTAAAAAAATTTGAAAAAAATTGAGAAAAAAAAAATCATCAAGAGAAAGTGCAACGGATGCACCGGAAATCATTTGTGAAGAAAATAAATTACAGAATGATAAAAACACAGCTGTGTATGTAGGTAGATACTAGTATTTCAACTCTGTAACTGTACAAATATGGTTTGCAGGATGTATGCACCTACACATTATTCCTTTATGTATAAAAGTATAAAAATGTGGTGTATATAGTTATTTCCTCTCACGGTCTTGTGGACTCGTGAGTTTATGAATGACGATCACCGTGTGGGTATCAATGAAAGATGTGTGTAATGTGGTACAACTATAAACACCTACTACCATTCTTTTAACTCAATGCATTTTCACTATTTTCTATTTTCTACTATCATTCAACTATTTCCATTAATAATCATCCATTAAGGACTTTTTTTTCAACTTATTTATCATCTAAATCAATTATTTAGCACTATAATAACTTTTTTATAGTCAAATATGTCCTAATTTACTTTGACTTATTACGTATATAGACTAATTGTCTAATAATTTTGTTAGTTTACATAATACCCATCATTATTTGGTTATATACACGATTCCATAAAATTTGTATATCGTGTATTTAACCGGTAAAAAATAAAGTTTTGATGGTTAATCATTAGTATACTTTTGTATTAAAACTTTTGCTTTTAAAATATAAAACATATACGTGCAACACATAAATATTTCTATAGAAGCAATTATTTTTGGCGACTTGAACTACTGAATAAATAAAAAAATTTCCTTACCTTAATTAACGATGAATCCGATGAATTACAGTGAACAACCTACAACAAAAAAAATTTCATTAATTCAAAACTTATAGGTACTAATTTACCGTTATAAAGCACAATAATAAAATGAGACTATTTCTTGAATTAGATATACATTATTCTACCTTTTAGAATTTTATTCCTAAAAGTTGAAAACTTATTTATAAAAAATCTAAATTTAAGCAATGATAATTTTATGTATTTTACGATTAATTATTAGTCACATTATGTTTACTGTTCAGATAATATTTGTCAAAACTCAAAATCATGTGTCTCAGCCAGAAAAACATATGGACTGATTTCCACATTAATCTTAGCCTATATTCCATTAATGAAATAGAAAGAGAAAAGCAACACACGAGCAGGGTAAATCCTAACAGATCAATAGTTTCTGTCTGGCCTCACCCCCTTGCGCTCAACTTCAGTGCCCCCATTCGCCATTGCTACTACAATTTATATTGACTTGAGATTCAACTTTGAATTTCATTATTTTTTATAATATTTTTATTTTTCTATTTCACAATATTTAATCAAGACGTCACTATCAAACAATTTTTTTAAATTCATTATTTATATAACAATGGGTTTTTTTCATTGCGTAAGAAGAAGAGTCATTCCATACCTGTGTAACGTGTACGCAGTTGACCTAATTTTATTTTTATTATCTTATAGAGATACTCTGAAAACATTATTTATCGATCTATTTTAACAATAATAAATTTCTCTCTCTCTCGCTCAATGCATACATTACAATTATATTCAATTAAATTAAAAAGTCATACCGTTATAATTATTCTAACAATTCGATGAAAATATCATTTTTAAATTCAATAAAATTAGTGTTCCAGTGATTTCGTATTAACCGCGAAATAAGTCATCATATTGGATAATATAAAATCAAATTTTATTGACATTAAAAACCAATTTATTGACACGTGTGTATTATGTTATTCGTTAATTCTACTGATTATAGATTTAATAAGATGGTGAGTTTTTTTTGTTAACTTTTTGGAATTTCATATGTCGTTAATTTATGCTAATTGATTTACGTTGTTTCTTTCATTAAAATTCTCTTATGTTGAATGAGTTTTGACTGAATTATTAATGATAATCGTCATGATACAATCGGACTTTACACTTCATTTATACTAGAGATAAATTTAGTAATAACACAAATCATAGTAATTATTTGAAAAAGTGTCATACATTATTTGATGCTTAAATTACTTTTCATACATTAATTTATTGTTTCAATATTTATTGATAACAATCTCTGAATTATGGAATGTTTATAAGGAAAATCCGTACTTCAAATAAAATTCTTATGTGCTTCTTCCCCACAATGTGTGTAATATGTACAAGTGTGCTCAATCGTGTGGATATGAATTACGTTGACGTCACTTATTTACAGTGTAAATCGTATACCGAGAAAAACTTATCGTAAATGTAGATCCAGTCATAATTGAGGTTGTGAGAATTATATGATATGTCTAGTTTTGCGCCAGACATCTATCATAAGTTTGATAAACATATTAATATGATTACATGATGTGACTGTCGTCACAATCACATATAATTGGTGTTTTTACCGTCATAAAAAATAAAATTTAATTGACAAATTTATGGTTAATTACCAAACAGAAAAACAAATTGGTCAAAACCACTAAGAATTTTTTATCTTTATCTATTTTTTTTTAATGTCAAATTAATAAATAAAGAATTTTTTTTAATAATTATCATTTTTGTTACTGTAGTAAATAATGAAAATATAATATTTCAGTAAAATAACCTAGTACAACCAGTCTGTGGTAGAATAGAGAATAGCAACAAATCCCTACTCGTACTCGCTGAGGGGGTGGCGTAGTACTTGACAAGCAAAAGAACAGAGTTTATCGACCACTGACGTCATCCACCCCTACTATACTCTGCAACGTCACGTTTTACGTTTTACTGCATTTTACTACGTATATTTGAGGGAGAGGGAGAGCAGGCAAGCAACCTACATAAATCAGGAACGATCTCATTTTTGTTTTTTTTTCATTACCTTCGATGGTGTAATTTTTTTTTCCAACGTTCATCAAATTTTCTTCTATCTTTTACCTGATCTTTATACATCAAGTCGAAATCTACTAAAATCTCTGCAAACAAGTTTAAACCATCATGTCCCTTTAACATTATTAATTAATGTTAAAGGGACATGACAGTTAACTGATTTAGTTGTGTACATATGATTATTATGAAAGTGAGTGTATAAGAGCTTTCTCTTGATTTAAAATCAGAATGAATTACTTGAGTTATATACACTTTCATATGATTATAATTATATCTAAAGTCAAAAGAAGTTTTAATAGACACTTCATTTATGAATGACATATTTTTGAAGATAATTTATTTTCAAAAACCTCATAAATAAAGTAGTTGTAAGTATCATAAAAAAGATAACAATAATAATCAATTTATTTAATGTACATTATTGCTAAATATTGCCGGATGTTAAAATCAAGATTATGCTCCATTTTCTCTTTGAGACCTATTATATATTTAATAATTAAAACTATTTTTATACGATCATAATGACTATTTGACATTTATATTTAATTAAAATCCAAACATTTATCAGAATGAAACAATGTGACAATATAAGCAGTCACGGTTATGATTTTTTTTACATGCAATGTTGGTGGTATATAATGATTTCGAAGCAACCATTTTGCGACACTTGGATATTATACGCAATATTAGTAACAACGGAATAAGTTTCATAAAGTTATGAAATTAAAATTGTTTTGGATTAATATTTTTTTTAGTTTTATTTCATATATTGTACGCATTGAAGCTCTAGTTTCTGATAGTTTAACTAAGATCCTTCGAGGAAATTATAACAAGTAATATAAATAAATAAAACAAATACAATTTTCCTCATTCAATCAAGTTATTATTTTTGTCTGTTTAATATTCTAGCATAAGAATACCTCTGCTTTTGAATCAATTATGCAACGAATCACAAGGAGATGATGGTGTATTACGAGACGCGTGTTATGGGTGTTTTTTTCGAGCAACCAACAGACCACCAGGTTATCCATTGCTTTTGGCTATGTCTAATTGTGGAGATCTTTATCTGGATAATACTAATTATGGTTCGTGTCAAGCATATTTAAGAGTAAGTTTAATATAATATTTACAATAATAATATATTGCCATGAAAAAAAAAATTTCACTGAAAAAATTTATTCAGACATCATCAGAGTACCCAGGACAAACATATTCAATTAAATATTTGAATATTTCATATCTATAATGAATTAAAGAGAAAATGGGACAAAATAAACCCTTCAAAATTTTATTGATTTATAGGGAAATTTATTGCCATATTTTCTTATATTTAATCAAAAAAAACGTGAGCCATCTCACCCTAAATTGTCCCAAGTTTATTGATTGAATTAAATATTATTTTCTATAAAATTTTGAGAAAATATTTCATCAATTAATTATTTTTCTTCTAATAGTATATTACAACACAATATTGATAATGATACTATTTATTGTGTTAAAGAATGCATCAAGAAATATCGACATTCGATCAAGCCCATCAATAATTTATTGTACATTTTTGGAATGTATTCGTCAAGTCAACAAGGATTCCCTGGTAACGTAAACATATATATTTGTTAATTAGTTGTATATTTTCATTCGTCACTCTTACATGTTTACATATAAATGTATATATAAACAATATTTTTGCTCAGATTTCTTTATTAGCACTAGTTTCACATATTTAGCATATATTTCACCATACATTATCACATGGAAGTTTCTAATTTTAATTTTCCCTCGACTATTTTACACCATAAAAATGCCATTCAGCTTAATTCACAAAAACTGTAAATAAATGTATGCAGGAAGCTCGAGCATTTTCGAATCGAAGATCTAGATCAAGTAAATCTACCTTAATATCAAAATTCAACCCTTTAGCAACTTTTTGGCCACAATATGTTGTAGCTCAACGCGCTATTTGTATTATAAATGCCAACCGTAGAACTATTCTTCCATTTACTATTAGACCTGATGCAGAACCTATCTCTCCTCGGTGGTAAATAATGATGTATATATAGATAACCAATATGATCATTTTCAATATCATAACATTTGAATAATTGATTATAGATTCGTACGTGTGTGGGTGAAGCTCTTGACATGATATCCAATTTTACAGTGAATGACATCCAACTTGCTCAACTTTTTGTTAATACAACAGCTTGTATTCTAGCTAAGACACGTTGTGGAATAATGAATCCAATTACCGGAGTCTATCAAGATGGTATTGATGCATCAACTAAACTTTCAATACCTAGTATGAATGCCATTCTAGTTAATTCCAACTACGACATAAACATTATTCAATTGCCATTTGGTACTGGAGTTATTGATGAATGTGCCAAGTACAGAAATGTTGAGCAAGCTACTTGGCCAAGTGTTCAATGTTAAAATACTTGTATTTTTTTTTTAATGTTACCACAATTTGATAAAATAAAATTTTTATTTTAGATTATTAATAATTGAAAATTTTTTACATGTAGTAGTAAGATAAAAGTCATCAAGTATTCTGTAGATATTGATATTTTCCCCTGATGTTTCCAGTGCGTCATTTAGACACTCCATGAAAACAATTGATAATATAAACAGATTGAACGATAAACAGCCAGCTTTCTATCGAAGAGCTAAAAAATAATTATATCTCTCTAATTTTAAATTTGATCATCTTCGTGGAAATGTCCATCCATTAAACTGTTTACTCGATAGATGATATAAACAATATTAAAATAAGCTAAAGAATGACAAATATCATGATAGTTTCTACGGAAGAAATGTTACTTCTTTATTAAGCACACATTCCACCAACGTCATCAAACTAAAAATAACTCAAATCATCATATCATGGCGGTGAAATCATCAGTTTATATAGATGACATCGTATTGAATAAAGTTGAAAGATAGAAGAAAGATGATCATCACGTAATACATAGTATGTATTAAACAGATGATCATTTATATCATTTACCAGCTAAACTTACTAAAACATCTGCTAATATAATATTTGAAATTTAATATACATTAACAATCAAAAATAATTTTCTTACTTTTGTTGATTGACATAGCATACAATAAACAACCGTATAAATTTCAATGACATAATAATAATTATTTAGTAGACGAAAATATTGAAAAATCCAAAAATATAAATGTGTAATGTTTAATTATATGAATTTGACCTAAATTGAAAATCATAGAATTTATTGAGCTATGTGCAAAAACAAAAAAGAGTTGAACATTTATATGTATGTATCTTGATAAGCTGAAATAATCATCATTAGATGGAGACATTTTAGATACATTGATACTGTTTAGTAGAGCAGATGATGAAGTATGTACGTCAACGAATGACGTCATTTGCAGAGGTCAATGAACTACGTATCCTGCACATTTGTACATTACGTAATCGTCCTCGCCGATAGCTATATACATATACTTACTATATCACGTTTACTGCATTTTTCTTCTTTTAAATAAATTCGTTAGAAATAAACATTATCATTCGGACACAATTGATCACAAAATTATTTAGTCAATTGTCCAAGAAAATACATTATTGTAAAATAATATGCAGAAGAAATTAAGTTTATTTATGCAACACCCAAAACCAGCTTGTGCATTTGTATTGTAAAGAAAAACAATAACTGAATGTCATCACTCACGATTGATCTCGATTTATCAGTCATCTTCTTCTCTCATCTTTATTTATTTATTGACAGCCAAACTTTTATTTTTCACTTTTTGTAACTTAATTTACTCGTTTAATACTTTACTGTATTCGAAGGAAATTGTCCACCATGATAAAAATTGTATACAGTTCGTACCCATTAAATATATGATATACAGAGCAGAGAAAAGACTGAGAGTAGCCATGTCGTTTACAATGTCATGCCCCCGTTTCTAATATTTCATTTCCAGCAAACTAATAAGATGAAAAGAGTCGGTATAACAGTACAGTTGGCACTATCTGTTTTACCACGCAAGTTTCCTCTATTGGAAAACTTTGGTAAACTTTCTGACTTGGGCTCAGTTTTAACACAAGATTGCATTTCCATATATTGGTCTCTGTTCTCGGGTAACAAGGGAATAAAATATTTCACGTGTGTTGTTGATACATAGTAAAAGTTGTATTTTTTTTAATTTATCAATAATTAATACACTAATTAAATCATAACGATGGCAGAGTTTGTAGAGAAAAGATGTGAGGATATGATCCCTGAACTTGAACAAATGAAAAGAATTAAATTATTTGATGAAAATGAAATTCAGTAAGTAATATAGGTTATCTTTATTTCAATGTAAATTAGTTTCAAATTGAACTAAAATTTTCTCAATTAATTTTCGTAGGGAAATTGCCAAAAAACTCAAAGATCATGAATACACTATTCATCGACACACAAAACGCAAGGAAGATTATTTGAAGTATATTAAATATCAAATGAAACTTTTGAAACTCGTAAAACAGCGACGAGAGGTAATAACAATGGTAAAAGTTTTTTTTTCAATAATTTTTTTGATCAAATTTTTTAAAACTTAATTCAAAATTTAGAAATTTGGAAATACACAAAAAAAATCTGACATAGACTATTCCATAGTCAATAAAGTAAATCTTTTATACAAAGAAGCCATATCCAGATTCCAAGATGATCTCAGGTTTTGGATTGCTTACATAGAATTCTGTAAACATGTAGTAAGTATTTCAATGGACAACTTATGTTCCAAAAACTCAGACAAAAATTTTTAATAATATATATTTTTTTTCTTTATAGAATTATCATAGTAATATTGATAGAATGATTCCTAGAATGTTAAAAATTCATCAAGATAAACCAAAATGTTGGCATATTGCAGCACGTTGGCAAATAGAGGAACGAAAAAATATTCAAAGAGCTAAAGAATATCTTCTTACAGGCTTACGCTTTCATCCGGAATCTGAACTTTTATTTTCTAAAATTTTTCAGTAAGCTTAATACAAACATTGTGTTTTATATTATAATATAAAATTAGTATAGTAAGAAAAAATCACATTAATATTTTGGGATCCAAATTAATTTATTTCAGATTATTATTGAATGAAGCTGAATCAGCGACAAATACTTCTGCAGAATTAAAAAATTCCAGTGCTTCTGCATCGACCAACGATGAAGAAATACCTTTAGCTATCAAACAGGCTACTGTTATTTATCGTCAAGCATTCAAAAGGATCAAAGACATAGATTTCATCATTAATTTATTGAATATTGCCAAAAAATATAAAAATACCAAAAAATTACAAGATGAAATAGTTGGGGATATGATTAAAGAATACTCGCATAAACCACAAATGTGGGATACAATGGCCAGACGAGAGCTAGAGGGTTTAACGTATGATCCTGAAGATAACAGTAACGCAATGGAAGTTGATACAACGGAATTAGCAAGTTTGAGAGAAAGAATAAGTTACTGTGAACAAGTTTTTCAAGCTGCTGTAAAAAAAATTAAGACTGAAACAATGTGGTCTATGTATATTGATTGTCTGCTAGAAATTAATAAAGACATGACTAGTTTGCCAAATTATAAAAGAAAACTTTTGAAAAGTGCATTAATGCAAGGTCATCAAGCCAAAAAATTACAAGAAGATTATTATGTTTACTGGATTGAAATGCTAGAAAATGATAAAAAGGATGAAAATTCTCAAAGTAAACGTTATGAAGTTTTGTGTAATGCAACAGAGGCTTTGCCAAATAGTATAAAGCTTTGGTGTGCTAAACTAAAATATCTATTTAACTCTGATCAAGAAGAATTAGCATTTTCTGAATTTAATAAAGCTATAAAAATACTAGGAAGCAAGGCATTGCCTTTATGGAGGATGAAATTGCTTTACATTCAAGTAAAAAGTCCTAACAAAGTTGAAGAGTTTTTTAAAAATGCTGTACAACAAGATGAAGCAATTTCGCGTGAAATGAAACCTGATTATATAAAATGGCTGGTAGTAACAAAAGGTATAAAATTCTGTTATAATTATAACAGTACTAATATTTATGATAAAAATAATAATTATTATATTTTTTATTAGGTATTCAAATGGCCCGACATGTATATAATGAATTAAGTTTACAGCCACCAGTTTGTTTAGAACTTCATAAAGAAATGGCAGCATTAGAGCTTATTCAACCGGAAATTTGCAAACAAAATGCACGGCGTCCTCATGAAGTAGCTGCTCTTCAATTTGGCAAAAATAATACAGAAGTGTGGATTAAATATATTGTATTCGAAATGAAGTATGGCGATCCTTTAAAAGTTTCAAATATTTATCAAAGAGCTGTAAAAACTCTAAATCCAGTAGATGCTGATAACTTCATTTCAAAGTATAGCTTGATCAAAGCAAATCCAGAAACAATAGAGAGTTTATCATAACTTTAATTAAAGTTAATCAAATTAATCACTTCTATGACTCTAAAGGTATTTCATCATTCAATTTAGTTAATTGGATATTACGATTTGTTTCATTAGATTGCTGAGTACGATTACCAATTTTTAAAGTTGATCTTGAATCTAAACACATAATATCTGTCATCAATGAATGCTGTTTGTCATCTAAATTGCGATTAAGTTGAATCAATAATGATTCTAATCTATTAAATGTAGCCCTAAAAACAAATTGTAAATTAAGTATTTTATAATTTTCTAAATATAATTGAAATTTTAAAGGTATAAATATATATATTACTTTGCACAATTAATTTTATTGGTTAATTCTCTTTTAGTTTGTTCAATCTGTAAAACTTCATCTTTAAGCCCATTTTCTGATTCGTCTCGACATAGCTCATAACTAGGACGATAGGTACGACTTTCCAAACGCGTTTCAGCACATTTAAGAATATTTGTTTTTGATCGTAGAGTATCTTCAAGTCGACGTATTTCTTTCTCCACTAATTCCATCTCTTTTTCCGTTTTATTTTTTTGCCACTCCATTTCATTTTTTGATCTTTGAGTTTGATATATTCTTTTCCTCATGACATAATCGGTAATATCTTGTTGCGCTTCAATATTATTTTGTGCTGTTTTACAAGTTGTATTAAGTATTTCACAAAATGAATATGTATCTTTTATAGCATCTTCCCCTAAAGATTTCATATCTCGACACAATTCGAGCCAAGTTTCATAAGTTTTTGAGCTAAATAATACAAGTATATTGAGTTATTGTCTTTTTTTTTTTTTAAATTAATTATTTCAATTTTTTACTTACTTTTTAGAACTTTTTAAAGCGTTGGGTTTGTAGCTAATGTCGGATGAATTCTGGTTGAGATTGGCGTTATTGCTATCAATTTCAAGTGTTTCATTTTTATTCTCAATATCTAAACGTAATTTGTATTCAATTTTATCTAATTCATTTAATTTTTCCCAAGCTGCTTGAACTTTTTCTGTTAATAGCATTTTCTGTGATTCTAGTAATTTGAGCTCTTTTTTAAGTTCAATATCAGGTTCATCATATGTTAATTCTGTGCCTCGACGACAATCCCTTATTGAAATACATTGGTTCACTATTTCCAAAGGATGTTGTAGACTTTCTAGATATCGTTCAGCATCAATTTTTTTTTCATTTAGAGTTTTTTTTTCAATTATCAATAAATTTAATAATTTCGTCAAAATTTCCTGCCACTTTGTAAGTTCTATCACTCTATAAATAATCATGATTGGTATATAATACGATTTAATTGTTACTTTTGAAAATAATATTCATTTTTAAAAATAACTTACCTGTTTTCAAGTCTAATGTCATTTATATGTGTATTCCATACATTTTTAATGTTGGACTCATTTCGTAATGCTCTTGCACTATTTCGAATCTCAAACCCAGAGTTGATATTTCTATCAGTTAATTGTACCAGTTCCCATTGTTTTGCATACCAATCAGGTAAACCTAAATATTTAAAATTAATTAATAAAAAATTTATATTAACCACCAAATGTTCAATGTGATATATAGATTGAAATTTATATGTTTAATACCAAGATGTGAAGTTGGTTTTTCGTATATTGATACCGATTTAGACATTATGCAGTAAGAAAAAAATTGTATAAGACGGAAGATTAATTTTTCTTGGAAGTAAAATTTAATGAAAAAAATTCTAAGATATTAGAAGATTGTTAATCATGTTACCATAACAATTATAAATTATTTATATCGTTTACATCGTTGATTCTTATTGTCATAGTAACATGAAAGTTTGAATTTAAATTTGTTCCACGTATGGCGAAAGTATTTTTTTTTTTATTTGAAGACAACAAGTTTTCTTGAATATTACCGCCATTTATAACATGTGTAGTGAGCAAGGCTCAATTTTTTACGAGAAAAAAAATATTCACACATGTATGTCACTCTTGTCATCCACACACATACACACACACACACACACACACACACACAGAGAGGGTCTCCATTGTCATTTACATTGGCTAACCTAGCCAAACTTTGAAGAAGCAAGACATGTTACTTTATTTGCACCGTGCTTTCTGTCTAAACTTTATGTTGATTGATATGTTTTGAATTTTGGATCATTTTTATATTTATTATTTAAACAAATAAGTAAAGTAAGAATAAATATGTCTGATTCTGATACAACTGATAATATTCACAGAGTATTTAAAAATGATCCTTTGTTGTTCAAAAGTTATTTAAACAAATTTGTTACTGTAACAACAAATAATTTAAACGTTTATAATGGATTTGTTTACACAGTAGATCCAGTATCAGAGAGGTTAGTTTATTTTGTATCTAGTATAATATTTGTTTTTATTTATTTAAGTATAAAGTCTAAATTATAAATTTCTTCTTTATTATTCTAGTATTGTTCTTTTTGAATCTTGTGGTGACAATGAATTTAAAGCTAAAATAATAATGGGTCATTGCATAAAAATCATTGAAATTACTTCAGAACAAACACTGAATTTACCAACAATAAATCTACCCAACAAAAAAATGACTGAAGCTCAGTTAGCTGTAAAACGAGAAGCAATAAAGAAAAAATTAACAGAAAATTGTCTGCCAGTTATTGATGAAGGTGATGGCATCATAGAAATTAAAGGAATGGTTTTTATAGAACCACCTTATGAATTAGAAAATTGCTTTTGTGATAATCCTATTATTCTCAATCGTATTAACAATATTTTGTACGCAAATAGAGAAAGGTGATGTTTTTTATTTCAAATATAAATTATTTTTTATTAATAAAACCAACACTGTATTTTTATTGAAGGAATGTTTATTACTTTAACTAATTAAATACACCAAAAGTTTTTTGACAATTCTTTTATGGTACTAATATAAAAAAATGATTATTAAGATTTAAGTTGTTAAAAATTCGATATGCGTATGTAGATTTGTGCGCAAAGACAGAAATTTTTTTTTTCAAATCAAGTTTTCATATCAGAGATTATCTTTATAAAATAAGTTATTGTACATAATGTACAGATCAATTGCTAATTTTTTTTACGAAGGATAATTTTAACAGCATTCTTGTCAACAATATAATAGCATTTGTACTATAGCCTTTCCTAGAAATTTGCAAATTTGTGTAACTTAGGCTTAACTCTATACATATTTGTAGATAATATAATTAACAATACTGCAAAGATAGATTCGGTAAGAGTTTAAAAAATACTTAATATTGAAGTATCTTACTCCAATCAGATTTATTTTAATATATATTATTTAAAATGATTTATTTCTTTTTAAGATCGTTTTATTTGATTTTCATTAATGTTAGAGCAGTTTAATTCATTGTGAGCGTATATGTAATGTATTGTTTGACTATAAAATCAAATGAATATAATAGTTAATAGAAAGGCTGCGTGTTATATCTATTCTTCATTTGGAAAATATTTTAAACATAGTACTCTTGAAGCCATTATTCAATTAATGATTATGTATTCTCCTTTTAGCAACCAAATCATAGTCAACGATATTTTTTATTTTTTAATTAGTAATTATGAATAAAAAATATATCACAATCCTATCCAATTTTTTACTTAAATATGATAGTTTATTTAACAATTAATCAGTTATATTATTGAAAAAATATAATAAAAATGGAATAACATAATAATTGAAAATTATTTGAATAAATATAAAAATTTTATTAAAAATTAATAAATACCTGACTTTATGACTTTTCTGGTGGCTAATAAGGCTTTTCGTTTCATCCCTGATTTATGTTATATTATTACCTCAGAAAGGTAAAAAGTATATGTTAATCAATTTTTTGCAAAAATGATTGGTCATTATCACCATCAGTTCAGTATTCTATTGGATTAGGATCTCTTGGCTTTTTTGAATATTTTAATCCAATATGGTCTGCTATCTCTTCAATGTTGCTTAAAACATAATCTAATTGTTCTTTTGTATGGGCGGCTGATAAACAAAATCGAATTCTTCCAGCCATCAATGGTGTTGCTGGAAAACCAACTCCTACAGTAGCAATATTTCGCATGATCAATGTTCGAACAACTACCCCGATCTTAGAAAATAAATAAACAAGCATTGGAACAACTGGAGAATCTTCGTGTCCATAGATAATAACTCCAATCTGATTCAATCTACGTCTAAAATATCTTGTATTTCTGGCAAGTTGACTAATTCTCAATTTTCCTTCGTTACCACCTTCTTCGCCCATTATAGTTCTCATTGAAGTTATTATTTGTTGAGCAATCGGTGGAGACATTGAAGCAGCGTAAGTATGTGCGTGACTATGAATTCTTAAATGCCGTATTAACATCTAAAAGAATTTATTTAAAAATATAGCTGCTTTTTTAGTTCTTAATTTACATTGAAAAAAAAATTTCTCACCTTATTACCCGCAATGTATCCACCAGCTGAACCAAAGCTCTTTGTAAAAGTTCCCATATGTATATCAATTTCTTTAGGATCTATTCCATAATAATCACATATTCCCCGACCACTTTTACCAGTTGCTCCAATACTATGTGCTTCATCCAAATAGAGATATGATTTATATTTCTTTTTTAAAGCAACTATTTGTGGAAGATGTACGATAGAACCTTCCATTGAATATACTCCTTCGACAACGATAAATATTTTTCTCCATGGCTTTCCTGATTTAGGTTGTCCAAAAGCTATAGCCTCACGCAAACGTTCTTCTAAATGTTTAACGTCTGTAAACCATTGTATAATATGATGAAATGTTAACTTTCTCAAAATAAAAAATATTGAAAGTGAAAACTATACCATTATGTCGAAATACTTTGGTCATTGCCCCTGATAATCGCAATCCTAAGATTAAAGATGCATGATTTTTTTCATCACTCAACACTAAACATCCTGAAGTAATGAGTGATGGTATATTTAATGCATTTGTAGCAAAACCCATTCCGAAAACTATAGCATCTTCAACTTGAAGAAATTTTGCTGTTAATCTTTCCAACTCGTGATGAATAGGCATTGTTCCTAGCAATAAAATCAATTTTATAAATCGAAAAAAAAAAGAAAAATACGATCATTTATACAGGATGGTTGTTACCTAGTTCTAATCGAGTACTACAATTAGCACAGCCATATTTTTTAAGCGTCTCAATGCTTTGTTCAGCACAATTACCCTTTGATTCAGCAAATCCAAGATAATTGTAAGAACCCAAGTTTATACATGGTGTTTCTGTTCCGGTAAATCTGGTAAAACAGATGTAAGGACCTGCGTATATAGTGATACTTAGCGGATACGTTTTTTTATTTATTATTTGACTCTAAAATTTTATTCACAATTCTACATACTGGTACCATGTAATCAGTTCAAGTTAATCACTTCTGATTATTATTTTTTTTTTGATTGAATTTTTTTTGGATTTTTCAATTATTGCAAATATAATACTTGAACACATGTTACATTACTCACTCAAATGTCCAGCCATAGTCACGTGTAATTCGGTCTTTTAAAGTAACCATAGAACCCGGTACCGAACATATTGGCCGGTTCCAACAATCTCTAACTCTCCGGTATACATACCGTAGATAAAAAGTTTCAAAGCTTTCATAAAGTGGAGCATAACCCTGTAAGATAAATACATTTATTGTACTTTTTGTTACTAACAAGTGTCATTATAATAACAACAGTATTACCTTTCTATTTTGTTCTCGTGCTACTTTGGGAGCAAATAATAGTTGACTAATAAATCCAAGAAACATGAGAATGTAAAATCCAAGGTGAGTTAAGGCTGAGGTAAACAATGATTCTCGTTCAAATGATTCTTTTGATAGTGTTTTTGCAATCAAATCGTTATTATTAGCTAGGTGTTTTTCAATCTAATCAATATCAATAAATTAAAAATTATTAGATTTTTTATTTCAAATAAAAAGAATCATTATAATAAAAATGTTTATGATATGTTATGAAATAATTTTTATTCAACAACTTTAAATTTAGATTCAACTCAGTAGAATAAAGTTAAATGACTCATTCAAAGATAAGCTACTTTTTTTAATAATCATTGTTCTATATATTTTTATTTGAAAAAAACTAACCTGCACGTGACCATTCGTTTCCGGTTTAAAGTAGTCTATTTTTCCATTAATGACATTATTTTGATGTACAATAAGGCCATTTTTTACAGTTATGCCCTGTTCTTCTTCATGAATCGTAGCTGTCGTCATCCTCAGTCTTGTTGAAGTCATTTTTATGCCAATGGTTTTTTTAAAGGTGATTATTTACACAACTAAAAATGGAAGATGATAAGTGATTGATAATGAGTGAAGCTCTAATATGACCTTCTAAATAGTACAACAAAAATATATACCTACCCTGTATGTTATATGAGTGCACATGCACTCAAACTATTTGTATATTAAAAGAATAAATTTTGATTGAGGTTTTCGAGGGAAATTAAATTTTTGTAGAATTCTTTTAAGTTGAATGTCAAGAAATCTAGAAATTTCTAAACGATATTAATTTAATTTTAATAATTTTTTAATATACCAACATTACAATCAATTTATTTAATCAAAGCAAATTTTTTAACACCCAGCCAACGTTGCGCTGCTTTTATAAACCAATCACAATACTGAAGTAATCGCGTGGTATATAAAAGTGATACATGAAAATTTCAACTACTTTACTTTAAAAATAATTGTTTTCTTTAAAAAAAAATCATTTGTAAAAAGAAATTTGTTTGAAATAAATATTTGAGGTTTTTTTTTCTTTTTTCAAATATAAACATTAAACAAATAACTATAAATAAAGATTAATAATATATATAATGATGAATATAGAAATAGATCGCTGTGTAATGTGAAAAAAGTTTCATGAAAACAAAGCTTAACCTTAACACGTTCTTTTTCTCTCTCTTTTTCTTCTTCCACCGGTCGTTACCCTTCTCTTTCAACAATTTCCTAGCGGGGATTGTGGGCTATTTCGCATGTGCGCGCATACTGGCATTTGACAGTAGTTAAAGTTGAGCCAGAGTCAATGAATATAAGATAGTTAACGTTTATAAGATAGTATCAAATATAACCGGCGTCAAATCTAAAAATTTGAGCAAATAAATAATTTGAGAACAAACGTACTTTTTATATATGTGTAAAAAGTAAATGACATAACGATAATGAAAAGAAATATTATTTATATGGTTTTATATATTGAATAAATAAAGAAATTCATTGGATTGAAGAAAATTCAATGAAATAGTGACAGTTGACAACAACCTAAAAAAATTTATTTATCCTTAGAAAGAGGATTGAAAGTTAGTGAATAAAGGTGAAAATTATTTAATTTTTCATAATGGAAAAAGAGCAGTTGGCGGAATTTAATCATCAACAGTTAGACAATAATATCAATAAGACATCACTGACAGATAGTAATATCAAACGTGACTCAGACTCTATGGATGACTTTGAACATCTTGAACATCTGGCACCTTCACCTACGGATAATTCAATGCCATCCGAGTTGAATGAATCATCAGTCCAACTTATTGACGTTCCACGTGCTCCAAAAAATCTTATTGACGCAGCAGCAAAACTCGAGAAGAATCTTTTGGACTCAACAGTGTTTGATCCATCAGATGAAAAGATTTTACAACCAGTTCCAGCTACTCCGCCACCTTCTGCAGACTTAGATAAGTTCAGTGAAACAATGTCATTGGATAGTGCGCAGACGTTGGATCCATTTGAAGCATTGCAGCATCAAGTTGGTCAAGTTGACGCGAAAACTGCAACAATGGCGTTTATGGAAACTGAACGATCTGGATTTTCACCAAATATTTTGTCAACACACTCATCATCTAATTTCCATGACAATCATCTATTTGAAGGTAATACTAACGACCAAAAAGATATACCTCGTTTTACACAGATTGAACAACCTTCACTTGTAGATGATTCAAACATTAAAGAATTTATTGAGAATAAAACTATTGATGATTTTAACCTTAAACAATCTACCGATGAAAATTCTTCCAAGTCTGATATTATAAATTCTGCTAAAAAAATGGATGACAAAGAAGGAACTTGTAATAATATTTTAGATGATATTAAATCGTCTGTACTTCCTGTTCCGGAAAATCCAACTTTAATGAACTTTTCGACTGATGAATTAATGAATCATAATACTGAATCTTTAAAAGGCTCTTCCATAAATATTTTAGAAAAAGATCATGAATTTGAATCAAATAAACCTCTACCTTCAATACCAAAAGATAATTTGAACAATAAGCCAGAAGTTGATAAATTTGAAATGACAAATAATTACCTTCCATCAGATAGCCCAACATTTATGAACTTTTCAACTGACGAATCTAAAAATCATAATACTGAATCATTGAAAGTATCTTCTAAAAATAATACTGAATTTAATTCTAAAAATATAGAGAAAGAACACGATTTTGCACCAGTCAAACCACTACCTCCATTACCCAAAGAAGAATCGAAATTTTTAGAACCAGGTGTTGATACAGAAACTGGAGATTCTGAATTTGAATCAGAGCCTGAACCATCACCAGCAAAAACAGCAATACCTCCAGTAACAAGAATAACTAAACAGTTTTCTAAAGAAAGTCATTTTAAATCTTATTTACCAGAGAAAAAATATGAAGATGAAATCGCTCCCAACAAGATATTCCCGGACATAGGACTTGGTAAGATTTTTTTGAGATTATTATCATTTAAATTTAATTTAATTAAAAATTCATATAAAAGTTTTCGAATGGTAACGTTATTATTTACTTCAAATATAATGTTGAAAGTTAATTTTGTAAAGTAACTATAGTTACTTAAGTTGGGGAGCTCGATGAGTCATCAGCAACATCAATATTATTTTCGTTTTATTATTTTATTAGCTTCACCATGATTGTATTTTAATGTTTTCAAAGTTCAAAGTCTATTATATGAATTTATAATGATCAAATCGTAATATTTTATATATAAATAAGTGTTATTTATGTGTTTATTAATCTGCCTATTATTGTACAATTAAACTATTGAACAAAACGTCATACTTATGAATCATTTTCTAATGACAACAAAATATTTTAGATGTGATTTTAATATTCATACTGAGTTTATCAACTATTTTTATTCATAACAGCAACATAAAGATTCAAAAAGAAAAATCATTACGAAACAATAGTAAGGATAATTTATAAACCACTTGAGACTTTTACTTCCGCTTAGTTACAAAAAAATATTCTCCTGATGAATATTAAATAAATAAAAAACTTTTTAATGAATGAAATTCTACTCTGATAGCCAGAAGTCGTATATTGATAATAATTTAACCTCAATATGTTGTAATACACACATATTGTGCTCCAATTGATGTCAAAATACAACTCTTGTCTATCAGGGTACCTTAAAATTCATTTTTTTATATCATTGAATCATATTCTGAGTTGCTGATTAATTTATAACGATTTTGAAGGTTATTATTAGATAATATTCTTTGATGCTTGTCATTGAAACGCAATGATGCACTTGTATACTATAATCTTTTCCATAGGCACCAGAAAGTCTATTCACAATATGACGTGTTAATCTACATCATTTAAATGCATGCACAATTTATTAAGGAAAAAAAAATTACAGTTATCCACGTCTACAAGTAATAATACAAAAAATTTATAAATAGTATTAATATTTTAAAATTTGTACTATTTTTTCTCTCCCTTTTTATTATATTTATAAATCGGGTATCTAATTTAGTACAAAAAATTTATTTCTCAATTTTTTCTATAATTAACATGTTTATGTTTATATCAGATAACATTGAATTTTATCATGAAATTATATGAAAAATTGAAATTAAACAATTCAATGACATACAAGAGACAATTTATTATTTAATTTAACTTGAAGAATTTAATTGACTTTTAAATAGTATAATAATCTATGAGTATATAATATATATATATATACTCATATATTACACTATATGTATGTATATATTGTTATGATGTAAGTTTGGGTTACTAAATGAACGATGATTGATTGATAAATCGACGCCGAAAAAAACATAATGTGCGATGTATATCAAATGATTATTTTTATTTGAAAATACATTAATACGATAGATATAACATGTTATATTATCCTTATTAATATAAGCCATCAAATGCAGAGTATTGCAACGACTACAAGCACACTTCACAGACACAAACACGAACCTGTCCGAACATTTCCGAGACCGGCCATGCGCGGACAATTCCGTATAGTTACTTGTCCCGGATCGATAATGGTATTACTCAGTTTTGTCTTTGACGTATTCACGGTATTACTACGAGTTTATTAAAAGAATAGTAATATATCTCAATTTTTATATATTAATTTATTCATCAGTCAAGTTCAAATCATAACAAAGATACGTATTTGATAGATCAAAGCATCTACGCATCACGTCAGTGTCATATCATCGTAACAGCTCCACCTTTATAATCGTTCTTTGTCGTAATAATTACCGGGCGATTGACGATATCGTCTACTATTATTAAGTGTTTCAACTTTTCATCATATTTGTTAAGTGAATAGTGATATTATTGAATGATTATTTAGTTGAAAAATTGCTAAAATATCATTCAAGAGAAGTGTCAATCTAAACCTGCTCCAATCAAGTACATAATCATATATATCGAAAAAAATGGATTCAGATACAATCAGTTGTTCTTTACCTAAAAAGGATTTAAATGATGGGGAATTATGTAAAAAATCAAACTCCACTAATGGCTGTCCTTGTATTTGGAGCATCATGAATCCGCGTAAGATTCTTTTTAATACATTGGTCATGTGTATAAACGTTATATCAATGATTTCACAAAAGAAAACTCATTATTAATTTATTTTATGAGTTTCTGTTATTTTACAAATAGGTTTTGCAAAATTGACATACACTAATTCATGGAAACAATCATTTAGAATTTTTTTTTATCTAGATTAAAGTTAAATATTTTATGCAAGTCATTAATAATGATTTTTAAATGAATATTTAATGTTAGTTTTTCATATTATCGGCATAATTATACAAAAGAATATATTAATTTTATTTTTATATAATGTCACTTTTAGGGTAATTCAATTATGTCTCATAATAATTTTTGTATACTTTTCGTAATATATCTTAGGTAGATTAGATAATCATCCCAAGATCATTAATGACAATGTGATTAATGAAAGATTCTATATTTTATTAAATTTTTATCATAATTTTTTTTTTCTTTTAAATAAATAATATATTCAAACAATATACACCGAAGATGAAATTACAATAAATATAAATAATATTTTTTTTTTAGTAAAACTAAATACATGTTAATTGCTCACATAATTTCATGAAATAGCAAATTTTTACAAGGACAAATTGTTTTTTAAATCTCAACATATAATAAGACCTTTTTTAAGATTATCAAATATTGTTTTCGACGTTTAAATACGTAACTTTGATTTAATCAAAAAAATATCTATAATCTTTACCCGTTGGACTTACATTGTCCAATGTATCACGAGTATATTTATTTATACTTTCATACATATTTAATATATATATATAATCAACTAGTGTTAATTTTTTTTTTTCAAGAGTATCTCTTGAAGAGTTAATGAAAAAAATTATCCGTCAATTATGTACTTGAGTAAATTTTAACTTTCAAAAGATACAATGTTAAATCTTGTATGCCTAATATAATATATTGAAACTTTTCTAATCGATAAAACTATAAATAAGAAATGTATAATTGTCGGGATATGCACCGAGAACTTTAATATATATCATATGCATGTAGCAGCAAGTATGTCTACACAATTGTCTAGCTAAACCTGCTTACGTGAATTTCTCTATCTTTGGCATTTGAATAACAAAGATGATTTATAACTAAAAATGAAATATATTTTTTCTCTTTTTTAACAAAATTTTCTAAAAAAAGTTTTATTAGATTCTCTGATAGAAACTCATTAGTCTAATTTTTCTTTTTATTTACACTCTTATCTTTTTATGCATTTAAATATTTTATAATTAGTGTATCTATTTATATAACTTTTTCTATTTCAAATAATGGTGATGGAATGTAGAATTAACTTTGTATATAATTTTTTTCAGGTGCATGGTTTAATCCAGAAAGACTAAATCCTAAAGGTGAGTTTATTTTCGATCACTATCATGTGATACGTTTTTCAAAGACACAAAGAAAATGTACATATATACTTTAAGTAATGTTTAAATGTTTTATTCTTCATTACATATTATAAAAAATAGAATGGTTTCTGGGCCTTTGAATGTGTATGCAATAACGCATTTATTATAACAACAAAATCAATTTTTTTTCGATAAAATAGGACTCCTTGTTTCAGTTGATATTTTTCCAATTATTTGTAAGGATTATTTCTAAAATATTCCAACTTTTTGGATTTTTTTAAATTCAAAATTGTAAATATCTTAGAATTGTCAATATTTGAATATTTAGATGCATTATCATCGTTTGATGGTTGATTCTATCGAAAACTACCAAGTAGTTTCTGTTATATTTTACCTGATCTTCTACCTACTCTAGCAAAATAAGAAAGTAAGATGAAGTTTTAGGCCACTTTGCTTGCCTAAAACATTCTTCTGAGAATATGCGTGACCTTTAGAATTTGAGTATCTTAGAATTCCATTATTTTTCTAACGAATTTCTTCAAGATTACCTCTATCTTGCTTACCATCATCTTTTCTTTCAACAACTTTCTCAAAACTTTCTGACCTTCAAAATGCATCATTTGGCGCATTAGTCATGTTTGTCATGTTCTATCGTAAATCTTAAAACAAATATTTTAATGAGAATGACGTTTTGATGTAGACTGGAATATAAGTGATGTTTGGATTTCAAATATTATGTACCCATATGATAGTAAAACGAAACAAAACGCAGTCTAGGATATATCATTGCTTCATGGCTGTAACTCAACTAAATATAAACGCTCGACCAGGTTGGTTGGTGAATTGCCAACCGTGGCTAGCAGTCTCTGTTGGTTGAAGTTGACTTTAGTATGCTCATCCAGTATTCCCTACGCTTTAGAAAAGAGTAACGTAAGAGTAGAGAGGGTTTGCTGATGAGCGATATACATACTAAGTATTTATCAGTATAAAACGTGCTACGGGGGTGCTACACACCACATATCATCCTAACTCATTTTTCATTTTATTGTTTATTTTTTATTTATAAAGTTTATTATTATACTAGTGAACATATCAATATTAATAAGTATAGTTCATCATCGAATGGTTTCTCATTCAACGCTACGGAAATTCAGTAACTACGAACAGTGAATATTAATAAATACAATGGATATACTGGCAAAGTTAATTGAATTAAAGGATTTAAAATTTACGAAAGATGAGTGTAAGTAATTGCATAGAATATATATTAATAAACAGTATAAAAGATAATATAAAAATGGCGAGAAATATTTTGATAGGATTATTGAATGGGGAAGATTATAATACATTTTTTAATTTTTTGATCTGAATCCAAATGTGGAATTTACATCGACTTAAAAACCTGGCGATGATTTTAAGTGGGTCAAATTAAGTTAGCTTCATCAGAAATAAAAATAATCTTCTTGAAAATATATATTTTATCACACTTAGTTCAAAGGTTCATTTCATAATTACCAAAATTTTTTCATTTTTTGAATTGTATGAATACTACTCCAAATATAATTTCAAATATTATTTTCATTATTTTTTTGTTATTATTGTTTTTGTGTAAAAAAAGCACCAACTAGAATAGAATAATAAAAGTTGTGATAAAACATTTTTATAAAAAATGAAAACTTTTTTCATTAAATTTATTTTTGGTCGGAGTATACAAAATGGTTGATTACATAAGAAATATTTTCAGATAAATACATTTTGATCTGATTTCTATTATCTTATAATCTGATTTTCGTTCAATGTTTGAAAATTGAAAGTTTATAATAAATTTATAATTTATTGATTTCAATATTAATAAATTCATAATAATTAAAACTAATGATCTGATCATAATACTTCATTAATTTAACAACTCAATACTATGTGAATATAAATTATAAATTCTAGTAACTTTACCAGTTATTTCATTTATTCTTCTAACTTGACTCAATTTATTGATTTACAAATTATATTATAATATATTTTATTCACAATAAACAATATTTCTGTCATCGTTTGTTTTGAATGATTTTTTTTCTGGATAGACATACTAGACAAAATTCATTGATGATACTACAATAGTAGATTTTTTGTAGACAATTAACTACTTTTTTGTAGATGATTGACAAGTAAATAATGATAGGTAGTATCGGAATAGAAATATTTGCGATACCTAAGAAAAAGAATCAATAACTCATTGTTTCACGCATGCTTTTTAGCATGTATACCATGAATAGAATTTATTTTTCAACTTATAATTAATTTCAAGTCAATTAATTAATCTTCAATTTCATTGAGTAACTATTGTTTCAATTTAAAATTGTACAAAAAAATATTTCTTAAACTCAAAGATAAGACGTTTAATATCAGTGTAATAAAATTATAACTCTTTTTTATTTCTGATTTTTCAATTTTTATTTTTATTTGTCATGTTAACTTGTGTCTTTATCTTTTCTTAAATTTCACACATAACTGGTTCCTGCTTCAAAGGTTTTTTTTTCTTTTCAATTTGCTTTTGTGAGGAAGCATGTCTCCATTTTTTCCCCTTCTCTGTATCAACGGGTCTCTCTTACACTCACTCCTCAATAAGATACATACTCGTTCCTCATGCAAGTTGGCCGCTCAGTTGTACACCTAACTATCCAACGTTGCGGTCATTGTTATACTTTCACGTTCAGGTCCAAGTGAATACAGTGACTGTATTAAGTTTTGGCTTTGTGAGTTAAAGACAAATACATGTACTGAAATACTTGAAAAATACTTTTTTATATTTTCTCTTAAAAGTTGGACAAAAAATCTAAAAAACAATCACAATGGTGAAAAAAGATCGTCTTAGGAAGACTGTAGATGATTTGGTTGAGTTGGATCCTGGTGAGTTGTATAAGTCTCATAAAAATCATCTCCATAATATTTTTAATATTTAAAAAATTACATAAGATAATTCAATTCATATGAAATCAAGATGTTGACTTGAATCAATTGAGAACATATGGTTCTATCCAGATTCCACGTGTTTTAGGCGTACGTAATGGAAAGCTATTCGTTTCACTCTGTACTAAAAAAATTTATCAATGATTTTTAGTTATGTTATTTACTATAAAAAAAAAATTCAAGTATTTGCCCGAAAAAAATGCTTATGTGTTTTATTGAATTTGGAACTTTGGCAAATTTGATATTAACATATGCAAAGAGCAAAAAAAGTCTGTGTTTACTTATGATATACTATCGATATTGTAGACACCACATGAATAAATATTTATTAATATTTAATAAATTATTCAAATACATTTTTAATAAAAATGAAAAATAAAAAATTCAAATAAGCTTGGTAGACTAAGTAAATTATCTCAGCTCCTGAATTAAATTTAAGATAATTTAGCATGGTTATCTCACTTTATCTGATTATTTACTCCGATTATTATTGTTATATTGACGCTGTCAATATATTTTATAGTTTGTGAATAAAAAGTTCATTGACAAAATGATAATTAATCAAAATGTTAAGTGATATGTATGATTGGTTTTGGAGTATAAAAATGTAAAATTAAATCGTATGATCATGAGAACTGCACGATATCACTTGAAGATATGCATATATGTATATATATATAAATCATCAAAGTTAAAAATTTATTTACAATAAAAACCATAGAGAATTTAATGAAATGTCTTAAAAACTCTTTTCATTTACAGTGGCGTCACTCATTTACTGGCGTCAACCAGAAAAAACAGGACTTGTCTTCGGAATAACATTGGGAATTCTCTTTTCGCTGGCCTACTTTAGTTTGATCAGCGTTTTTTCATATGTGGCACTTCTTACTCTTGTTGGAACCATGGGATTCCGTATTTACAAAACAATTCTACAAGCAATTCAAAAAACTTCAGATGGACATCCATTCAAGTAAAAATAATTATAAAATTTACCTACCATAGTATGTAATCAGATCTAGTATGATTAACTTTTTTTAATCATTTTTCAGAGATATCCTTGAGCTTGATCTTACATTACCATCAGAGAAGGTCCATGAAGTTGCTGATATTGCCGTTGCACACGTTAATGCTGCAATTTTTGAATTACGCAGACTTTTCCTTATTGAAGATTTTATTGATTCACTTAAATTGGGTGTGGGATTATGGTGTTTGACTTACGTTGGCTCGTGGTTCAATGGAATGACTCTAATCATTATTGGTAAGTCATAAAAACTATTAAATACTAGACATTACTCATTCAGAAATTGAGTATCATTGATTAAGTTTTCAATAAATTTTTCTTATTTTATTTTACAGGAGTGGTCGCGTTATTTACACTACCTAAAGTTTATGAAACAAACAAGACACAAATTGATCAGAATTTGGCTTTAGTGCAAGGGAAAATTAATGAAATCACAGCTTAGTAAGTATTAGATATGAATAACTGATAATTGATTTATTTAGATGTTTGAAAAAATATATTTGCATGATTTATTTACTCTATTTCATTTTTTTTTATTTAACAGTATCAAAGCAGCTATTCCTCTGGGGAAGAAGGCTGAGCCTACCAAGGAGGAGTAAGATGAATGAGTAAAGAAAATGAAAAAGAATTAGAAAGAGATTAACTAAATAATTGGAAAAGAAAGTGTTACTGTGTTATGGGCTCAAAACCCTTAATTAACGAACAAAAAAACAGGGGAAATTATTGCATAATACAGGTAAATTAAAAAAAAAGGCATTTTTTTAATGTCTGTGAGCGAAAAGTAAAATTTAAATTAAGTTAACAGTTTTTAATTTTTTCAAATTAACTAATATATGAAAAATATAACCACCATGAATAGTTATCATAAAAAATGAAATGAATATCATTAGTTATTAAATAATTATTCATTACACAAGTGCAATAAAAGAAACTTTTAGAGTCCATAGTAACATTTTATTCTGATGAATGTTAAAGAAATGAAATGATTCTGATCCATAAAAATTTATTGTTTCCCGTCCTTTCATATTTCTTCTTTTCTTTTTTCTTCTTTTTCTCTTGGCCGGATTTTTAATCCGGCTCAAATATAATTGTAATCATATATTATTATGACAATTATAAAAAGCAAAACAATTATGATCATATCTTGAGAGTAGCCATTGTCACGTTGCTTGATTGTCACTTTTTATGCGTGAAACAATAATAAAGTATTTTTGTTTTGTTATAATTTTTAATACAGAAAATAATTTTTGCTATAACTGTGGTAAATATGCACGTAAATATTGTGGTTAACAACAGGAATGAAAATATATATTTAATCATAAAATTCGTAAATAATGGATTGAAATTTTATTGAAAAGTTAAAGTGTATAAACAATGCTATGATGAGCACTTTTAAGAAGTGATTGACGGCACTTTATTTTTTCTTATTTAAACGGATTATGTCTACGTTAAAAGTGCCTATAATTAGTAAAGTGCTGAAATTTATATAATCCAATTTATGTAGCACAAATGCTGCAAGTTCAGAAAAAAAATTCATATTATTAGATTTTAATATGGTGGTATATATGCTTAGTAAAATTGTTCTTCTAATGCATTGTTAGGTTTAATATTAATATGTAATTTATAGAGATTATTTGCCTATTCTGTTGGTGTGATTATTAAATTTGCAAACGAAAATTGGAAATCTTATAATTTTAAAATGTTCAGGACTGAAAAAATATCACTATATAAATATCATTATTATTATTACTATTATTATTATTATTACTATTATTACTATTGTGATTATTATATTATATTTTTAATATATATAAATATATATTTAAACATAAATATAGAAAAAAAACATCAACAGTCCAAGAGAGAAATGAAGAAAAAATTTAAGAATTATGCGTTACAATGAAACATCAGTAAAATTACAATGTTTCAATCATATACATATATTTATCACAAATACTCTACATATAAACTATTTGAATCACATGTTTTTATCAAAATGACAGTTTTTTAACTGTTGATTGTAATTTAACTATTGCTTCTTGACGTTTTCATTATTGCGTCTGCATTCGCACGATTTATTTATAAATAAATGATATAAATAAGACACAATTAATTGGTATTTTTAATTCATTTTTTTATTTCTTTTATTATTATAAATATTGAAAAATTATTTCATAGAAAAAAAGATTCTGAATGATTCGATATATAAAATGTCGAAGATTTTGAAACTGTATCTGTTATTACCACCCGTCGATTTAATTTCGTATATTTTGGTTGAATGTACATACATGTATACATATACATAGTTCTGGTATCAAAATAATCTTAAAACGCATGCGCGACCTTGAGACAAGGTGACACCGTAATATCTTCTACAGACACTCGGACTTGAAAGATCATTTGAGAGCATTTGAGTTCGGGGTGAATTACTAATAGTTAAGTTGCGCGTCTCTATCACAATCATTCACTAGCGAAGTTATACAAAACAAGTATATGAAAATTATATCAATTCATAAATTGATACTTAATAAATAAGTTCAATTAAAATACTTTTAAAATAAATAAAAATCTAAATAATCAAGATGTCCATGAGCGACGTGGACCACGAAAAGAGGAAACAAATCTCAGTAAGGGGGATTGTTGATGTTGCTAATGTAGCAAACTTTAAGAAGACTTTCAATCGGCACCTGCATTATACTCTTGTGAAAGATCGAAACGTTGCGACCACCAGAGATTATTACTTTGCGTTGGCCTACAGCGTTAAAGATAGTCTTGTTTCGAGATGGATTCGTACTCAACAATATTATTATGAAACCGATCCGAAGGTAATTTAAAATATAAATTCAGTTATTTATCTCATCATTACTATTTACTACTTTAAGTTATCATTTATCTTAACAATTTTATATTAACGTGATCTTTCATTTCACTATTAGATCAAAAACACATTTTGTAATAATTAATTAATATATTTTTATTTGTAGCAACGAAATTTTTTATTATATTTTACCAACTAATTTTGTTCATTTAACTATTATTGCCATATGAAAAATCATTATTTATGTAATATTATAAAAAACTGTTTTGTTAAAAAGTTGGCAAGTTTTGTTCTCATAAAAGATTATGTCAATGTCAAGAACTCTTGGAATTTATCCCAAAATTTAAGTTATTTTAGCCGATTCCTCTATAACTCAGTATAGAGATATGATATTATGTGTTTTTATTGTTTAAATTCAAATTATTGTAACAATTATAATAATTTATCTTTTTATACAACCTACGACAAAAGTACTTGTCGACAATTGAAATTAGGATAATCATTCTCACATAATTTTAATTTAGATTTCTTACTACTAAATTATTTTATATATTTAATTACTTTTAGAGAGTTTATTATTTATCATTGGAATATTATATGGGTCGGAGTCTCCAAAATACTATGATAAATTTGGGAATACAAGGAGCCTGTGATGAATCTATGTATCAGGTAATAAATGAAGCTTTATAATTTTTGACTATGGAAAAAACCAATACATTTAAACTATGTTAACAATGTATATAGCTAGGATTGGATATCGAAGAACTGGAAGAACTAGAAGAGGATGCAGGATTAGGAAATGGAGGTTTGGGACGTCTCGCTGCATGCTTCTTAGACAGTATGGCAACGTTGGGTCTTGCTGCATATGGTTACGGTATTCGTTATGAATATGGAATATTTGCGCAAAAAATAAAAAATGGAGAACAAGTGGAAGAACCTGATGACTGGCTTCGTTACGGAAATCCATGGGAAAAAGCAAGACCAGAATTCATGCTTCCTGTACATTTCTATGGACATGTAATTGATACTCCTGAAGGAAAGAAATGGGTTAACACACAAGTTGTTTATGCTATGCCATATGATAATCCAATTCCAGGTTACAATAACAATGTTGTAAATACTTTAAGATTGTGGTCTGCTAAATCACCGATTGAGTTCAATCTCAAATTTTTCAATGATGGTGATTATATTCAAGCTGTATTTGATCGAAACTTGGCTGAAAACATAAGTCGAGTTTTGTATCCTAATGATAATTTCTTCGAAGGTAAAGAATTACGTCTTAAGCAAGAGTACTTTATGGTAGCAGCTACTCTTCAAGATATTATTCGCCGATATAAATCAAGTAAATTTGGATCACGTGAGCATCACAGAACTGAATTCGATGAATTTCCAAATAAAGTTGCTATACAATTGAATGACACCCATCCATCACTAGCTATTCCAGAGCTTATGAGAATTCTTGTTGATATCGAAGGATTATCATGGGAAAAAGCATGGGATATAACGACTCGTACTTGTGCATATACAAATCACACTGTTCTTCCTGAGGCTTTAGAAAGATGGCCTGTGAGCATGTTAGAAAGCATTCTACCTCGTCACTTACAAATCATTTATCACATCAATTTCTTACATTTACAAGCAGTAGGAGCTAAATACCCCGGCGACCTTGATCGCCTTCGACGTATGTCTCTTGTTGAAGAGGATGGTGAGAAACGAATTAATATGGCACATTTATCAATTGTTGGTAGTCATGCGATAAATGGTGTTGCTCAAATTCATTCTGATATTTTGGCCAACAGTGTCTTTAAAGATTTCTATGAAATGCATCCTCATAAATTCCAGAACAAAACCAATGGAATTACACCCCGACGATGGTTATTATTATGCAATCCAAATCTCTCAGATGTAATTGAAGAAAAAATTGGAAGTGATTGGACAGTTCATCTTGAACAGTTGAAGGAATTGAAAAAATGGGCAAAAGATCCATCATTTCAAAGAAGTGTTGTAAAAGTGAAGCAAGAAAATAAGCTTAGATTAGCTGAATTACTTGAAAAAGATTATGGTGTCAAGGTGAATCCCGCATCGATCTTTGACATTCAAGTAAAACGTATTCATGAGTACAAACGTCAACTTCTCAATTGCTTACATATTATTACTCTCTACAATCGAATTAAAAAGAATCCTTCAGCTCCATTTGTACCAAGAACTATTATGATTGGTGGTAAAGCAGCACCTGGATATCTCCTCGCTAAAAAAATTATCAAACTTATTTGTAGCGTTGCTAATGTTGTTAACAACGATCCTATTGTTGGTGATAAATTAAAAGTCATCTTTTTAGAAAATTATCGAGTTACATTAGCTGAGAAAATAATTCCTGCGGCAGACTTGAGTGAACAAATTTCAACTGCTGGTACAGAAGCTTCAGGAACTGGAAACATGAAATTCATGGTAATATTGTATTTTTTTATATTCAATTTATATATAAATATTATAGCTAATTTGATTTTAATCTTTTAACAGTTGAACGGAGCTCTGACAATTGGTACCATGGACGGAGCAAATGTAGAAATGGCAGAAGAGATGGGAAAAGAGAATATATTCATATTCGGAATGGTTGTAGATGAAGTTGAAGACTTGAAAAAGCGTGGATACAACGCATGGGAATATTACAATAAATTACCAGAAGCAAAACAATGTATCGATCAAATTTCTGGAGGATTCTTTAGTCCGAATAATCCTGACGAATTCAAAGAGATTACTGATGTCTTGATGAAGTGGGATAGATTCTTCCTTTTGGCTGATTATGAAGACTATATCAAAACTCAAGATCGTGTTAGTCAAATGTACTTAGATCAAAATAAATGGGCAGAAATGGCAATTCACAATATTGCTTCTTCGGGTAAATTCTCATCCGATAGAACCATTATGGAATATGCTCGTGATATTTGGGGTGTTGAACCTTCCTGGAAAGCGTTACCTGATCCTCATGAGCCACGAGATATTTAAAGATCTTAAGGTTTTTGAACCTGCCTCTTAAATACATTTATAATCAATAATGTATATTGAAACTGTTACACAAGTGTATTGTATTATTACAATATCATTATGTTAATAATCTTTTATTATGAAAAGATAACAAAATATCTGAAGAATACTCTTATTATTGTCTAAAAGTTTTAATAATAGATCTATATGAATAAAATAATAATATTAATGAGTTAATTGTTATCAATTATTGTGAAATATCTAATTATCTGATTTTTTTTAAAATTTCCGTCCGCAATAAAAAACAATATTGTTACATTTATACCATGAATTAATATGATGAAATTAAATCTTCAAAGCAGTTCATACGTACACAATAATCATGTGATTAAATTCATATGCATATTCTCACCAAATATGCCACAGTTTATTAAATATATAATAAATGCATCAATATGTAGTAACCTACCCAATAAAGTTAAGAAGAATTTTTAACAATTGTTATATAATGTTGATGTATTGTTTGAATAATAATCAATAAACATTGTTGGTATTTAGTAAAATATGTCAATTTTTTTATCGTTTTAATTTACTCATTAATGAAACTATATTAATTAGAGCATAAAGTAAACAAATAACAATGATTAAAATTGCAAAATTAATTAATGTAAGATCTAATTATAATTATTTCTAATATCAATTATCGATAGTTTTTATATTTTATTGTCATTGCATTTATTCAGGTCAGAGTTTATTCTAGAACATTACTCTTTTTTGACCCTAGATGTTGAATATTTTAATTGAATTTTTATTTAATAAAAATTTTAAAACTTCGAAAGTTATTTTAAAAATATTATATATCATTTAGTATTTTTAAAATTGTTTTAGTCATCAAAAAAAAATGATATCAATGATATTTATAAATTACACGATAAAAAAAATTATCAAGTGAAACTTGATTGTTATATTATGTATGATGAGACATGATTCAAAGATTATATAGAATACTTATTGTCTATGTCAGTCACATATGTATGTAAATATATACTTATTAATCTCAGTATGACAGCTTCTGCACACTGCAGTGTAAGTGTAACAGTGTTAGAAAAATGTCGATAGAACGTAAAGAAAATGTACTTCAAAATTTTATTTATTTTGATGAAGAAACTATACCTCTAGTAAGTGAATAATTGAATAAGGCGAGAAGAATAAACTTTTTATTGTTACTGAGCAATAGTTATTTTTAAGATCTTTTTTCTTAAAAAATAGAAAAAAAACGATTAATAAATGATATTGTAGTGCGTGTTTCTCGGTTTACTGTACTGTTAGTATACGTATGTATATGTAGTGAAATAAATGTCTGTATACATACATACATTGAATATAAACTTTCAGTACATGTGTATACCGATGAGCAGTTTCCATGAATAATTCGCGCAAGATCACTTGAGTAATCATTTGAAAAAAGCGCGCCAAGTGAATTTATGTCTCGAATTGTTATTTCAACATTAACTTCAATTTATTACGTAAAATGAAGAAATAGTTGATTTGAATGTAAAACAAATTTTTAATTAATACTTTTTTTTTATATACATTTTTATATTTTAGAGGTCATCAGATTCTGTAACTCCAATTAAATTAGAACCAACATCAGCAATAGTTGTTATTGGATACATCCCCAATAATTCTACAAGGTATATTTGGTTATTTTCATTTTATCAGACAATTTAATAAATGAAAATGATCTTTAATAAAAATTAGTTTGAAAAGAAAACAATTGAATTTATATGAAATAACTGAAATATGAATAAAATAAGACAATCTGATCAAAATTATGGCTAAATAGTAAACAAATATCACATTGAAAAATTTTGGTTTTTTTTAAATTTAGATTTGCTATTAATTTAACATGCCGTACATCAGGAAATATTGCATTTCATTTCAATCCAAGATTAGATAGAGGATATATTGTGAGAAATTCTAAAGTAAAAGGATACTGGCATGAAGAAGAAACATGTTCACCATACATTTCTGCTAGCCGTCTTTTTCAACACAATAATTATTTTCATCTAATAATATTTTGTTTGTCTAAAGAATTTTACGTAAGTTTTAATTAATATTTATTTAATGAAACATTAAGTAACATTGTTGTAAATAATTATTATCAATAACTACAGGTATCTGTTAATGGTCATCATTTCTGTACATTTGCATATAGACTACCTTTAGAATCAATTATCAATTTTGAATATAATGGTGAAATTGAAGATGTACGATTTCGTCTTAAAACTCTCTGTATATACCCTGATCCCAAAATCATTCAAACATCAAAAAAATTTCAACTTTCACAACATCAACTTTTAACTGAAGATCTTGTGAGTAAACGTGAGATTGAAATGTAACAAATTATTTGAAGAATAATTTATAATTTATAATATATTTTCAGAATGTACCCATAACCGTATCTATTACAGAGGAATTTCAGTGTGGCACAAGGATATTTATTAAAGGACGATTGAAATTATTACCTCATTCTTTTTATGTAAACCTTCAAAATAGTCCATTACTCTTTCCTCATCCAGATATAGCATTACATTTAAATCCACGTTTTCAATATGGACATCAAACACCTTGTGTTGTTATGAATTGCTGGACAAATGGATCTTGGCAGCATGAAGAAAGACATGAAGGACAATTATCTTGGGGTCCTGGAAGAGACTTTCTTTTAACGTAATCATTCTTACTATAAATTGTATAATGTGATTGTTCATCTAATATTTATTTTCAGCATACGGTGCGAATATGAAGGCTATATCATTTGGTTGGGAAATAAAATGATTGGAGAATTTAAACATCGAATAAAACCTTCTGTTGTTGATACGTTACAAATAACTGGTGATGTAATGTTGTATGAGCTTGGACTGAGCTATGGTGGATAAATTAGAATGTTCCTTCAGAAAGATTAAGACTTAAGAAGCACTGCAATATTTTTTTTATTATTTTACTTAAGGAGATTAAATGAAATTTGTTAATAATTAAGTGAGCAATTTGATCATTTCAAGATTGGATTAGGTTATTCTCAAGTCAAGATAAATCAAGTCTCCTATCTCCAATATTTAATGGAGTTTTTTTTTAGTGTATATTTTTTCTTTATCCAATCTTTAAGAAATAGATCAAATTGCTCATAAATTTGTAATTAATTTTTAATTTCAATATTTCAATTCTCAATTTTTATTAAATTATTTTGATAAATTTTAAAATAATATTTTTGCATATATTATCATATAAACACACTATTAGTTTAAAAAATTTATATACATTTATATTATTCATGTAATTATATGTACTCTTATTTCATTAATTAAATAATTTTTTTCTAAATAACAATAATTTAGGGGAAATTTTTGTAAAGTATGATTTATAATTAAATCATTTAAATATCTAATTATAAGTAACTATTACAAATATTATAATCATTATAAATTTTATGATAAACAAGTAATAGCCATCAATCCAAAATTATTGCAGAATATAATGAAAAAGATACGGTCAATGGCTGTTGCTAATAATATCCACTCTAGTTGAGCTACGCTTGTCGTAGGAGAAATAATATTCTCTCTATCACCATTATCTAAATTAATATTCAATGAATTAGATCCAAATACTGAAGAATCATTTATGTGACTTTCTCTTAGCTCTTGCTCACCTGCTGGATAGGAAGCTTGAATCTAAATATACAATACAAACAGATTATTTAAATAAACTTATAACGATTATTGCATAGAATGAAAATAAAATAAATAAATGCAACTTTACTGCGTGAATAAGATCAGAGAGACCCAAATACTTTCCAGTCCAGCTGACAAGAATATTTTTTATATTACGTGGAAGTGGCTTACAGTAAGGTCGTTGGGATAAGTTTATTACTAATACAGAAATAACTAAGGATATTATTATTTGATAAAGACAGCCACTATAAAAACTTACTAAAAATAGAACAAAAAAATATTTGTTAATTTTTTTTCTTATTTCCTAACAAAATTATTTTAACACACATAATTAATTATAAAAAAAAAATAATAAAATACCTATTAATGGAGCATTAGATGAATGTGGAGGTATCTTATTGGAAAAATAAATGAGAAATATTGAAGTTATAAGCGCATTGCATCCACACATAATAAGTTTTTCTTTGCTTTTTGGAGGCAACCAAAAATTTACTAAGCTCATGATAACTATAACTGTATTATAAATATTCTAAATAAATATTCATTTTAAATAGATAAGTGAAAAAATGATTGATAAATAATACCTGCAGTTGGAGTAATAAATACAGAACTATAAAGTGGTGAATTTCTTCTAATTGTAAGAGTAAAAACGAGATGAATATATGGCTCATCAGGGCAGCATTCATATGTAGTAATATTCCTTAGTCGAGTAATTTCAACCAATTTCCATTCTGTATTTTGTATCAAGTGCACTGCTCCTTCTAGAGATGAATTACTAAGCCTCAAATCAATTTGATTACCAGGGTAAGTCCATGAACCAAGTTTAAGTGAACAAGTTTGAGTATCAAAAGGCCAAAGTCGAAGATCAAGGTCACAAAGAGCAAGAAATTGTGTAGGTGGAACCCAAAGAACTGTTCCGTCTTCATATATATGACAATGAGTATCTCCGTAATGTTCAATTGACGAGACAGCAACACTAAAAAAATTATCAATTTTATTTTTATATTATTATTGTTAATTGATAGAAATGATGCGTATATTTACTTTTTATTTTACCTGTTATAAAGAATAATATCTGGTTGCCAAACTTCATGGTTACCGACTTGTAATCTACGAAGACCACCATAGTCTGAAGAATTCCATTTAAGTTTTTCATCCATCCAAAGCTAAACAATAAAAATGATTAATATATGAGATAAGATATTATCATTTTTACATGCTCAATTACTTACCATTCTCACCCACGCTTGGACTCCTATTGCAGATTTAAATTCATCCTAGAATATTAAATAAAATTAGAAAGCTACAATAAATTGATATATTTATAAAATAGAAAAGCAATATTTTTTCAATAAATATTTCAATGAATACCATTGAAATATGAAAGATGGTCATTCCAAAATAAACACGTGTTGTGTTGTAATGTTGTGCAGGTCTTGCAAATTTGTCATATTTAAATAGTAAATCTCGTTTTAATTTATCAGTCCATGTTGCATTCCAAAGTCCGGAATCTATCAATTAAATAATAAATAAATAATTAAAAATTCAATGAAATTGATATTTAAATAAATATTATACAACTAGGTGATCAATTTAAGGGTTTAATATTTATAATTAGTGTTCTTTTAATAATTATATAAGCTAAGATTTTTGAATAAATTTAAATATGGATAAATAAATCATGAATCGAAAATATTATACACATACAGCGAATATAACACTTGAAGAATACAGAACGGATGAAATAAGCCTAAGTGGATAAACGGTAAACGTTAACTAAACTACATCATAACTACATGACGAGAAAAAAATATAATCAAACATAGATTTAGTTATAAAAACAAAAATTTTTCATTAAAGTCTTTTTTTATATAATTTTTTTTAGAATATTTAATTGTGATTAACATTTAGTGAATAATTAAATTTAATTGTAAAAAAAAAATTGAAGCAATTAATTTGTTGAAGTAGATAATTGAACTTACAACCTGCATCAACACAATGAATGTATGAACCAGTTAAAATAATATAAAAAATGTATCCAATAAAGACACCATAGAAGTAAAATATTGTATGAAACATTGCAAATGTTACAGATTACACTGATGTCTAGTTGTCACTAACAATGACATAAGGAGGATACCAGAGTTGTCGGACTACGTTCACGTGAGCTAAAATGATACTGTCATAACCAGAGCAATTCTCGTTTAAACTAAGAGGCTTAAAATTTTTTTGGTTTAAAAGTTATACCATTTTTTTATTCTAAATGAAAATAACTACAGTATTAATTACATAGAATATTAAATAGGAAAAAAAAATTATTCAATGATTGGAAATGACAAGAGACGATCATAGTTGGTTAAAATTTCGTTCACATCATATCGTTTATAAATAATTGTTATTATAATAGAGTAGAGCAATAGTTTAAAAAAAAAGATGAATAATGATGATAAAAATAAAATAAAAAATGGCAATAATCATCTATCCAAAATGGATTCAAAATTTTCCTTTCAAGATAATGATAGTCAAGATACAAAATCGGATGGTAATAATATAAATATAAATAATTTATTAAAAATTAATTGAACTAAAACTGGATTAAAATTTTTCTTTTCACCAGTTACACAAATGTCAGACAAAAAAGTTGACACAAATTCACAAACGTCAAAAAATACTCCATCCTCATCGTCATCTTCATCATCAGTTGCAAAAGCATCTAAATTTTCAGGAAATCGTCGTGTATCAGAAGCAGAAATGCAAAAACGTCACAAATGGTTACAAAAAACTCGTATAAATAGTAACAATGAAGAAAATCGAGCTAAAATTTCTTATCAGGTTCGTTTCCCAGATAACTTTAACGGACTTCATTGTGTCAAATATTCCCCAGATGGAGGAATGATTGTTAGTAGTTTTGGAACTGGAACTATTCAGGTAAGTTGTATAAATAATAATATTATCTTATTTATAATGATGATAAATTATTTCAATTTAGATAAGAAACGGAGAAACAGGAAAATTGAGGGCAACATTAAGAAATGGTTTGGACACAATGCCTCCAGTAATGTGTTGTTGTTTCAATCCTCTCCATCAAAACATACTCTATGCTTCAAGTGCTTGTGGAAATATCTTTTTGTGTACGATTAATACAAATCAATTATCACGATTTATAGAAGGTTAAGTATTTTTAATTATTTTTTATGTAATAATTATCACAAATCAATTAAATTATTTTCAGAACCAAAAAATGAAATAAATACTATTGACGTAAGTGCTAATGGAAGATATATTGTTTCGGGTGGTAAAGATGCTGCTCTAAGATTGTACGATGCTGAATCAGCTAAGGTACTTTTAATTTATAAAATGAATTAGCAATAATCTAGGAAAACATAATGATGATCATATACAGTTATTTTTTATTGCTACCTCGAAAAATGATTAATTTAAAATTGAATTTTAGTTAATTACTATTTATAAAGAAAATGAAGTAGACCTCACTGATAATCGAGTTGGAAACTATCATCGAATGCGAATATTTACTGCCAAATTTCATCATTCTTATGTCGATTTAATAGTTACTGGTGGATGGGATGATACAGTTCGAGTAATTTTTTAATTAATTTTCAGTCATGAAATTATTGATCAACTCAACACATTTTAAAAAATTTGCGATTCATTTTACAGATATGGGACACACGAATAAATACAGGATCTATCAAAGTAATAAAAGGACCACACATATGTGGAGATGCTGTAGATATGAAAGTAAATAAATCATAATTAATTAATAGTACATAATTAAACACATGGCCACAAACAATCTTCTTTTAGCTTAACTGATTGTATATAATCATTTATATTAGTAACAGCGTTAAAATTAAATAGTGAACTCATCAAATCCATTAAATTTGGCATGAAACGTTTACCTAATGTCGATTTATTAATAAATTATCATCATCACAACTATTTTGTTTCAATAATAAGAAAATACATTTATATTAATAATTAATACGTGATATTTTTATTTAGGATTCTCACATTATTACAGGATCGTGGGTGGTAAGAGGAAGTCTTCAACTATGGGATATAACAACATGTAAATTAATAGAAACCATAATGCCAGTAAATCGGCCAACAAGTTTAGATGGAGAATTTTTATATGCTTTACAATATTTCAATGGTGATCCTGAAGGAGGTCATGTTGTTGCTGGTGGATCTGGTACTGGAGCACTTGAAATAATTAATATTAAAGAAAAAAAGGTATACAATTATCAAACTGTCTGTTGATTTTAATTAAATACTATTATTAGATGTATATAAATATCTATTTAAAAAATATTCATAGGTTGTTGGAAAATTTGAGGTCACCAAAGCAATCACGACCTTAGATAGTTTCAAAACATCTATCGTTTTTGGAGGAATGGAATCAGTAATCCGTATAGCAGATTATAGTTGATGAAAGAAAAAAGATTTTTGATAGAAACTTGTCATAAAAAAACAAACAAAATCATAATTTGAACACAAATAACGTAGAAAATTAAATAAGTGATGATTGAAAAGTTTGACAGCGTTACTAACAGAGTAATTATGGAAATATTAATAATGATAGAGAGGGTAATAGAGAATTCTAACGGTGACTATAAGGTTAAGACTAATTTCAAGTGATGCCAAAGTTAAATATAAATCTGGCGTCCCAATGGGCGCCCGCGTGTATGCCTGCCAAGCCTGGACCAATGATCCAGGGATCAGTCTGTTCGTGATCTTTGACGTGAACTGGCATTTCGTTAAATGATAAAAAACGAACGATTATTTACGATTTAATTATATTTGACACAACTATATTTATTTATTTGTAATCATTTGAATTTTAGAAATTGATATTTTTTCATGTGAACTTTAGTAAAAAAATTTTATGGAATTGTATTTAACTAAGAAAAAATTATAAGTGTTATAATAATGGAAGGTGAGAAATGAAGTGAAATTAAAAATACGTATAAAAGGATATAAATCGTGAAATAATCTTTAAAAAAAATATCAAAGTTCATTGATCTATTGCATGAAAAACATCCTTCATTCGAATACGTAATTGTTTTTCTGGCATTTGGCACACATATTGAAATTAACATATATATATGTGTAAAGATGGAAAATTAATTAAAAGAAAGTTTGAAGGGGCAAAAAAAGATATTAAAGGAACTTTTTAAAACCTATTATTTCAAGTATCTGCAATATTTATTGAAAAATTTTTTGAAAGCGGTCACTTGACTAACGTTAAAAGACATACGCACATTCTCATTGGTTCTTTCACTCGACTATTTCAGTTCGATTCGCCGAGTTTTATTTTTGGAATTACAAAACATATAGAATTCGATGAATTATATTTTCATAAATCATTTGTTTCATAAAAACTCTTTCAATTTCAAAATCCGATTTCGTTGTACATTTAACATTGTAGTACTAATGGTAGTAGTAGTAGTAGTAGTAATATTAAAGAAAATTTTATTTAAATAAATTTCTAAAAATGAAAAACTTATCATCGATTTTATGAATGAATTAAATAAAGAAGTTATAATAATGATTATGAGAATACATACAAGTCACTTGAAAGCATCTTATGTGTATCAGAAGTGGATATCAAAATAGATATACATATATATTTATATAATACTAAATATAGTCACTCTATACGTGTGGTATCTGACTTGAAATTTTTCAAGATTTTTGTTTGCTCAAATCCACTCTAGTGTAGCTATGATGTATTTTAAAATTAAAAGTATATACAAGTAAATAATGATAAAATAGTTAAAACAGTATTATTTACACAGCTTACCAAGAATATTTTTTATTATTCAATTATTACTTTTGAGTTAACTGAGAATGAGTGACTGACAAGTGTATTATTTAACTTGTTTTACATGTGTAAATCTTTCATTGATTAAATAATACGTGTGATGAATATAACTAAATCGTTGAATGAATTCGTAGAATTGATTTCATGTTGCAAAATATTTTTAATCATTCGTTTGTTAAAGGAATGAAGTCAAATGGGCTACATAACAACTTTGGATTATTTTTATAAATGACAATTGAAGAAAATTCATTTCCACCGAAGGAAAAGAAATTGAAGAATAAATGTCACATCCATCTCGAATACCAGGCAGTCATGGAGGCTGGCCTGCTCATTCATCAAATAATCAAAGTCCTTTTCGACCAATGTCACCTGCATTTAGTCCAACTCTAATGTCACAATCTCCAAGTCGTTCACGTGGTCCACCTACGCCTATTCACCATCCAATATCACCTCTCACATATCCAGGAATGATACATCCAATAAGTCCGGTACCTATTGGAATGCCTATTTCACCAGGAATGTCTCCAGTTTTTGGATGTCCACCTCCTGGATTTATTCAGTGCCCCAGACCTAGATGGCCGTCTCCCGTTTCTACAGGGAATGCTGCACCTCGACCTTTTATACCACAGGTTTGTAGAATAAATTGATGTAATACCATAAATCTTTAACTAAATCAATTAACATATAAATGAATAATTATTTGAATAGAGCCCAATGGAACGCGGACTTGGAGATCCTAGCTCAGAAGCAGGTTATCATGGGTCGCCGATCCCTGGTGCTCCACCAGAATATTTAATAGCTCCATACCAATCAGGTGAATACGAATATGTTGGTGTACCATTAGAACCATTATCAACACATGATGAGGAAAACAGTGGGCCCAGCACAGCAGAAATCATTGCCAGTCAAAGTCAAGATTATGTAGACGAGAAACTGGCTGAATATCAAGCTACGATTGCCCTGCTTCAAGGTTGGTTGATTTTTTTTCTGTAATACATATCAAAAAAAATAATTACAATAGTGCTACAATTTATACTTTGATTTATCAGCAATTATATTTGTATAAATTATCGATTCTTTATAACTCCTACGCACACATATGTCTGAAGACTTGACCCAGTTGTCGCACACTGCACTCTTTACATTACTGTAGTTATTCTAAAGATTCCGTGGATATTATTAAAGTTAAATGCTAAAATACTTCTCTCTCGCTTGACTTAAATTTTCCCGTAACTATATGCTTGCATATTTATGTACATACATTCACATAATGATAATGTATGAAATTATCTTGGCGCATACGATCTGAATGAATGTGTAAAACTATTGCGCTGCGCCGACGTACCAAACGCAGTACTGAAAAGTAACAGGTGGGTGGAAGAGGATACAGCTTACGCAATATTTGTGTTGACTATGTGAAGAAAGAGAATCAAGATTGACTAGACACCATCAGTTAATATAGTTAACACTTATTTATAAATAGAGATGACGAGACACTTGTCTCCATAGTTATTCACATTTATTATCCTGTGATTTGGATTATTCATTTATTTTTTGCAACTTTTTTTTTTTCTCATTTATATGCCAACATAATCATAAATATACTTATGTTTTATTTATAACAATATCATCATAACTTTTTTATAAAAATATCTCCAAAGTTCATTTGGAATTACGTCAACTTTTTAATTGATGATCAAAGTAATCATTATCATAAAAGTATTTACTTTTAGTGATAACTTTGTATGACAAATAAGTAATTAAATGGATTAATTACAAATTTTAATATTTTTTTGTCAACAAATTTTAAAATGTTATAATAGTCAATCGTTATTGAAAGAATAATTTCATATGTCAATCGATAATAGTTATTTTATGGATAAAAAAAAAACAAAAAATAAGACATTAGGTCAAAGAGTAAAGTGCATGTTTAGATTTAAACACATTGATCAGATGAATCATGTAAATTAAGAATAGTTATATAAGACACTTGACCACGCCTATGTGTGACCCATTTCATACTATTTGTTCCTGCATTCTCATTGAATTTAGTCAAAGAATTAAAAATTTCAAAATATGCCAACTATGTAATCAATAATATTCACAACTGTAACGATAATCATCACATCTCCAATATGACAACATCAATTGAAATAATTTTCATTCAACATTTTATTTAATCTACAAACAACACTTGATAATTTTTTTTGCTAGGCAAATATTATTTTTTAAATGTCATTATTGACTATGAAGATGTTGAAAAAAATTAAAAAATATTAACATACATGTAGACAGGACCTTGACAAAGATGAAAAGATTGATCGAGTGAGTGTCCTGGGTATCGGTGGGGTAACGTCGACTTGCTGGAGCCGTGAATTGTCTGATGGTAGTATAGTGGGTAAATCATGTGCGACTGGTTTGTACAGGAGTGCTTGTTTAACGCAGTTAGTATCGAACCGGCGTTCGTCTGAACTCGACGTATGTATATTCTCCGTTTGCGCAACTGTATAATACATTTAATGTAGCTTTTTATACGAAAAAAAAAATGAAAAAAAAGTAATATATTTCAAAAGATAATGAAAATTTTTATATAAATACAATAATTGATTTATTGTGTTAATTTTTTATAGACAAATGATCAAGAAAATAATTATTACATATTTATTGATCATTTCGATAAAATATACTCCAATATTTTTATAATGAAAAATTGGATATTGATGAATTTATATACAATTTTATTTGTTAATTATATTGATTGAATAATTCATTTAAAAGTGTTATTTTAAATATTTGACAATTTTTACCGATATTTTTTTTTTTATATTAACAAATAACTGTAAACTGCGTCGTTGCAGCTGGTATTGAACCGGCATGTGCGTATTCCGTCTTTAGTCATTCCATTTTCTTACGTAAATTTCTTCAATTCTACAGTGACAATATTTTAAAATTTATCGATTATAAAGGAAAAATAATTAAGTTAAATTTTATTGTAAAAAAGAGTTAAAAAATAACATTATTTTAGCATGTGAGAATTGACAGTTTGACAGATTAAAGTGAAATTGAAACATTTTTATACAAGATTATTATAAAAAGTGTTATTTGTGCAATGAAAGAGATTAAAGGCACATTCACAAAAAGGTAACAATAGTTGAACGAAAATGTCTCGAGAGACTCCACCCAGGGGTGACAGTCCTACTAAAAACTCACCGACAGGTAGTCCAAGGACACCACGTGGCGGTCGACTAAGAGACAAAGTGAATTTTTTTGAAAATATCTGGTCCCAAGATCGTAATATAAATACAGAAGATATTGTTGAACATTATTCAAGATCCAGTACTCCAATACAAAGAAAGTTCTCATCAAGATCAAGTGATAATTCTTTCGAAGAATCATATGAACGTCTTGTAGAAGAAGGAGAATTGAATGGAGCAAAAGTGGTGAAATTTGAAAAAATAACAGTACGAAAATGTGTAAAAGAAATCACGGAGTCAAACTCATTTTTACAAGAATCAAGTCGAACTCCAAGTGAAGATTTACATGTGCTTGAAGATTCAGCTTATCAGAGTCATGGTATTCAGAGTCATGGAAGTAAATCAAGCTCAGTGACATCATTTATGAAATTCCCATCAGAAGAGAGTTTATCTTTCCAAAAAAGATACTCTTCTCCCCCACCTCTTGGACCTAACGACGATAGAGCACCATCTGAATGGTATGCTGATTATCACAATCAAACTTTCCAAAATGTATCAGCAAGATTGGATTCTGCTATAAGAAGTCGTAATGAGTATGATGCACATATTGCCGAAATAAAAGGTTAGATAATAATTTAACACATTATCCAAACACTCCTATCAACAGAGATAAGATTATATTTCTTTCCTCTGTTTTATTTTATCAAAACAACATAATAATGATGAATGAACAGAGTGTAGTAAATTAGTAGATACTATATTAATTCAAGATGAGATTTTTTTTTTTTTAAATTTCTAAAATTATCATTATCGAGTTGCATCAATTATGCACATTTAATTGATTATAACAAACAATCAGCAAATGTCGAGTAAATATTCACTTACCTATTTCTGCACATGTCTATTTTGAGTGCATATTGTCTAGGCAGATGATGAGAACTTTGCATGCAGTCAATCTGACGTCTCCACGTGGTTTCTGTCTTGATTTTATTTGTTCTGTCTCTTCTATCTCTCATTCTCTCTTACTTGCTTTCTACACCTCATACTTATCTGTAGCACATGCAATACATGAACATTAGTTTAAGACTCCAATTATCAAATATTCAAGATGTCATTATGATAACTTATTGATATGAACATTAATGAGTTATGAATTATAGTGTAACAATGTAATGCGTAATTGAAAAGGAATTAAAAATATTTAAATTTCATTTAAAAATTAGATAATATAACGTAAAAATATTTTCTAAAAGCTAATGACATTCAATTTCTAGGGTTGTGATAAGAAAATACTTTGATGACATGTCTTATATCAAAATGTTATGGTTTTTAATCGTACTTGTATTGGACGATAATCAAATTGTGTCAAGGCAGTAGTTTTACTATAATTTGATAAGATGATTTTTAAAGAGTAAATGAAATAAAAATTGCCTAGTAATTAATATACCTATGAATAATATTGTCAATATTAATCTGGCTCGTATATAGATGTGGATGATTGGTTTGCTCAAAAGGTAATAACAGAAATTTGAGATTCGTTATGGGTATCGTAATAACAAGTTAGTGGTTATCTGAAGGTGAGAATTATAAACGAGAAATTGAATGACGTAAATAAGATTGAACAACTTACAAATTTTATTTCTAAATATTATCATGTTTTAATCATGAAAATTACATGATTATGAATTTGTTATTTAGCTTTACAACAAAAATTCTAAATGACCAATACCTAATCTAACTTATTTATGGTTTGATAAAATATCACTGATTATTTTTTTTTATTTTGGACAACAAAAAATTCTCAAGGGGACAAGTCATTCAGATTCTTTTAAATTATTTGTAACCAATCTTTTTCCTAGAGATAAACATAGTCACGAAAGTATAGAAAAGTCACGAACTTGATAAAAATTACCCATAGAATCGTCCAAATAAAACTTATGCAATATCGTGATGTGATGAAAGTCTTGGTGTAGAATCTGTGAATGTTTATATATTGCTGACAAAAGTCATCTTGTAGATACGTATTATCCAGGAAGAATTATTATTTAGACTGTCTAGTTTAATGGAATGGCACTACCAGGTCGGAATTTACTCAATAAAAATGACTTGAAAAAAGACAAAGAGAATGAATGTGGATTCCAAGATACGCAGCAGATGCGACGCACGCGATCGTTACAAAATACAAGCCTTTGCACCTGGTGCGGTTCCTTTTACGACATTAACATATATAGATATATGTATATTTTAACTTATTAGCATCGATTTCCCTTTGTATGAAATTTTTTCGTTATATCAAAGCGACATTCTGTGGTATTTGACTTATATTGATAATAACAAAAATACTTTTAATTATGACAAAATAACAAATTATTTTCATTCCTTTAATTCATGTTCATAATAAGAAACTCTGATGGAATTAGTTTTTAATTGACTTCCAAGGAAATTAATCATTCCAGATTCATACGTCTTTAATTATCATCACATATCATTATACTCCAATGAATGAAATAAAAAATATTTTTAATTTATAATTACATTTTTTTATAGATAATAAATTTAATAAAAATTGTTATTTCAGAAATGAATTGGTAATTAAAAAATGATCATTCATATGATTATTAATAAATATTATTGACTTATTTGTTTATTTATTAATAATTGTATGGTTGAAATTTTTAAATTAATTTAATAAATAAAATTAAAATTTTTCAGATGAACAGGAGCGTGTACAGAAAAAAACATTCGTTAATTGGATAAACTCATATTTGTCCAAGGTAATTTTAATTGAAAAAAATTTTTCATGCATGCTCAGGTATATATATAACAACTTGAAATATTATTAAACTCACGTCATAGTGTAAATTTTACTCGATATGCTTTGAAAGTATAAGATGAAGTTGAAACTTATAAACTATATTATGGTATCTCCGTACCTGGCTCTCGATTTTCTTCCTACCAGATCCTTCAAAACTACATCCTATTCATCGTGACATGCATGTCAGCATAGACGTATCCATATAATAGCGTGCTTCTAAATACCCAGACTATCTTAAATTATTTTGTCTTTTATCAATAAGATAAAAATTGATAAACCACTTATACTACGAATCTTTATATATATTAAAATGTTTTTTCAATATTTTATCTTTTGTTTTTGATAGAGAATTCCACCACTAAGAGTAGATGATCTAATTGAAGATTTGAAAGATGGTACTCGTCTTCTTGCTTTATTGGAAGTTTTATCCGGCGAAAAATTGGTAAATTATTTATTCTATTATTTAGACAAAAGTTTTTTAATAAAGGTATCTAATTGAAATTTGTTTAATATTGTAGCCTGTTGAACGGGGAAGAAACTTAAAAAGACCACATTTTCTTAGCAATGCCAATACTGCTTTGCAATTTTTGCAAAGTAAAAAGGTAAATAATGAATACTTTGTCGATAATAATAATAAAAAAGTACTATCTAATTACATTGATAAATAATATTTTCAGATAAAATTAGTCAACATTAATTCGTCAGATCTTGTTGATGGTAGACCTCCAGTTGTATTGGGTCTGATATGGACCATTATTTTATATTTCCAGGTATAAAACCTAATTATTTATTATTAAATTAAAAAGCACTAGTTAATTGGATACTATTAGCCAATAAATAGTAGTTGAATTAGTCATCATGAACACTTTGAATAAAAAAAATTTTAATTATCGTAGTAGCACTATTTAATAAGTAATAATACATTTTTTATCAATTAATTACCACTGTAATTTAATTCATTTTATATTCTAACAAACAAGCTACGATCTAAGGATCGACAAAAGGTAATCGCTTTATTTCAATCACAAAATCAGCATTAAAATGTTTGATAAAAAAAATTTCACCCTACATGTGATAAATTTTTAATCACAGCACTGCATCTTCACAATTTAAAAAAATTAAATTAAATACTTATCAAATCATTGATATTTTTGTTTATAAATGTTCTAAAAATAATAATTATTATAATTAATTAATTCTTTTAGATTGAAGAAAACACAAAAGCCTTGGAATATCTTGGTCAAACGTGGGGAAGTCAAAGTAGTCTTGAAAGTATGGGTACTCAAAGTTCAGCAGCTAGTGAACGAAAAAGATTGAGTAGTGAAAAATGGAAACAAGGTGCAAGAAAGACTTTACTTCAATGGGTTACTAATGCGTTACCAAAGTAATTAAAAGCTTTTACTTATGTTTCATTTAATTAATTTAAAAAAAAAAAGAAATATTTAATGGATAAATAAATAATTTTAGGGAATCGGGTATCAAAGTTCGTGATTTTGGTGAAAGTTGGAGAGATGGAAATGCTTTTCTTGCCATAATTGATGTAATTAAGCAGAATTTAGTAAATATAGCTGCATTAAGAGAAGCATCTAATCGAATCCGTTTAGAAACTGCTTTTAATGTAGCTGAAGTGGAATTAGGAATAGCTCGATTACTTGATCCTGAAGATGTTGACGTTCCACAACCAGATGAAAAATCAATCATGACATATGTAGCACAATTTTTACATAAATATCCTGAACCCAAATCTAGTGGACCTGATTCATTTGGTACAATTCAACACGATTATGATTCAATGATTGCCTGGCTTAATAATCGAACAAGTTATTTAGAACAAATGGATAAAACTCATAGCTTCTCATCATCATTTGATGAATACCTTAACATCAAAAATGAATATGACGAAAGAACCTTATTATATAAAAAATTACAAAACCTTGTTGATGCTCCAAGTATGATTAGTATAACTCATGACTCTTGGAGAATAATACAAGAATTATGGAATAAGTTGACATACCTTTTATCAAAATGGGTCTGGCTTTTAGATTCTGCATTACCAGAAGAAATTGGAGAATTAGGAAGATGGTTAGCACTTGCAGAATCACTTCTTAATTCTGATAATGATATTCCTGAAGAAATGGACGAACAAACTGCTGGTATAATATCTCGAAAACTAGAAGAACATAAACAATTTTTTGCTGATTTATCCAATATGACTGATAAATTTAATCATGTTAAAAACTCACCTTTAGCTTCTAAAGTACCACCACTTCAATTAAATAATATGGCAATAAGATTTAAAAGTCTTCCCAGTTTAGCTGCAAAACGAAGGATAAAATTAAAATTTTTAGAACATAAATGTTGTTTAATTGCTTTTCTATATCTCATAGAAAATAAATTAAAAATTTGGAGTGTCAAATATGGAAGTGAAGAAGAAGTTAATCAAATGTTAGAACAATACAGAAATTTTGTTTCACGGAATCAAATTTTTCAAGAATTTCAAAAAGCTTATCTTGATATGCAACAAGTAGCTGATGAATTTAAACGTGAAGGTGATATTGATAGAGAACAACATCTTAATATTGATAGATTTATACGCGAGACTGGTGAAAAATGGAAAAGTGTATCGATGGATCTTCGGTGTATTCAAAGTATGCTTGAAGAAGTTATTGCATACTGGAGACGTTGGAACACACTATCGGATGAGTTTTCAAATTGGTTAATTAATGCAGAAAATGCCTTGAATTTTGATGATGAAGAGAAAATGGGATTCTTCCAAGATATTAGTGTGTGGAAAGATAAACAGCAACAATTATCTGATAACGTTAGTTTTTTAATAGCTACTGCTAATGAAAGTATAGCTTTACATTTACGTGATCGTTATACAGATTTAACTAATCGATGGGATAATATATTTTTGGTAGCTAAACAGTATATGCATGCCGGTGATTTATTGAGAAATTGTCAGGAATACCGAACAGGTGTTGACACCTTACATGAATGGCTTAAAAATGCTGAAAAAATGTTATCACCGTCTAAATTAACATCAATTGAACGGATTGAAGATCATATAAAAGAACTTAAAGTACTTGCTGCAGAAGAAAAAAATATTGAAGAGCTTTTCAAGAATGTCAGCAAAAAACTCCAAATGCTTATTCAAGATTTATCTAAAGAAGAAATTGAAAAAAAGATGTTAATATTGAAGAAAGAAAAAGAGACATTAGTAAAAGTTCGTGCTTTAATTCCAATGCAATTTCATCTTTGTGAACAACTCTCAGTTCAATTTGAATCATTAGAAAAAGGACGTAAGGAAATTTCGGAATGGTTAGACAAAGCTGAAAATCTTTTATCAAGTTTAAATCTTTTTAATGGACGAGATTCAACATTAAATCAATTAGAACGTCATAAGGCATTTTTCTCACGGACTCTCTATTATAAATCAATGTTAGAGTCTAAAAATAAATTGTTTTCAAGCATCGTCAAATCTGTTGATGCTCATGCAAATCCAGAAACAGCAGAAGGAGGTGAAGAATTACGTAAACTCAATGAAAGATTTAATCAAGTTATTCAGACATCACAAATAAATGAACAAAGACTTCAACAAGCAGCACGATGTTGGACTAAATTCAAAGAGTGTGAACGACAGATATCTGAATGGCTTACGGCAGCAGAAAATTTAATCAGTGATAAACGTATTGATAATTGTCAGTCAATTGATCATCATAAAAATTTCTTTAATAAAATAAATGAACGTTGGATTCAAGATCTAATAAATGCTGGGGATGATTTAAAAAATATTATACCATTGGAACAGCATGATTTCATTACAAAAATTGTAGATGAATTGCAAAATCGTTGGAAAGATGTCCTAAAATTGGCTCCTTTACATTTAATGCGATTAGAATTTCGCTTAGATGAAGCAGCTTTTATGCAATACTTGAAAGCAATCGAAGTTGAATTAAATTCTGAACAGCAAGCATTAATAAAAAATGAAGATGTTGAAAAAATTATGCAACATAATAGACAATTTTTTATTGATCAAGGTCATATTGTGAAAATAGAAGATTGTTTGAAAAAGTTGAAAAAAATAAGCATTACATACTCTCAAATGAAACCTGATGATATAAGCATGAAAGAGACTGTAGCCCATGCTGAACAACTGTGGGAAGATTCAATGCAACGTATGGAAAATATTCGAGAGCAACTTCGACAGGTTCCTGAACAATGGGCTTGTTACAGAAAAAAGTACGGTATTTACTATGAATTTTATGTAGCAAGTTATTCAACTTATAATTATTTATTTTTTTAATTTACAGATTTGATGAAATGGTAAGATGGATGGATCAAGTAGATAATACATTGAGAACAATTTTGAAAGAAGTTAATAACTTCAATGAATTTGAACGAGAGAAATCAATATTTCAGGTAATAAATTTTCTATCATTATATTTATTTAATTGTTAAATTATTATATAATCTCTTTATTGTCTTATGTCTTTACAATGGAATAGAAAAATTTAACTGTAAGTTTTTTCTATCAGTAATATAGTTGTAATGATAAATAAAATGTAGAAAAATATTTGAAATAAATTTTTCTTATTTTTATTTCTGATATAAATAAGATTTATTTAACTTTACAGAAAGCATGCCAAGAAGCTGACAGTAAAAGAGAAGACATGAAATGGCTTGTACAAGTATTGGACAGTTTAACAGCAAATCGTTCAGATCGTGAAGCAGTTACTGAGCAACATCATTTAGAAACATTGATAACTCGTTATAAAAATCTAATCCCTACAATCGAAATCACTATGACGAAAACTGATATTTATTCTAAAAGTTATACATATAAAAAAGAAGTACATGAAGTTTGTATACTTCTTAAAAAAGTTAAAGAACAAAATGTTGCTACAGAAACAACTATGAAAACTCCTGAACACTTAAAAGAAGCTGTGGTCCATCAAGAACAGAGATTGACTCAATTGGAACAACAGAGAACTAATATTGTTAGTATGCTTCAACGTGGTAAAGATTTATTGAAGGATCAGCATGTACCATCATTCGTTTCATCGGAAATACAAGAATTAGAGAATAATTGGAATGATACATATGGCCAAAGTATTGAAACTTTAAAAACATTGAAAAATTTACAAAAATTATGGCAAACTTATAATGAAGAAAAAGAGAAAATAATGACATTAATTGGAAATACAAAGAAAGAATTAGAAAAAAGTGAATTGATAAGTTTTAATGATGCTACTCAAGTTTCATCTGAATTACAATCAAAGCAAGAATTAAGTTCAACTTTGAAAAAGTCTTCTTATGAGATGTTAACGAAATTACGAGAAACATTTGATAAATTATCTGAATCAATGAAAGCTGAACAACGTCCAATTATTTATAAAGAAATAACTAAATTAGAAGAAGTGGTTGAAGTTACACTCAAAACTGTTGAAAAACGTGTTATATATTTACAAGAATATGGTAGTAGATGGTCTCAATTTCAAAATGACATTAATGAATTAAGAAATTGGGCTCAAAAGAGTGCTCCTCAGGCTATAATTAATATCCAAGATGCTTCTACATCACCTGAAGATCGATTACACAAAATAAATATTCTTCAGAAGCAAATGATTGAAAAAAAATCAATAATGAATATTTTACAAGAAGAATCAAAACAACTAATTAAAGGTGAGTGATAACAATAATTCAAACATAAAATAAAATTAATTATACATATTTTTTTTTAAATCTTTCACAATTGTTCTTTTACAGATACCAAAAGTAGTGAAACTCCTGCTATAAAAATGCAAATTGATGATCTACAAAATATTATTGACAATTTAAATGAAAATATAAAAGAGAATCAAAAAATGGTAATTGAAAATCTGGAGATTTGGAAAAAATACGAGGTAGGCATACAACAAATAAAACCATGGATTGAGCAAGCAGAAACGCAGGCAGCTTTGATAGGATTGAAACCAACGACTCTGAGTCAAGCAAAAGAAATGTTAAAAACAGCTAAAGTATTTCAACGGCAATGTGAAGAACGTTTGCCACATGTTCAAGAACTATCCCATATAAGCCATCAAATTGCCGGAAGAACAGTAGCTCCAGATGAAATCGATGCTGTGTATACACGTTGGAATGCTCTTCATGATACCTCTGTTCAAACAACTACAAAATTAGAAAAATTAGTGTCATCATGGAACAATTTTGAAAGTGAAGTTGAAGAATTTATTCAGTGGTTAGATCAAAGTGAAAAAGTATGCAAAACAGAATCAAATTATCAAACTCTTGAAGCAAACAAATTAGAACAAATTTTAAATCATTTGAAAGAATTAAATAAAGTTATTTCTAATCGACAAGCTCAGTTAATATCATTAACTCAGGTATCTGATCATATCAGTTATGGTTTATCTTTAGAAGGTGCAAATAATTTGAAAGAACGTGTAATGGAAATAAAAAATAGAGTTAACAAGCTTGCAGAAATAGTGAGACATGATATTAATTTAGTATCTGATAATTTATTAGTACGACAAGAATTCTACATGAAAATATCAGATTTTGAAAATTGGATGACTAGATTAAGAGCTAATATTGCTGAAATAAGTGAAGTTAATATTGATGATATTGATACGAATCTCCAAACAGTACATGGATTTCTTCAAGAGCATTTAGAAAAACAACCAAACTTTGTAGCAATTATTGAAGAAATAAAACAATTGACAAATCAGAGTTCACCTGAAGAAGCAAAAGTATTACATGAGATAAATAAAAATCTTACTGAAAAATATAATTTACTGGAAAAAGATTTACAACAACGTAAGAAAGGTCTTGAAAAATGGGCTGAGCTCTCAAATTGGTATAATGAAATAAGTGCACATTTAAATCATACTCAATATGAATTAGAAGCTAAGAAACCTAATATAGTTGATTTGGAAAAATTGTCGAATGAACTACAAGATATAAACCTAAAGATAGAAAAGTGGAAGGATGAAATCCCTCTTGTTGATAATTTAATGGGTATTCATATGAAAGATAAGCAGCAGAAACCTCTAACAGCTTCGTCATTAATTTACGAATTAGAATCTAAGGCTGTATCATTAAAAACAGACATTTTGACAAAACAAAATAAGCTTAAGAATCTAAGTGCTTGTTGGGACAATTTCCGTAAAATACAGCAACAATTAACTGAAGATATAGTAAAAACCCAAACAACTTTACAACAAATTATTGTTGAAGTTAATACGTGTGATAAATTTATTTCTACAATAGAGAAAATTGACAATCTTATGGAAGAACATCAAAGAAGTGAACTTGACAAGCAATTACTTCACAGTGAAGGAGATAATTTGATGAAAGAAGATCAAAAATCTACAACAGCCGTGCAAGTTGTGGTTTCATCTGCAGATGCTAATTGGGAAAAAGTAAATGAATTACTTAAAGAACATCGTAAAAAATATTCTGAAATGGATTCTGATTGGCGCAGTTATCAAGATGCACGTGAAAAGCTTATTAAATTTATGGAAGACTCCATGAGTTTACAACAATCATCTCAAGATATACCTAATGATATTACTCAAGCTAATTTAGCTCTAGAAAAGCATAAACGAGCTTCTGAAGTATTAAAAAAAGGAAAGCAATTTCTAGAGAAAATGGATCAAAAAGCACAACAGTTGATAAAAGAAGCATCACTTATGTCGAATTTCAAAGTTGATTTAATTGAAAAAGATTTGTCCACAATTAAAAATCAATATCAAGATATTTACACAAGTATTGTAGAAAAAGCACAATCTTATGAGACTCAAGTAATTATTTGGAAACAAATTGAAGAAATAAAATATGATTTGACTCGATGGCTTCATGATACAAATGAATCTTTGACATCTGCTTATGAATATTTAACAGATGCTGAAAATGGTCAAGCAAGATTAGCAAGATATCACGAGGAGCTACCATCTTATCAACTCCTTCGTCAGAGCATTGCTACTAAAACTGAACAACTTGTTAAATTAAATAATAATAAACAAATACCAACTTTACAATTGTTGAATAAATTATTAGATGATGAATTTAAAGTTGTTAAAGAGTCTGCAGAAAAATTGCAATCTTTAACTCATAGTTTGAATGATAAAGAGAATGCCATCAAATTAAATTTGAAGAAGTTAAGTGATCAAATATCAAAAATTCGAGAAGATGTTATTAAATGTGATGATCTAACAGGAGATAATACCAAAATTTTGAATAGAATTAATAAATGTAAAGAGTTAAAAAATATTCTTGACACCTGCAATGAAAATTTAGTAAAAATAGAACAACAAATAAATGAAGCTTCTAAAATTTATCCAGCTATAGAACGTTCCAGTCTTCCAAAAGAATTACAATCATTAAAACTTCGTCGTGATGGTGTAGCAAATCATACTGATAAAATAACAGCTACACTAATTGCATTTTTGGTTAAACTTTATCATGAAAAATTTGCAATTCTTCAACGATTAGTAACAACACTCAAAGAGAAAGTTTTGTGGTGTGAACCAGAACAAAGTAGTGATCGTTATAATCTTGAAGTAAAAATAATTTCTTTAAATGATGTCGAGGCAGGTATTAATGACTGTGAGGCGCGAAAAATAGAATCAGATAGTAATTTATTACTTCTGGAAACTGTTGAAAGTCAAGATACTATTAATATGTTAAAAGTAGAGCAAGAAAAAGTTTCAAGTGATTTAAAAATATTGAAGAATAATTACGAAAAAATTAAAAAGACATTAGAGCAAAATATTGCACTTTGGCAACAATATGAATCAATTTCTGACAATGTTTCAACCTGGTTGAAGGATACTGAAAATAATATTAGAATAGAAGGAACAACGTTGATTGAATTACCAGACATTGAGAAAAAAATATCAGAAATACAAGCATATCAAAAAACAGTTGATAATTATGAAAAAGAAATAAATAAATTGGTTAAACTTAGTGAAGATATTTTGAAAGTAAGTCCAGAATCTAGAGTAATGCAGTATGTAAATCATTTGAATGTTCGGTACCAAACAATCCAGAAATTTTTATCACAGCATATAAATAAATTGAATGAATTAAAGAATGGTCAAGATACTTACAAAGCTTTAGTTAAAGAGCTAGAGAAATGGCTTAGTGATGCAGAAACAAAATTAAAAGTTTTCGATGACATTAGTGGACCGAAAGCAATAGCATTTTATCAATCACGTTTGAAAGAATTAAAAGAGTTTGGAGAAAGCCGAGAACAAGGTCAAGCGATTTTAAATAAAACATCAGAAGCTGGAGAGGTTTTATTCCCACGAATAACTCCAGATCATCGAGAAAATATTAGAATTGAATTGAGAAATTTGCGTAATAGAATGGATGATTTAGCAGAAAAATCAAATATAATTTATAAGAAAATTGAAAATGATATGATGCATAGATCATCATTTGAAGATAAATATATTCAAGTTAAACAACGATTACTTGATGCTAGAGCTAAATTAGGAGATAAACAAGACCTACTAGCAACACTTCAAGAGAAAAAGCTGGCATTACATTCATATAAAACTATAGCACAAGATTTAAAGGCACATAAAAGTATTTTACAACAACTTCAAGAGCGTTCGAGTGATGTAACTGATGATGAAGCTAATGAAATGTTAACTAATATGATTGAAGGATATAATAAATTATCGGATGATGTTGATGATAAAATTGGTATATTTGAAAAATATGTTTCCAATCATGAAGCATATATTCAGACTCTTGATAAAACAAGGGATTGGCTCAATGCAATTATCAACGAAGCTGCACCTTTATTAGAAGATTTAGCAGTTGATCGTGATTCAGCAAAATCAAAAATTACACAAATCGAGAAAATTCTTCAACAAAAAGCTGATGGTGATCAAATTCTAAATGATTGTAATCAACAATTAAATATCATTTTAGAGCAAACATCAAAAGTAGGCCATCCTTTATTAATTAAAGGTTTTGAAGAGCAAAAAAAAATATGGGAAAATTTTCAAGCTCAATGTGAAGCTACAAAACATAAATTAAATAGTTTATTTAATCAATGGAGTGAATTTGAAGTTGCTGTGGAAAATTTAGAAAAATGGACGAAGCAAATGGAAACTCGAATAAAAGATCAATCTTTAAAAAGTACTGAAGAGGCTAAAAAGAATTATTTACAGACACTAATGAGTCTTGAAGAAGAAATAACAGCTAAAGCTCCTGATTTTAATATAATAGTAGAAAAAACACGTGGTATTTATGCTGAATCAGAGCTAGCTAATAGAGTTTCTAAACAAGTTACAAAGTATCAAGCTATTAAAAATCAAGCTAAAGAAGCTATAAGCCGTTATGAGCAATTTGTTAAAGAGCATAGTACCTTTAATGAAAGATATAATGATTTTCTTAACTGGATGAAAAATGTACAAGATGAATTAAATAAACACCGCGAGATTGTTGGAGATTTAAATGTTCTTCAAAATCGACAAAAATGTATTCGAGATTTGGTCGATATACGAACTAAAGAAAACCCTCGTTTTGAATTTATTATCGATCTTGGAGAGAAGCTTTATATTCATACATCGCCAGAAGGTCGAGAAATAGTTAGACAACAATTAAGAAATTTAAGATCTCTTTGGGATGGATTTACTGAAGATGTTCAAACTGCTATGCAAAAAATAGATCATTGTCTCATGCAATTTGCTGAATTTTCATTGTCTCAAGAACAATTGACTGCATGGTTACGAAGTGTTGAAAGAGATATGCATTTGCATACTGAATTAAAATCAACTTTAGAAGAAAAGCGAGCACAACTTCAAAATCACAAAATTATGCATCAAGAAATTATGTCTCATCAAACTTTAGTGGAATCTGTTTGTGATAAAGCTCAAAAGCTTGTTGATCAAACTAAAGATACATCACTCAATGTTTATTTACAATCAATTAAACATTTATTTCATAATATTGTTGATAAATCTCAAGAACTTTTAGATAATTTAACAGAATGTGCTGATATTCATAATAAATTCAACTTCCAATGTAAATATTTTGAAGATTGGCTAAATATTGAAAAAGAGAAATTATTAGATTGTAATGATATAACTGGTGAACGTTCTGATATTTCACGGCGATTAGCTAATTTAATTATATTAAAAAATGGACAGATTCAAGGTGAACAGCATTTAAAAGAATTACGAGAATTAGTTGATATCGTGGTTAAAAGTACAGCCATAAAAGGACGAGATGCTATCATGAAGGAAATTAATATTTTAGAACTAGCTTTTCAACAACATATTAATGACATTAATAATATAGAAGTTAAACAGAATATTGCTCTTCAAAAATGGCAAGATTTTGAAGATCAACTTGAAGTTTATACTAAATGGTTCCGGGCTATGGAAACAGCATTCAGAGATCAACAACTCCAAGCCACTCTTCAAGAGAAAGAAGATCGATTGGAATTTTTCAAGAATAAATTAGATATCATTTTAAAACAAGAAAAAGATATTGATGAATTTGTTGATAAGTCACATGGTTTATTAAATTCTAGTGGTGTTGACAGAATTAAACCAATTATTGCTCAAGTTAGTCAAAGATATCAATCATTGGTTGCCTTGAGTAAAGAAATAATTGCCAAATGTCAAAGTATTGTTAATGAACATCGCGAATTTGAAAATAAGTTGAAATTAATTGATATTTGGTTAATACCTTTGGAACAAAATCTTGCAGCATTAAAAAAGGAAGAATATGGTGGTGATTTTGATGCTAAAGTATCACATTTAAAAATGCTTCTTGCTGAAAAAGAACAAGCTGTATCACGTTTAGCAGTTTTGACTGCTGCAGGAGAAAAAATCTTGCCATCTACTTCAGCTCAAGGTCGAGAAACTATCAGATACGAATTGAGACATGCCAGGGACCGATGGGACAATTTAGCTGAAGGAATCATTGAGCAACAAAAAAAGCAAGATGCTCAATCTTTACAGTGGTCAAACTATCAAGATACGTTACATCATATTTCCATTTGGTTAGAAAATATGGAAAAAACGGTAAAACAAGATTCTTCTGTTATTCCAACAACTCAGCAAGATACAAGATCCAAGTTAATGAAAAGTAAAAATTTACATCAAGAAATCTTGGCTCATAAAAGAATTGTTGAAGCCATTTCGGAGAAAGCTAATGATTTGATTCAAGTTATTCAAGCTTCAACGAACATTAAAGACACAGTCATTTCGATTTGCAAACGATATGAACAACTAACTGATGATTCCCAAAAAGTAGTAAATACTCTGGAAAAGCTTTTGGAAATTTTCCAACAATTAAATGATCTCCAAAAAGCATACCAAAATTATCAAAAACAGCAATGGGATAGTTTGAAATATTATATTGATTATACTGGTAATAAAACTGCACTTCAGGCAAGACTTGCTAAAATAATTGAAATTCAGGATAAACAATCTGATGGTGAACTTAAGCTCACTGTTCTCGAAGATTATATCAAACAAAATTGCCAAAATTTGTCACCTCGTACCCAAGAGTCGACTGAACGAAATCTCGAAAATCTTAGGTAAGATTGAAATATTTAAAAAACAAGTCTATATAATATTAAATTGTTATAGATCATTATTTTATCATTTTTTTTTTTGCAGATTTGAAAACAAAAAATTTATCACTGCTCTAAATGATGTTATTCACAACATGGAAACTCGAATTCAGCAATGGAGTGAATATGAAAATGCCTTCGAACGTCTTCTTTCTTGGTTATTGGAAGCAGAAACCATTTTGAAGAATTATACTCTAAAGAATACGATTGAAGAAAAGCAAGATCAACTAGAAAGATATCAGGTAATTATATGAGCTCAAAGAATTAAAAATTTTTGTACTAAAGAATAACTATAATTTAGTGAGAAAAATGTTTAGAAATTATACCACAATATTCAATGTCACTTTCAGTGGATTTAAAATTCATTAGTTACACAAAAAATATTATAGTACCATATACATATATAAATTTCTTTAGGAACTGGTTAGAGTAGAAGAACTGAGGAGTTCTGAAATATCGGAATTAATTTCCGTTGCTGGTCATCTTGAACAAGTAAGAATAACTTACATCGATCGAAGCCTTTTAAATAAATTGCTTCAAAATTCATGATTGATCTATAAAAAATCTATGAATTATTTTTTTCATTTAAATATCTGAATACTTAAATATCTTTTATCTGTATATTTTCCAGGGCTTAATATGAATGGCATAATATTTTAGTTTTATACTTCTGGGTTATAAAACAATCATCAAAATATATTGATCTACTCTTCTACACTCACACTTCATTTTTATTTATTAATCCTTATACTACTTTCAGCTTATTAGTCTTCCAGCATACTGCAGAATTATAAATTTCATTTTTATGCTAGACAAAAAAATTAAATAACATTTTCTAATATTCAATTTATATTTTTACAGTCTTTAATTACAAATTTGAGGAATTACGAAACTGAGTTTGATAAAATGAACGACAATTCATCGGAATTAATTGAAACAAGTGGTGAAACAAGATTCTCAGCCAACATTCAACAAGTCATTTCTCGGTTCCAATCAATACAAACAACTGCAAAGGTAAATAATTAACTTCCCAGTGGGTTTAAAATATAATCTTACTATAATTTTTATATGGTGAATAAAAAAAAAATTTTTTTTAATTTTTCACAGGAATTAGTGAAAAAATGTGAACAAGCAATCCAAGATCATGCAGATTACTTGGAACATTATAAACAATGTAGTGAATGGCTAACAGCATCTCAATCCCAATATCAATCTACTCGAAATTACTCAACAGCCGCTAAGCAAGAGTTAATTAATCATGGAGAGAATTTACGTGATCTGTTATCTCGCATGTCAGCTGGTACATCGTTGATTAATAATACAATTGAAGCTGGTGAACGTCTTTACCCGACTACCGGATCAGAAGGTCGTGAAATAATACGCCAACAGCTTCTCGAACTTCAACAAGCATTAGAAGCTTTAATTGATGGTATATCATCAACTGAACGAGATATTCAAGTTAAAATCTCTCAATGGTTGGGCTATGATGAGTCCTGCAATAATTTCGATAAATGGTTAACTATTTTAGAGAAACAAATAAAATCAGAAATTGAATTGAAAACGACATTAGATGAAAAACGTATACAACTTCAACTTTATCGTGATTTACTTCATGATATTCAAAGTCATCAAGAAGATCTTTTAGTTCTCCAAGATAAAGCTGATAATTTACCGGACAAAACAGAGAAAATTGATGAATTAATTAATGAATTGTCTAAACGCTATTCAACAATACTCAAACAAGTACAGAATTTTGTTGAAGTCTATGAAGCTATTGTCAGTGATCATCAACAATACAGTAAAGCTGTTCTTGAAGCTCATGAATGGTTAGACGCTACTCACAATGCTGTCAGTATGTGGGGTGATACCGATCTTGAACGCGTTTCACTTCACACAAACCTTGATAGATTGAAAAATCTTTATCATAATATCTCCGAAGATCAAGCGAGAATTCAGAAAATAAAAATACTAGGAGAGAAAGTTATACCAGGAACCATTGAATCTGGTCAAGTAAATATTAAATCACAAATAGATTCTTCTCAACAAGAGTGGGAAGGTTTAGTATCTACGATTAAATCTACCATTGAATCTTTAGAAAATAAATTACAACAATGGAATGATTTTGAACGATTGAAAGAAAAGTGTCTGGATTGGATTCGTGATACTGATACAAAGTTACATGCAGTAGATCTAAAATCTACTTTAACTGAAAAGAAAGATCAATTAGAACAATTACGAGTTCTTCAGGGTGAAGTTCGTGCAAAAGAATTTGAAATTGATACTCTTACTGAAAGAGCACAGCAATTACTTAAAAATTTCTCTTCAAAAACATCAAATACTTCAGAAATAGTATTAAAATACCAACAAATATCAAATAAAGTTAAAGAATTGAATAATCGTTGGCATCAATATGTCAGTAACCATCAAGATTTTGAAAATAGCCTTGCATCATGTATTCAATGGCTTGAGGTTATTAAAGAAAAATTAGCATATTCATCTGACCTCAGTGCATTATCACAGAAAGATCTAGAGAATAAATTGGAAGTCGTTCAAGATCTTTTACTGTATAAAGAAGATGGATTTTCAAAAATACAGAATATTGTTGAATTAGCACAAGCAGTTTTAGCCAACACAGCGCCAGTTGGACATCAATCAATAAACGACGCTGTAACAAAACTTCAAGAACAATGGAGTGCATTGACCTCACAGATGCTCGAAACTAAATCTAACCTTGATGATTCTATAAATAAATGGGCTGGACTTTTAGAACAAATACAAACTATTAATAATACCGTCGAGTTAATGGAAGATTTTATTGATGAAATTTTACCTTATCAAACAACAATGACAGAGAAAAGATCTCAATTAGAAAGAGTAAAAGCGATGGAAGAGAAAATAAGATGTGAAAAAATAGAAGTTGATAATTTAAAATCTAAATTTTCAGAAATGCTTGCTAGTGGTCAGCAAGGATTTGGAACATCAAAAGCCCAAGATACTTTGAATAAATTCGATCAACTTTATGAAAAAATAAAATCATTACTTATTGAACGTGACGATCAATATAAAGATCATAAACGTTATAAGGAAGCTTATGATGATCTAATTGCTTGGCTCAGTCGTGCAAGAGAAAAAATTCCTTCAATAAAACAAAAACCATTGAGTGACAAATTGGCTATAGACAATGCAGTAGCACCTTTAGAAAGTTTATTAAATAAAAAAGCTCAAGGAGAACTTCTTGTTGAACATCTTCAGCATACAGGAAAAGTTGTATGTGCTTCTACCAGTCTTGAAGGTAAAGAAATTATTCAAAATGAAATTCGTGCTCTTGTTGAAAGTTTTGAAACTCTATTTAAAGAAATTCAACAACAAAAAGATCAATTAGAGAATATAATAAGTCAATGGCGAGATTATAAGGATGAATATGAAAGACTGAGTGATTGGCTTCAACAGTTTGATATTCTTATAAAAGCACAAAAGAATGCTTTACTACCAAATGTGGTTGAAAAAGAGAAACAAGTTAAACAAGTCCAAGATATTCTTGATAATCTTACGAAAGGTCAAGAACAGATTGATAAATTTAACAAGACTGCATCTTCATTACTTACATCTCATCTAGATACTTATATTAATAATCAACTTCGACATCTTAATTCTCGTTATCAAGTTCAAGTAAATTTAGCAAAAGATGTATTGAATAAAGTCGAAATTAATTTATCTCAACACAAAGAATATGAATCAAATCTAGGAAAAATTCGTTCATGGATTGACAATGCAAAACAAATAATCAGACAAGGAACAGAAGTAGCTTCATCAAGCAGTCGTGAAGAATTGCAAAAGCGATTAAATAAAATCCAAAATTTACTGAAGAAACGTGAAGAAGGTCAAAATTTAGTACATTTAACTGTTAATTTTGGTGAGAAAGTTGTAAGGAATACTAGATCTGATGGTAGAGAAGAAATAAATGCTCAATTGAAAGAAATTCAAAATGATTGGGAACGTTTAGTAAAGAAACTTTCAACAACTAAAGTCCATTTAGAGACAAGTCTTCTTCAATGGGCTGATTACAGTTCATCTTATTCTCAGCTTCAACAATGGATAAATGATAGAGAAGCAAAACTTCAACAAGTATGTGAGCAAAAAGTATCAAAGGCGAAAAAAGGTTTAGCTGGACTCAATTCTCTAGTTATTGGAGAACGAAAAGCAAATTTGAGACAAACAAATAGTATAGTTCAGGATATTGTGGCTTTTGAACCAATGATTCAATCAATAACAACAAAAGCTGAAGATCTAGCTACTCCAGCAACAGAAATTTCTATCAAATATGAAACATTAAGTAAACATGCTCAAGAATTTTATGCCAAGCAGAAAAAAACAGTTGAACAGCATCAAGCATTTATTGATAGTGGAAGTGAATTTGTACAATGGATAAGAATTGCAAAAGAAAGACTTGGAAAATGTTCTGAACCCACAGGTGACAAGGAATCACTGTCTAGTAAAATAACTCAATTGAAAGTGCTAGAAAATGAACTTCCAGAGGGTCAAAAAATATTAGAGAAGGCTTTAGAACGAGGTAATGCTGCTTGTCAAATAGCAGACATAGAAGATAAAGAAATAATTGAAGAAGATGTTGCTATGTTACAAGATGAATATGACAGCTATGTTGAATCATTAAATAATACTAAAAGTTTATTAGAAATTGGTATAATTAAATGGACAGAGTACGAGGATCAATATATAGAAACATTGAATTGGTTGAATCAAACGGAGCCATTGGTCCAGTCGTACAATAAACTTCAAAATAGTCTTGAAGAAAAGAAAAATGTTCTTGAGCATTTCCAAGAGCATTTGCAAATGCTATTTGATTGGCAAAAAGGTCTCGATAGGTTGAATATCAAAGCGCAGATTTTACTTGAAACTTGTGCTGATACAAGAATTTCTAATCAAGTTACGCAGCTGACAACTAAATACAATGCTCTGTTGTCTCTTGCTAAAGAAATAATGAGACGATTAGAACTGCATTATCAAGAACATCAACAACATAATACTTTATATCAAGAATGTCAAGACTGGATTGATCGTACCCGTGATAAGTTAGGAGAATGCAAGGTTACTTCTGCAACATTACAGGACGTTAATAATAAATTAAATATGTGCAAAGCAATTCGTCAGTCTCTAGAACAAGGTCAAAATAAATTAAGATATGTTGTGGAATTAAAAGAAAAAGTTGTGATGAATACAGAACAGAATGGTGCGATGAAAATTCAAGAAGATACTGAAAACTTGAAAATGGAATTTGATAAACTAATATCTGATGTTGAACAAGTTAGACAAATGCTTACTTTAAAAGCAACATCATTGGAAGAATTATCAAAATTATATCGATTTATTGTTGATTGGATTGATGAAATTCAAAATAAAATTACTCCAGATGAAGTATATAAAAATGACTTGAGTGAAAAAAGAATACTTTTAGAAAAATATCGAACAATTCAACGAGATATTCAGAGTCACAACGAAACAATTGATCGTTTGAAATCACGATTAAAGGAAGACACAACTATTTCTAAAGAACCATATGAGACAACGATTAAAAAATATGATCAACTTCGTGCACTTATATCAGAAAAAATAAATATTTTAGAGAATCAAGTTAGAGATCACGAGAAATTCCAACAAGCTCAAAATGAGGCTGCTGATTGGATAAGAAAAACTAAGGTTGAGGTTCAACAGTACAGTATGACTCATGGAGAAAAAGTAAAAGTAATTGAACGTGAAAAGAAAATTAATGAAATAATTCATTCCTTGCCGCAAGGAGAAACTTTAATATTCAAAATAATGGATATGAGTGAAAATATTATTTCCACTACAGGACCTGAAGGTCAAGATGTATTAAGATGCGATGTACGTCAACTTCAATTAGATTGGAAATCTCTTCAAACACAATGCCAAGAGTCCCAAAAAACACTATCTAATTGTATCAAAATGTGGTCACAATTTACAACAGCTCTGGATGACATGAAAAGTTGGCTAGACCAATTCCAAAATAAAATTAATGAAGAGCATAAAAGAGAGAATAAAACGCCTCAAGATTTGGAACGTTGCAAACAGTTGGTTAATGAAGCAGTTCATCAGAAACCAATACTCGAAGAATTGAATGATAAATGTGAAGCCCTCCTCGAAATAAGTGCTTGCAGCTGGGCAAGAGACAAAACAGTTCAATTACAGTCTCTTTACACATCATTATTAACTGAAGCACAAGGGCTTGTTTTTAGAGTAGAAAAAAATTTATCAGATCATACCGAATTTATAGAAGCAAAAAAAGCAATGGAAGAATGGCTCCAAACAGCTAATGGCTCAATTCAAGATTGTATTGGTATTGGAGATATTACTTGGGCACGTGATAAATTAGAAACAACTCGATTAGTTGCCACGAGAATAACAGAGGGTCAACATTTATTATCGACTCTTAAAAATGCTTTTGCTAAAGCAATCAACACTGCTCTGTCTGAACAACAAGAAGAATTGAGAAATAATATGACAGCATTGACATCTGATTGGGAACAATTGAATATGAATTTGAATACAGTACAGGCACAAGTGAAAGCTACTTTGACTCGATGGGAAGATCATTTTGAAGCTTATGAAAAATTAAAAAAATGGCTCGATGATACAGAAGCATCAGTTGTAACTTTGCCAGATACTAAGGGAGAAATTGGTGAGATGAAAACTCTCTTGGAACGATATCGACATATTACAGATGAAATAAAATTGAAAAAGTCAGATATAGATCAATTAGTAGAAGAATCTATAAAATTGTCATCATGGGCTAAAAATAATAAAACACATGAACAAACTTCAGGTCTAGTTACTCAATGGGAAAGTTTGAAAAATTTGATAGATGATCAAAGACGATTAGTTGAAAATGAAATGAATGAATATAATGCTTATCATAATGCTTTACAAGAAACTGAAAAGTGGTTACTCCAAGTTTCATTCCAATTAATGGCTCATAATTCACGGTACATCACTAATAAAGAACAAACCATTGAACAAATTAAGCAATATGATTTATTATTAGAAGAAATAAGAAATTATCAACATGAATTAGACAAATTAAAAGATAAAGGACAGCAGCAAATTAATCGTTATATTAGTGTTAATCCAAATATTCAGAATGTTATTCAAGTTCAATTAACAAATGTTCAAGATAGTTATAACTCTTTGCTTACTACAGCGATACAAATTAAAAATCGATTAGATGAATCCTTACTAAAGTTTACGGAATATGAGAAAACTTTAGAGAGTATCATGATGAATTTAAATATTTATGAACCAGAAATTAATAAAGAATTGGAAGTTACCTTAGATGACTTGGATGGTGCTAAGCAAAGCTTTGAAAATATTCAAGATCTTCATAATAAATTACAAGCTGAGAAATCAAGATTAGCTGTGGCTATTGAAGTTTGTGAAGCAGCTGCTGCATCTGTATCACGTCCTGGAAGTCCACTTGATGCACCAACAGTACAAATTCCTTCTAAGGAAATAGAAGTACGCACTAGATTAGAAGATTTGATCGATCAGGTATGTTTATTATTATTATTTATCATTTTTTCAAAAATTAACAAAGATATCTAAATCCAATTAAAATTTATATGAAATTTATAATATTCAAGTGATACATACAAGTTATCATATAAACTTATCCTTTTTGGCGGGAAACAAATGAAAGAAGTTTTTTTTTCGCATCATTACTAATCTCAAGCTTCTGTCGTATCTTCATTGCCGATCTTAGCTCAATTACGTTTTTCATATCATTTCATAACAATACATACGCATACGTAATTATGCAGCCAGTCAATTAATTATTAAGGTTATGGGTGTATTCCGAAATGTACATCAGACGCTGACCAGCGGTAATGACGCCATGATTTTGACGCCATATTGCACTGGCGTGCCGCCAGTGAGAATACTGTGACGTAATTATTTACGTACTGGCCAGCATACTGGTTATATTGGCTCTTTGTTCGTTTGTTTTTTTTTTAATTTAATTGAGTAGAATTTATTTTTTCATAGGTTTTATTTAAAAAAATAATAACAATTTTAAAATGTTTATATTTATATTTAATCAGTCACAAAATATTTTTGAATTGAAAGATAATAAAGGGTAAAATCATTAATTTATTATATTCAAATTTGATATACATGAACTTAAAATTTTTATTTCTTATCTAGATACAGTCCCATTTACCCAACGTAACAAAAGCTGTTAATGAGTTAGAAGAACAAACAAGACAGAAAAACGAATTGAAAACATGGATTAATCAACAACGCACTTTATGTGCTGAATGGAAATCTAGACCGGCAAAATTAAGATCAGAAGCCGCTCAAGCTGAATTACAAACAATGAATGAATTATTAACAAATGTTGGTGAACGAAAATCTCGAGCTTCAATGGAATTGTCACTTGATCCTGATGATAAAATTGAAGAAGATTTAACAAAGCTTGAAAATGAATTAATAGATGCTATAGCTGATAAACAAGTTGCACAAGAATTAATTCAAAAATATAGAGGACAAGTTCAAGACATGTTATGCTGGCTTGATGGATTATCAAAAAAAGTTGATATTATTGAAAAAGGTAATGGTCTCACAATTAGTCAAAAAATTACTGCTGTACAAGAAATTATATCTGACTTTGAAAATCAAGGACCGGAAAAATTGAATGAAGTTAAAAAATTAAGTGATCAAGTTATGGATTCTGTAAGTAATTTAGATTCACAACAAATCGAAGAACAAATAAAATCTGTCGATAGAAAGTATGGAGATGTTAGTAAAAAATTACAAAGAAAATCTCAAATATTGGAAATGACAGCTCAAGGAATTGAAGCAACAAGAAAAGAAATTGAAGATAACAGAGAATGGATAAATCAAAAGAAGCAACAAGCAAGAATTTCAGAGCTTTATGGATTTGAATGTAAGCCTGCTGATGATAAAGTTTTAGCTCTTAAAGCAATGTTGAAAGAAACCGAGAATAAACAAATAATTATTGACAGCTTAGAAAAACGAGTTGGTAATATGCAAAATGAACTTGAAATAAGTGAACAACAACAATTAGAATCTGATGTAAAATGTCTTCGTACTGAACAAGCTGAACTGTGTTCTATTCTCCGTCAAGAAATTTCAGGAGCAGTTGCTGCAGCTAATGCTAGACGAAAATTAGAATCAGATATTGAAAAGGCTAAATTATGGATTAAAACCAAACATAATGATCTCAAAAAACTTAGTGGATATCTTCCATTAAAATCTAATAAAGTTGAAGAAGATATAATTCATCATAATAAAATAGAAGCTGATATTACCTTATTCAATGAAACTAATTTGAAGGATGTTATGAAGCAGGGTAATAGTTTAAAACGAGAATGTAATGAAGAAGATCGTAAAAAGCTTGAAGCATTATTAAATAATATTAATGAAGATTATGATGCATTGAAGAAAGAAGCCGCTGAAAAACAAGCTTCTTTAGCTGATCTTCTTCAAGGACGTAAATCATTTGAGAATGAAGTAGACAGATGTCAACGATGGATTAAGGAAGCAGAAACAGCTACTTCTTCTGATGTACGAACATCAAGTGTTGATGTTTTGCGAGAACAGCTTGCTAAGTATGATCGATTAAAACAAGAAGCTAAAAGTTTTGGGGAAGATGTAGAAAAAATTTTACAACAAGGAAAATCTATTCTACCAACCATAAGTGATGCTGATAAACACGAATTAAATGACCAACTCAAAACCATGAAAGATGCACACAGTCGTGTTGCTACAATAATTAATGAACGTGCTGCAGCATTGAATAAAGCCATTGGCGAGGCTGAAGAAGCTTCTGCTCGTGTTGCTGAAGCAGTTCAATTCATGTCCGATATCCAAGAAGAGCTCAATGCGTTGAATAAACCTATTGGATCACGAGTAGAAGATGTTGAAGGCATGTTAACGGCTTACGAAAAAATTCTAAATGATTTGAAAGAAAATAAAGCTAAATTATCTGATTTACAATCAGCTAACTTAGTAGGAAATCTTCATGACGTTATTGCTCAGCAAGATGACCTTATTGCAATACTAGAAGCTCAAATTGCAAAATTAAAACAATTGCTTTTACTTCGTCAACAATTTATTGCATTAATAACGGAAATAATGTCATTTATTGCTAAATATAATGAAATCGTGAGAGACATTGAAAATCAAGATCAATCAATTGAAGAAAAAATAAAACGATATGATGATGTTATTTTAAAAATTCAAGAGTGTGAAGCTACTTTAGCTAGTGCAACCGATAAAGGACAGCAAATTGCTGAAGATGGATCTACTGCTGATCGTAATAATATTACAGAACAACTTCAATCACTCAAACAGCAATTACAGAGCCTTCGAAGAGTGGTAGAAATGCAACGAGAACAGCATGAATTGACTGTTGCAGAGCACAAAAAGCTTGCTGATGAACTTGCAAATATCCTTGATTGGTTAGAGAATAAAGAAAAAGAAGTTAAATCACGACCACTTCTCGATCGAGCTATTGAAAGTGTAGAAAAAGAAATAGAAAAACATAAATTACTTTGTGATTCAGTTAATCAATATCTCAATAAAATTAAGACTTTAAAAGAATCTGTAAAACATGAGGAAGGTATGCCGGGTTCTTTGAAAGAAATGTTAAGTGAAGCTGTATCATTATTATCTTCATTACCACGTGAAATGGAAGAACGTGAGAATTATCTTGAAACTAATTTACAATTACGATTGAACTATAATGCATTATCCGAAAAATTCTACAGTTGGATCCGAGAGGCTGAAATTCGACTTGAAAGTGACAAAGATGGACTTGATTTTGAAAATATTATTAGTGATCTTGAAGAACATAAAATATATTTCAGTGCTGAATCATCAATTCGTGAATTAGTTTCTCAACAAATTCAACAAGCAGCTGACAAAGTTTGGCCTTCACTCAATAGCGCTGAACAAGAAGAATTGAGTTTAGAACAACAACAATTTACCCAACTTTTGAAAAATACCATGAATACAGCCAAGTCTTATCGTGCTCGATTAGAACAAGGGGCAGAAAGTTGGCGTGATTATACGCAAACATTGGAACGGGTAAAAGCTGTAATATCAAGATCAAGATTCACCGATGAACCAGTTACAACATTGGCTGGATTACAATTCAACATTCAAAAAATTACTCATGCGTTAAATGATATTCATAATCAACAATTTGAATTAGATCTATTAAATGAACGAGGTCGAGAAGTGTTAAACTTGGCAGATATTAATAACAAACAAACAATTAATGATCAATTAAAGGAAACTAATTCTGAATGGAAAGAACTGGTATCTGGGTTGGAAGGACGAAGAGATGCTTTAGAAGCACTTTCAAAACACTGGGAAGAATTTGAAGGACGATGGAATCATACTGAATTAAAACTTAATGCGATTGAAGAGAGGAGTAAATTAGTGGATGGCATTGTCAGATCGACCAATCATCTCGAGGATACTATTAAATCTTTAGATGTAAGTATTATTTTTTTCCTCTAAAAAATTATTTATATTCAATATATTCATGTACTTGTATTGAATAAGTAATTATACTCAATTGACCCTTTGTTATAAAGGGAGATTTAATTTACCATGATGTTCCGTGCTGGTACAACCAGGTACATGGAAGCAGATGTTTTTTTCTTTTCCAATTTAATTTTTTTTTTATTCATAAACAACGACTAATTATTAGTTTTTGTATTGTTAGATCATAGTTAAATTTATCTTTTTTTTTGTAGGAGTTGACTGTTGAAGCAGAAAATTTGCAGTCTTTAACAGAAGAGGTGAAGTCATTGGCCGGTCCGGTTCTCGCGTATCTTGCGGCTTTTATTGAAGCGCCAGCGCGTGCTCTACAAGATCGGCTGGATAAGTTAGATAAATCTGCAGAAACGTGAGTTATATTTTATTTTTAATTTAAATTGGATCATATTGAACATAAACAATAACAATTTTTAAACACAAAAAATGTATTTTACATTTAAAAAAAAATGATCCATTCGGATAGGTATTTGCATGTGCATGATTGAAGTGTGCTTATGTTTCGATCAACGATTTTTATTTATAAGAAATGTTTTATTTTAATAAAAATTTTGATGAATTATTTATAAAATAGGAGAAGTATACAATACTATTTTACATATTTAATATAATTTTTAAGAAAGAAATAAAAGTTATATACATTAGAAAATGTATAGGCCTGATATTATTCTTAGTTCACAATATAGAAGTCTGTTTGGTGTCAGCGTCGCGACGCTTGGCATCTGAGTAAAGGTAAAATAAATGAAACAAAGTACTATTCCCGCATGCGTCGTATGACGTATGAGCTGAAAAAAACTCAAACTGTATTCGGTTGCGTTTCAAATCGTTTCAAACTGTTATAGTTGCTGTTTGGCTTGAACACTCCATGCCATATAATCATTTAACTATTTATTTTTTAAAGAAACACTTTAATTAGATTTTATAAATAATTATTAAAGTCAGATACACTATTGTAAATATATTTTAATCAGTGCATAATAACAACAGTTTTTAAATTTATACTCTAGTTACAAACAAATATTAATGTCATATTTTAAAAGTATCGAAAATTATAAAACAGTAAAATGCTGATAAGAATTGTTATCGACATAGTTTAATTACCAATCTCGTCAGTGATATAATCGATAAACTATTAAATTGTTTTAAAACAGGTAGTACTCGTGATATTACAAGTTTTCCCGCCGATTGAATAAATCAGTTTTAATGTTAAATCTTAGATTCAAATTTTACTTGAAATAAAATTTTATTACTTAGTTACTATTCAATGTGAAGATCGTAAAACTCACGAGTTCATGAGTAATTATAGATTCATAAAATCCACCGAGTAAATACAGGGACGTGTGCCAGATTAGTCGGTGTGACTATAGACTACACATAACATAGAATTCTCGTTCTCCTTCATTTCTTATCTCACAATGTTTTGTCATCACCAACTCGGTAGATGATGTCACAGTGTTAGTAATTAGGATTTTAAATTTGAAAATGATATACACACTGTCTTGTCATTGACATTGTTTTTTATTAATTTTTTTATAATTCCTGTAACAATGATGATATCATTTATGATATTTTTTTATTCTATATACGTCTACAAGTTGAATTTTATTTAACAGTTTTATCATTTAATAATGAAAAATTATCAAGAATATTTATTTATAAAAAAAAAAGTTATTTAGTTTCTACAAAACTGTTGAATTAATTTTTTTATTGAATAGTTAAAAAATATTAATATATTAATATTTATAAATTTTTCATTGCTATGTGTGATAACTACTTTTAGAAGTTAAATCTATAAATTCAGATGGCTACTTTTAGCTAAAGCTCTTACACTCTTCTTTTTATACCATTTTTTTTTCTTTTCCGTTACTCTCATGTCTAAATTTATATTTATGTTCAATAAGTTGTAATACTTTTTTATTTTATTAAATTATTAAATAATTTCACTGACATTAAAATTGGTAATTTAATTGTAAATCGATTAATTCTTATAAGCATTTATGGGAAGGAGAAATTTGCAAAAAAATTAATTGTACATTGCAGACTTGTTGGATCAATTCATTCAAAATTACAAAAGGCATATAAAGATCTTGAATTATTGAATCGAGATAAATCTGAAGTGAAATTTTTCGAGGATCGATTGGAAGAAATTAATCAACGTATCAAGAATTTTTATATATTTGGAGTTGATCAAGATTCAATTGAAAATTTACTTGCTGAATTACGAGAAAAGTTTCTTTTAAAACTTGTTGATGAAATAAAAGAATTTTCTGGTAATACAAAATTGAGGTACGAATCAAATCAGCAATTGGTGCCGAGTGATTTAGCTCAACAACTCGCTTCTTTAGAGTTGAACGTTGAAAGCACAATCCAAGCTATGGAAGAAAAACAACGTGAACAAAAAAGAGCTAAAACTATTAGAACGGATTACGTATCAGATGTAGATGAATTACAAGCATGGATTCATCAAGCTGAGCTTAAAATCAAAGACCGATCAGATGAACCACTTAAACTTCGAGAATTTTTACGACAAATTCAATCACAGTTCACCTCGATGTCTGATAAACTGGAAAAATTGACCAAAAATGGTCATATTATTATAGAAAATACTCAAAATGAAAATGAGAAAGAACTTATTGAAAAAACAATATTAAGTTTGACTGATCAATTTGGACAAGTTAAGTCATGGTTGGAAGAAAAAAAGCAACAAGTTGGAGACTCTCTAGATGCTTGGCAAAGGTTCATTATTCTTTATGAATCTGTAAAAGCATGGATAGAAGAAAAGAGAGTATTCTTAAAAGAACCTCTTAGATTAAGCACATTAATACAAACCCGACAGAAATTACATGATTATTCGGTATGTTAATACAATATATTATACCTTTACATATTTTTTATTAGTTATCGACGGGTTTGAAATTATCATTATGTTATTTACAGATTGCGGTTAAAAATTGTAAACAAATAAATAAAAATTTAAGTGATATGGGTAAAGAGCTTGAATTAATAGCTCAATTTACCAGTGTAGGTGATCTTCCTGAGAAACTTGCCCAAATTGAAGAGGCTAAAGTTGAAGTTGAAGGTCAATTATTGGAAAGGGTAAGTTAATTAAAAAATGTGCAGCTGTAAATATGGCACAAAACAAACGGATAAATTGATTACATTTTGAATTTTAGAATGCATTACTTCAAGAAGCAAGTGAAGAATGGGAACAATGTGAAAAGAAATTTAAAGATGTTAAAAGTTGGTTAGAAAAGGCACGACAAAATTTAGAATCACCACAAAATAAAAAGAAACCATTAAGAGATCAACATGCAATAAGAGAAAAAATGTTGAGTGATATTGCAATTCAAAAAACTAAAATTTCAATTTCTGTTGAAAAATTGCAAGTTCATTTCAAAACTGGTATTGGTGGTGATAATAAAATTGCTGATATGGCAGATGAGATGATTAACGATTTAAATAATCTTTATGAAACAGTTAAAGATCAAACGACTTCACTAGAAAATTGTCTTTCACAACTTGATCAATATCAACAGGTTAGAGAATTGAATTCACTATACAGTATATTCAAAAAGAATATTCTTATTCTTTTTTCTCATTTAACTTTTTAGGAAATCCAACAATTAAGACAACAAATAATTCAAGTTGAACAACAATTAAGATCAACTTTAAATCCGACATATCTTCCAAATGATCGTGAAAAAGCAATTCAAGAGCAACAGGTAGGTTTATTTCACTATTATAATTGTACGTAATTTTTAGTATGCACTTTAAATGTGTAAAAGCGATAGTTAGATATTGCATTTAAATTCATTTATAATAACCCACCATTGTATGCAATAGAAAAGTAATTTATTTTGCAAAAAACACGTGATACTATAGTATCATTTATTAAATCAAAAGTATAATAACTCGTAATAGTCTGACTAATTTTAATAATAACTCAAAATTAATGAAAGTGCTTCAATCAATTAATTAATTTAAATACAAAAGTCAGTGGAAACATTTTGGTGTATTAATGATCGGTTATTTACCAGAAACCACTGAATAGGAAAAGAAGCACGAGAATGGGGTAGATTTTCTTTTTATTTATTCATCAAGGTGTTTCCATGGGATGGGAAATTATTAATCTTTTGTTGGAATCATTTTAATCATTCACCTTGCTTTATATTTCACACGCTATTATATGCAAACACATAAAAAATTAAAAAATTACATTTTCAATTGATAATTGTGAAACACAATTTGATAAAACTAACACAAAATAACTTATACACTTTATATATCCATATCATTATATGACATCAATTATTTAATAATTACTTGAGGCCCATCGCTTACAATTGGTGTATTGGTTGGTATTATAATTTATTTTATTTTATACTTAATTTTAAGATCTGTTTGTTATTTATGTTTTTTTCATACAGAGATTACTTGATTTTGCTTGTTTGTGTTAATGTCTTTTTTCTTTAATCGATTTTTAATACTATCACTGATAATAATCACAATTTGTTTAAATGGATGTAATATCACCACAATAGTTGTAAAAATACACACTCAAATAATGCAAAACTTATAGTATAATAATGAGTTGCACAAAATATTGTAATTTGTTTTTTTTTTAGTTAATATTAAATTGAACTAAAATATAAAAAAATATTTTTATCGACTTATTGTTAGTATCATCGTCCTCGTCTTCCGGTACAATAATTAGTTTTAAATATTACAGAATTGGACATTTATTAAAAACAATACACATAGAGCATTATCAAGTTACCTCTGTTGACAGTAAATTCATTTAATTTTTTATTAAAATAACTTATTATGAATTTATTTAAATTATTATTTAAATTTATTGACAATGCACTCATCAATCATTTCATTTGTGATTTTTTTTTATTTCCTCACTCCTTTCCAATCACATAATTTTTACTCTCTTATATTTTACACTCTACCTCATTCTCTTAAAAACTCAAATTCTCTTATTAAATATGCAATCTAAATTTTATACATAAAAATATATAAGGTCTACCGTGAACAAATAAAATCCCTTCAAAGTAAAATCCAAGCGAGAGTAGAACGTTCTAAATTAATAATTCAACGTGGAACACCAGATATAGAAACATTAGATCCCTGATCTTAATAAAAATTTAAAATATTTATGAATATATTAATTACGTTACGCGCGTATAAACTCATGGAATAAGTTAATGTTTACGAAATATAGGATATTGACAATTTTAATTATTTTAAATGAAAAAAGAATGTCTTTTATATTATCAGATATCGTTTTGTTAAGAGTTTTACCAACTCTAGTATTTATGAACTTTCCATCATATTTCTTATATCACATTGATTGTGTAAGCCACTAATAAATCATGATTTATTATTAATAAACAGAAAGTGCAATTAATAAAATAAATATGTATACTCTTTGATTAAATAAAAATAATATAGCAAATTATTTTTTTATTCTTTAGTATATACATAAAATAAAAATATAAATAATCACAAATATATAAAATTGATGTATTGATGTTCTTTGGCTGTTGCGCTATGGCGTACAGACCTTACAGACACAAATGGACAATTGGCGGCAACGATCAAAATTGCTGTTGGATGAAATACTTATCATCGATCCATACTATTCGCTGCCTGATGATTCAAATAGTAGTGAGATCAACAAGCCAGTAGCAGGACTTGCATCATATGCAGACATTACGGCAGGTCGTTCAAGCCCCAATTCAAGGTCTTCTAGTCCTTATAAAATACATCAACCAGAATCTTTTCCAATTAATACAACTTCTCCACAATCTTCATCTATTTCACAAGTAATTGCTGATTCACATAAAATAAGAAGTGATCGATCTCAAGATTCAAATGATTCAGAAAATCTTCAGCAAAAGAAACAGAAAAATAAAAAATCATCTACTTCTCAGTCAGACAGGGCATCAGCTCAATCAACACGACGAGGTCGCTCACCAATAAGAAGATCTAAAAATATTAAAATTAAACAAATAGGTGAAATACCTCAAATTAAAGTAACTAGTAAAGATACTTCAACTGATCGTGAATTTGAACAGATCGTTGAACATTCAAAAGCACATTTAATATCAACAGAAATACGAAAGAGATCTCCAAGTCCCATTTGGATTCCTGGTTCTACATCTTATGCAGATATTCTTCGAGGGGGGGCACAAAATTATTCTCATATTGAACAACCTACTAAACATGAAATTCATATGACAAAATTATCCAAAAATAATATATCACAAATAACAGATTTACCTAAAGAAAATTATGAAGGTGAAAAGAAGATCGATAGTTCACCAGTAAAACAAGTATCTATTCCAGAAAGTAACATACATTATCAAGAAATTGATCAAGCTTCAACACTTGATATTAATCAAAAAAAATCATTAGAAACGACAAAAGAAAACTATGATATGCCGCATGAAGCATTTGAAAATATGTCAACTTCTTCTCAGACAAAAATGTATGATTATGTTCCTCCTATGCCAGAATTAGTGAGTTTCATTAATACAGAACTTGGAGCTTATCCATTTGTATACACAACTACGGATCATCAACCACATGAATTGGATACGTCGTTAAATCCGTATGATACCAGCATGAGATACCCAGCTGAGCATTATGTTACACAAGATAATTATTTAACAGCAAACCAAAATATTTACCAACAAAGTCATCCATGCACTCAACAACAGCATAAAGCTGCAAATGAAATGCTTTATTATAATCCAATAATTCTTAATAAAAGTGAATCTGAAATATGTCAAAGCTATGATTGTGTGTCTGATATTCAGAATAATACTACTTTACCGGAGCAAGTTGAAGCTGTGGTAGATGAACACACTGATGCAATGCAGGTGAGTGAAAATCTAGAGAAAGAATTAATAACAGAAGAACCAATGCCAGTGCAGTCTGATGCAAAAATATCATCATCTACATCTTATGCCAAAATTCTGTCTCAAGGTCTTGCAACTCGATCAATTCAAAGTCCACCAAATCCAATTTTTGATGAAAATAATTCTCAAGTATGTCCTCAAGAAAACAATACCAATACTATTAATAATGAAGTTACATTAGAGGGAAAATCTCAAAAAGTTATAGCATCAAAAGATAAAAAAAAATGGGATGTAATAAAGAAAAAAGATACAAAGGAAAAATGTACAGAAAAAAATGAGAATCAAGTTAAACACAATGTGACCAAAAATAAAAAAGAACAAAAGAAAAATAGGCAACGTGAAGATGTTATTAAAGAAGTTGAGCGAGAAAAGCCTGTTGAAAAAATCGAAAAACCAATTGTTGTTGAAACTTTTGATACTATAAAAGAGATAAAAGAAAATATTAAAGAAAAAATAAAAATTACTGAAGATAATGTCGATGTGAAGCCGACAAATGATACAGAGAAAAAACGAAAGCCTAAAAAGAAGAAAATTGACACACATCATGAGGATGAAATTGATAAAGCTCTTAAAGAAATTGCAGCATTAGAAAAACAAAAAAATAAATTTCAAAAAGACAAAGAGATACCCCAATTACAACAACAACAACAGCAACCACAACAATCGAATAATAATAGTGAACAGAAAGCCAAAAAAACAATTCGAAAAAATAAGCAGGAATTAATAAAATCTTCTGAACCTTTTACTGAATTAAATAAAAAATTGAAACCTCAAGTAGAAGATCAGAGAAAAGAAGAGACCAAAAAAATTGAAAAAGATCAATCCAATGAAAAATCTGTTGAAGAACTACCATCAGATGATTCAAATAAATTGAAACCATCATCAAAAACAAAAAAGAACAAAAAAAGAACTGAAACTAAAAATAAAATTCAAGAAAAGGTGGTAAAACCTGAACAAAAATTACCATTAGATGACATAAAAAATGAAAAAATTTCTGATGAAATAATCAAAAATTCATCTACCAATGATAATGATAATAATGAACAAAAAATTTTAGAACCAAAGATTGTTGAGGATACGAATTCTATTTCAAGACCGACAGAAAAATTAGCCAACATAGATAACGAAAAACAATTATCGATTAGCTCTCAAATGAGTGATGATTCTAAAAATTTATCACTCAATGACGAGTTACCAGGCAAAGCTTTAATTATTGAAAAAAGTATAACAACAGTAACAACTAAATCTACATGTGGAACACATGAAATATCTCCACCAGCTGTAAAATCTGTTAAATCAGTTGAAATACTGGAGAATGTTCCTTTATTGAACAGGATTAATTCTAAATCTGAAGAAATTATTAATTTGCGACCTGATAATGTAGAAGCCAATCTCACAACGACATATGTTCGAGTATCTAATGATTCAATCGCAGCTACTGAAATTGAACAAAAGATTCAAGAAACCAATGCTAATGAAATTCAGACAAGTGCAGATGTAAAACAAGTGCAAATACCAATAATTGAATTTGATAAGGATGATGAACCATTATTTGGAAGTGTTCAAGCTAGAAGAAATTCACAAAAGAGTGATACTATATCAATAGAATCATTTAAATCTAAAAGTTCAGTAAATGAAAGGGATACCAAAAAATGTAGTCGTGATAAAGATATTAAAAACAACAAAGAAAAAATAGATTATACAAACATAAATGAATTAATTAAACCTTACTGGATAGATTATCATGCTTACAACGAAGCTGAAAGTTATTTGTATCAAAATTTCAAAGTTGTTAGAGTAATCGAAGGAGCACCATCATCCATCACTGAATCAAAGCCAAAATCTTGTGACTTGGAACAAATACGTGGAGTATCAATGATGGAAGCGGTAGACGATAAATTAAAAAAAACTACAACAGATATTATACCATCAGAAAATAGAATATCTGAAAATGATGTAGAAGTAGAATCAAGTGCCATAGCTTTAATAGAAGAAATTCCAAAATATTCATTGTCAGAATTATCATATTTTGAATCTCAGTGGGCTGAAACATTATATGGTAGAAATTCAATTAATCAAAAAATTGAAAAATTAAAAAAATCAACGGCAGATACAGAAGTTGATTCTAGAGTGAAACCTGTTCTGATTATTGATAATGAAAATAAATTGGAAATACCGAAAATTCAAAACGCTGCTACTGAAGTAGATTTAAAACTTACAGATGATGAAAAAATTGTAAAAAAATTATCACAATGTGTAGAAGAGTCAAAGAACCAAATGGATAATGTAAAAGACATTAAATATGATGGATTTTGTATCGTATCTGATAGTTTTGACCGTAGTTATGAATCTATAAAAGATTCTCCATCAACAGAACATGAAATAGTAAAGCCACCATCATCACCATTACCTAAAACTAAAGCTACCAATGATTTAGTTAGTAAATCAGGTGAAAATCAGGTTGAAATTTGTGAAATGCCAACATCCAAAGTGCAATTTTATATTGATGAAGATGATATTGTAGTAATAAGTCATTTAGAGTCAGAAGAAATTCACCTTCCTGAAAAGGTACAACAGCCAGTATCTACATTTTCACCATTGAAATTGACGGATTCCATTGGTATGGATAGTTTTTGGGTGGACAAGCGAATGTATCATGATGCTGAGCTGAAATTTTTCGAGGATTTATCTTCAAAATTAAAAAAAAAGGTTATTAATATTAATAATTATTTTGATCATCGCGATAACAATGATGATTTCCATGATAACTTTGGTGGTGGTAGTGGACCTGGTAAGGGTTCTTTGTTTAATTCTTATAATGAATCGTCATTAGCACCTCGAACCGAACGACTTGTCGCGGATTTACCGGGAGGTATATGTAGCTGGAATGATTATAGTACATACTTATCCTTACGACAAGATAAAACGCGAATAGATGTTCGACAAACTCACATTACTCAACCTCAACAAACAAATGAAAATTCTCACTTTTCTCTACACTCTTCTTCTTCTTCTTCTTCTTCCGTAGACTCATTATCTTTCTCTAAAAATCCTTTCCTTAATTCTTGTAACACTTTACCACATCCTCCAATACTTTCCTATCCAATCGACCAACATTTAGGTCTCGAAATGAAGAAAGCTCAGGAACAAGGCAACTTTGATAATCGAGATTTGGAGGAAAATGAGAAAAAAGCTGAATCACATGGAATTTCTCAAAACCTTAAGGTGTGACATATATCCAGCCAAGTGTTGCTGTTGTGTTGCATCATTAAAATTTTTTTGTAGTTTTATCATAATAATTTTTTTCTTTGCGCTGATAATATTTTTAGCAAACTATGCATTATTTTTTCTCTAAAAATTTTTTTGCTTTATCTAAAGATAATCTTTGCATGAGTTAATAACTAATTATTTTTTAAATTCAATTTCTTTCTATTTTTCATAGTTTACTTTAATTATATGATTTTATTTTTTTTCTTAAAGTTTTATTTAAAAATTCAACTTACTTGCATTCACACAAATTGAAGTTAACCTTTGATTATAGACATTAAAAATAATTCCGGAAGACGCAAACTAAGACACACTGGACGCTGATACGTCAGGATAACTAGAAGTTTACTCATTTTCCTTTTATTTGTGTTATTTACAGGTTTACATTTAAGTTTTTTTTTTAATTAATCTAATTCATTAATCCAACGCCTGGACTTGTACCGGAGTTTCCGTCCTGTATGCACGAGAGTGCTTATAATTGTTTAATCATTTTATCATATTCCAATATTTATTTTTATATTCTCTATTACAGATATCATTAGAAAGCAATATAGAAGATATAGAAAAAGCCATCAGTCAACTTGAAGAATCATTGAAACTTTTACCTCAAGATAATTTGTCAAAAGTTTTCTCAATATTTTTGGTAATATTATTAAACTTTTTTTATACAGTAAATAATCGTATTTCTTATAACAATACATATATCTTCTTGAAATTTTCGTTTTCTATTTAAAATTTTAAATTATATAATATAGGAAAAACTTGAACAACTACAGAAGTATGATGAACAAGTATCTGAACTTTATGAAAATTTAATAAAGCTTGATGCAGAAGCTGACACTGGAAAATTCACGAATATTTTGAAAAAAGTTCAAACTCGAATTACAGTTATACGAATACAAATAGAAGAAGGAGTTGCAGTTTTAGAGAAAGTTATAAAATGTCAACAACAACGAGAAATGGAAATTATTACGTACAAAAATTTCCTCGATGAAACTGATATTTGGTTAAAAAACCTTATTTTAACAATTACACAACTACATTCTATAGCTTCATATAAGGTTAGTATATTAATTTTGTTTTTTTATTTTTGTAAATAATATAGAAATTAATTCTAAAATTGTCAACATAATTATAGATGCTGGAAAACGAATTAAACGAACGAGTCCAGAGTGTGATAAAATTAGAAGCACTTCCAGAAATAAGTGCTCTAGCCAAATCTCTCAAAGAGGCTTTATTGAAAACGAATTTACAGTTGAAGGAAAAGCAGAAGGTATTGAAGATTTACAATACCTCAAGAACTTTTATATTGTTTACTATTCGTCGTACTGCAATAACAGGACATGCTTAACTTTAATTGTTAAACAGATAAAATTTTAACTCATTTCTATACAATATACTCAAATAGAAGTTTCACAGGTTTTCATTACCATACACTTTTTTCTTATTTATCTTTTCTATAAGCTATCTATTTCCACAATAATGTATCATTTGTATCATTTGGTTTATTATATTAATTTTAAGGTGGTGGTTGTAATATAGAAATTGCATGTAATTCTTTTTCATATACATATGTATTGTTATCATTATGTAAACTGTATTCTTTCATTAAATTTTCATCACCTATTTCATTTTTATCAAATTTTTTCTGCCATTTAAAAAAAAATAAAAATATATTCTACAATTTATTTCCATTTTCATCGACGACAAGAAATTCATTTTAAACTGCAATATTTTACATAAACTATGATATAAAATATTAAGAAAAATTCTAAAATAATAATAAATATTCTGTAAGATAAAAAATTTAATGAAATATCAAACAATACATTGTATTTATTAAATCATTTCATCAATATCATTATGAATTATATTGATCGATTTGCTTAAAAATTATTACTTAAAAAAAAAAATTTGATATAACAAAAAAAATATAACTTTCTTATAGGAAATTGAAGAAGACGAAACCATTTGTGCATTAGATGATTTACCTGATCAAGATGACAGAACCCTCGATCAAGCTTCATCAATTCATTCAACTGAAACAGAACTAGGCATTGATGTATCATTACAGACAGGACAGAGTCTCATAAAAGATGAAAAACCAATTCAATTAACAAAACAGACACTAACTGAAATGGGCATTCAGACAACCATTCCTACCCAAGTACTATTAGAAGATTCAAAATTAGCTAAAAAAGAATCAATAAAAATACTAAAAACTACTGATGATACTCATGATGTAATAGAAATAGCTACCCGAAATATTCCCACAACGACTGCTGAGCAGTTTTTAATGCATGAACGAGCTGCTACTATTCCTGATGATATAGTCGTTGATATGAAATATCAAGATGCAAAATTAGAAAAAAGTGCTGTCTCTGAGTTAAATATTGAACATGCAGCCCCACAAACTTTTGAAACTATTCTTACAGAGCCTGAAGATGTTACCACTGAAGTTCTTATAGACGCAGATGGTACAAAAAAAATTGTTGTTCGTAAATTGAGAAAAGTTTTAGTTACGAGTGATCAAGTATCACAGGAACATATAACACCTACGACAAAAGAAGGAGCTCAAACATTTATTGAAACCGCCACAAGTAGCCAACAAGTAACACTAACTCAAACAAAGACTGATGGTAGTATAGAAATGTCTACGAAACAAATTTTTGCAGCAAATGAAGGTTTTAATGTTAAAGAGATTGAAACAATACCCCAAACATTGAGTGACAGTATTCCAAAAGATTTAGTACCATCAGTAGCTACTACTGCTGCTAAATTAATGAAAGAAACAGATCAGTATCAAACTCATTCTTCAACAGTTCATACAATGGTCCAACAAGCAACAAGGCGAGTTATAATAAAAACCCGTAAAACTATTAAAAAGATAACAATTATTGATGGTAAAGAAGTCATGACAGAGGAAATTATTGAAGAGCCTGAAGAAGTTCAAATCGATGAACAAAATATTCCTCATATTAGTATAAACGTTATAAAACAAACAGATCAAAAATTAACAGAATCAGATGACGTTAGAGACGGAGAAAAAAAAGTAGATGTGACACATGAAAGTATAGTATCATCGGAATTTATATCTTCTCCTGTACTACAACAAGAACAATATCAAGCAATAGATCAACCTAATGTGTCATCTATGAATCATCAAGAAACAGAGGTAAATAAAATTAAACTACAATCAACTGTAGAATTAAAAAGTAAAGTTATGATTGATTCTAAAAATTCGGAAATTTTACAGTCGAAAATTTCCGAAGTAACAATTGATAAAGCTGAGCCTGACTCTGTTATTACAGAGGAGGATAGGCCAGTAGATGATACAGTCGTTAAGCTAATTGATGCACCTGTAAAAAGCCCAGTATTCGATATTGATTTAGAGACTGGCACGGTAGAAGTAGTACAGCACTCTGATGATAGCACTGTAGTATCTCCAAGCAAATCTAATAATGTTTTATTAGAAAAACATCAAGACAAATTAATTGCTGATATTCAACAAGTAGATTCACCTAAATTATCTCATGACGATATTGATAAGAGTATTGATTCACCAGTTAATAATGAGACCATTGAAAAACTATCAAGTGAAAGTATTTCAGTTAAACAAATTGATATTACTCCGTCAGAAATAGTTACTGAAGATATTTCTAAAATTTCCCCTATACCTGTTGGTCAATCAAGTGATATTGAAACTGGAAAAAAGGAAAAACAAGATGATTCTGATGGTTCGATTGCCACTACAATCGCTGAATCAGTAGAAATTAATCTTCCTGTATCAGATTCACCCAAACAGCCTACGGAACAAGCACAATCTGATATTTTGGAAAACACAGAGACATCACTTTCTTTTTCATGTCCAGAAGAAGAAAATTTGCAAACTGGATATGAATCTGATGATGGAACTACTCTAGAAGACAATTTAGTTTTTCAAGAACATGAAAGTACAGTATTTAAAAAGAAAAAGAAAAAGAAGAAAAAACAGAAAGTATATGTAAATATCGAAGAAAATACTGAAGTACCTAAAAGTACTACAGATGAAACGGAATTCACTGATAATTCACATAAACAGGAAGAAAAATTAAAGGTTGAAAAGAAACGTAGTAAAAAGCATAAACAAAAAGATAAAAAATTAGTTCAACCATCTGTAGAAATCGATACTCAGACGCAAATTTTAGAAACTCGAGATGCTTCAGCCAATGTAGAAGAAGAATTCGACAATAAATCAGAAAAAATTGATAGTTCTCATCAAACATCTTCCGAGCCAATTGAATTGAATGTTTTAGAACGGGAAATACAAACATTAATACATGAAGAAGTAAATATGGAAATGCAGACATCACCAATTCCAGCATTAGATTCAGGAATTCAAACATTAATTCCTACAGAGATAAACATGGAAATGCAAACGTCACCGACACCAGCATCAAACTTAGAAATTCAAACTCTTGCTCCTGAAGAAATAAATATGGAAATCCAAACGTCTCCAACTCCAGTGTTAGACTCTGAAATTCAGACAATTGCAATTGAATTACCAGCCAAGGAAGATTCATTTATTCAAACTGACTTAATTGAGATTGTTCCTGTTTTTGAAAAAGAGGAAGAAGAAAGTCAAACAAGTTTAGTTGAATTAGAGCCTAATATTCCAGTTAAAGAAACTGAAGAGATTGAAGTCCAAACGACGATTGTTGTAGACTCTTCAGGAGTTCAAACATTGCCTATAGAGACTAAAAAGTTAATAGAGAGTGATGCTCAAACTGAAAATCAATCAGAATCTTTGAATGCTGAACAGCAAACTACTCCAAAACCAGAAATTATTCAGGAAGAAGTAGCGATTCAAGTCGGTACTGAAGTTCAAGTTGTCGAAACTGATGTACAAACTAGTGAACCATTAAACTCTTTAGCAACTTCAACAAAACACTTTGAAATGCAAGCAAATTTAATCGAAGATATCGTAGTAGCAACTATGGCAACGCAAACTACACCAAAAAATAGTCCACGTATTTCTATTGAAGAAGTTGAAGTCCAAACTAGTAATCCACAATTCATGGTAGAATCAGTTATGCAAACAAGCCCAGAGCCCATTGATAAAAGTGCTGAACTTATTCAGTCATTAGATTTAAGTACACAAACGAGTTTGGAAGAACAAACAATTGTAACAGAACAAGAGTCACAAACAATAGAACATGAAAAAAGCTCTTTTGATACATGTATACAAACTATGGCAGATGAATTGATTCCAACCATTGAGGAATACATTCAAAATGTTCCTGAAATAACTGAAACAAGTCTTCAAACTTCAGACTCAGAACTTGAGAGCCAAATCCCAATCTCAGTTGCATCTGTTTCAATTGCTCAACAGACTACAATTCAATCCGTAGAAATATCAACTGTACCTGAGATAGAAATTAATACTCAAGAAATTGCTACTTCACCAATAGCAATGACCAAATTTCTTAGTGATTACGAGACAGAGAAATTAAAATCAAAATTAGAACTAGAGGCACAACCAAGTCTAGAAAGAGAAGAAGATATTCAGTCGATAGATCAGCCAATTAAAACACCTACTGATTCATTGAAATTAGAAGAATCAAGCCAATCTACTGTGATAACTCCCGATAAAAAGGAAAAAATTCCTGAGGAAACAAAAAGTAAAGATCAAGAGAAACCAGAAACACCTATAATGTCAGAAAAAGAATCGACTGATACGTCATTTGAAATTCATGTTCAAGCGACTATTGAACTATCAGAGAGTCTTACACCCGATCAAATAACATGTGAGAGTGAATCAACTAATGTAACTCACGAAACTATAACTTCTGAGGTAGAAAATAAGGACATCGACCCATCAATCAATAAAAGCAAAAAGCGATATAAGAAAAAGAAAAAACAAAAGTCGTCGAAATTGAAAGAATCAAGTTCACCTGAGAAAGATCAAGAGTCAGCTGATTTTACATTAAGTAGTAGTTCCATTGAATCAAAAGATCCAACGATAAAACTATTTTATTCCGAAGTCACGAAAAAAGGAGGTAAAAAAGATCAACAAAAATATCAATTTGATGATCAAAAAGTTAACTTATCATTATCAATCGTAGATCAAGAATTACACGATAGCTCATCTGTTGAAGATAGTACTATATCTAATGATAATTTACAGAATAATCAAGTGGTGGTACCAACAGTAGTTCAACAATCTAACATCAAAAAACAAACTATTCCAGAGGTTATTAAAATTGAAAACGTTCCAGAACCGATGGATACTTCAGAAGAACTTTTATCACCAATGGAATCGGTTATCCTTGATAAAACGATGAATACTGAAAACGACGAGATTTTATGGTCCGATAATTACTTACAACAACAAAATGAAAGATTCAAGTCAACAGCCTCAAGCCCATTCTCCCATGTTTTCCAAAGAACTCAATCTACAAAAATTATATTAGATCGACTGAAAAATTTACAAAATGCTAGAGAAACAAATTGTTTATCAAGCATTTTGCATATTGTTAATTTAGAAAATATTTCTAACTCAACAAATATTGAAGAACGCCGATTAAATATTCAACAAGAATTATCACAATTGGTGCAGGCTATTGAAAATAACGATGCTATAATTATTGAACAAAAATTAACTACTGTAATAGAAATATTTTCCACATGGTTGGAGATAATTGAATATCAGGTATTCTTTGGAAAGAAAGAATTAAATGATCTGTCTGAGAAGAAATTTTACAATGAAATGAAAGATGAAGTAGATTATGTAGAAGAGAATATTAAAGAATTAGATGAAGTTTGGAAAGAGATTGAAAATAATTATTCAGAAGATGAAAAAGAAAAAATTCAAGAGTGTGTAAGTACTTTATCAGAACAAGCAGCTATGATTAAAAGTGTTATCAACAATGAAGAACAATATGCTACTACTGAACAACTAAAATGGAATGAACTATTGTCCAATATTAGCAATTTATTTAAGTAAGTAAAATAGATAAAATTTTTTATTAAACTTTTGTTCACTATTTAATATTCTAATATAAATTTTGCCCTTTTAAAAAATAATAAAATAATAATAATTATATATATACCCATTTTTTTATAGGTTAATTAAGGAACAATCTGAGAAATTGAATGGCATAATTGATAATGAATTGACAACAACAATATGGAAATTAGAAGAGCTAGATAAATTAGATAACACAAACCGTTTTTGTATGGAAGAATTAAATCAATTATTGACAATTATCCGTAACTTTTTGATAAATCATCCAGATAAAAATATTCCAGAGGAGACATATGTTGAAGCATATAATTTGTCTCAATCAATTGATAATAAAATTGGGATTGAAAGGGAACGATTATTCCAGCTACTTTCTCTTGCTGAAGAATATGAACAAACTCTTCAAGAATTTTCTCAAATTACAGATATCGCTGAAAATTTATTAGCCAGTCCTATTTCTGTTGTAAGTTTAGAACATTTAAGAGACGAAATGCAAAAGCATAGAAAGTTTTTTGTTAATTTAAATCATTGTCGAGCGATATTAGAATCACTGGAAGATAATTTAGATAATGAGACGAAATTGAAACACTCTAAATTACATGAGAAACTACACAGTCGGGCGATAGCATTACTAGATCAAGCAGCATCTAAAGCTCAGCAAATGTCACTGGCAGCATCTAGATGGATGCTTTTAGAACAAGGTATTAAAGAAGAACGCGGATGGCTTCAAGTTGCTCATCAACGAGTACCGGATTTGCAATCTATTACCTCTTCTGATTATGATCAGTATATATCATTATATCAATCACTATCATCTAACATAGGAACACATCATTCTCGAATTATTCAGCTTCTGAATTTAGCTGGTAGTCTTAAAGAACTTATAAATATAGAAGATTCAGAAGATCGCTACCAAGAAGCTTTGGATGTGATTTGTAAACTTCAAGAAAATGTAGATATGTCCTTGAGGCAACTTTTATTATTCAGAGATAACTGGACAACTCAGGAATTACTGGTCGATCGTTTAGAGAAATGGATAACAGCAGCTGAAAAAGATTTAGGCTCTATGCAAAATGATTGGGAAGGACATATGCGTTATTTCTGGGTAAGTTTTTTTTTTATGATCCTAAAGCTGTTAGTACATAAGTTGAGATAAAACTCTACAGCTAAATCTTGAGAGTTTCAATGCGTATTTTGGAGAGATCATTCTATTAGGCTTGGCTCATTGCCATAAATACAAATCTTTTTTTAGGAGAGTTAATAGTTGAAAACTTTTTTTTATTCCAAAAAAAAAACTTTAAAATGATTCTTAAACGAAAATTACATATAGTTATGGTTAAAAAAAATTTTGTACTTTTTTTTAATTTGATAATTTTATTATTTTTCTAACAGGAATTGAAAGCTCAATACGAGGTGCATAATAACATAAAAAATGAAGCCAACGACTGCTTTGAACAAGCTCTACGCATAATTCCATTATCTGATGAAATGATCCAAAGACAATTTCATGGAGAATTCCAAGATCGGTGGCATAAAGTTGCGAAAAAAATAAAAACAATACAGAAAGCCGTGGCTGACACGATTACATCTGAAGAAACACCAGTTGATGAGAAACTGAGATTATTAAAAATAGAATTGAATGAATTACAAATGACAATAGAAGGTTTTCATGGAGTATTAAAAACGGAAGATGAACTTGAATTATATGTTGAAAGACTTGGTGTTCTTTTTGAGAGAGTATGTACTATTCAAGATGAGTTAAGTAAATTAGGAATGTTATCAGCTACTGAAAGTGAAAAAGTCAGTGTGCTACTTTCATCTGCACGAAAAATAGAAAGTCAAATAGGCGAAGAATTAGATTTAGCACAACTCGTCAAAGAGCGTCTTCAATCTCTTCAACGTGGTCTTACACGTATTCGCAAAGCACACATCAAGCAAACATTGACTTTAGATGAATGTGAAAATTGTGAAAATCAGGCAAGTGACATTGTAGCAGGTGGAGTTGAAAAATGTCAACAAGTCATTGATGAATTAGCTATTCTTTGGAAAGATCTAATGGGTCTTCGACAACTCCTTCATACTCTCCCCAATGGTATGAAAATTTCAATCTCTCCAGTAGGCATCGAAAGAGATATATCTAGCCTCCTAGATAATCATACAGATTTAGAATCTCGATGTACTCGGCTTTTATCGCTACTACGAAACAGATTGAATTTATGGCGGCGATTCGAAAAACAACTTGAATTAGTTCAACAGTCAGTTCAAGAAGCTGATTACATGATGGAACTTTTGAGTATTCAGGGAACTGTTGATTATGAAAGATTATTGAAGGCTACAGAACGTCTTGAGGTAAGTTTATAACAAAGCAATAATTTTGGTATACATAAAAAACCTGAAATCATGATTAATAATGTAAATATTTCAATTGAATACATGTAAATAATGAATTAGATGCAGGCATAATGATTGTCTTATCATTTTGATGAACGATTTTATATCAGTAGATTACAGAGCTTGATTCGAATTATTGTGTTACTTAAATTCGTTCTAGTTAAAAAATAATAAGAAACAAAACCATGTCATATATTAAAATCATAAAATTGTAATTATATGGAAGAATAGTGAAAAATTATCTTATTATAAAAACTATTTAATTTATACGTTATTCAGTAATATTAGATAAAATGATTTCTTTTGAAATAATTATATTTAATAATCATATAGAATTATATAATCCGGTTGACAACATGTAAAAAAATATAAATATAATATTCTTGATAATTATTTAACGGTGCGTCTGCGTGTTGTGTTCGCAAAACACATTTCCCGGGAAACCAAGTAGTCTGCTTAGTCAGTATCGTTTGGACTGTTGAAGAATGACTATGTAACGGCTTCAGTTTTCAACTATCATCACACGTGGTACTATTTAATTCGATTAATTGAATAGTAAGATGTATATTGTGGTTAATTAAAAGTTTCTAAGAAGTTTTTTTGAATATAAATAATTTGATAAATATTATCAAAGGTAATGATGTAATGTTTTTAAAATTAGAAATATTTAATTTATCAAGTATTTTAATTAGACATTTATTATGGAGTGATTTTTTTCAAAAACCTGTTGAATTTTATCATGAAAAGAAGTGGTTTTATAGGAAATGACAAATGGTTATTCACGATCGGAAGCGGTTAAAATTATCTTGAAAAAAATATTATAAGAGTTTTTTCAATAAATATATTTTTTTTGCTAAAAAATAGGTCATAAAAAATAATAAATAAAAGTGTATATTATTGTTAGAATGGCAGAGTTTAATAAACTATTTATGGATACCGGATGCGTCGACGTTCGTGACCTGCATGCTTCAGTATGGCCACTATGTACATATACTAACAATTGTTTAAATATTATTTACTAACATTATATATAATTAAATGTAATTCGTGATATTGATGAAAATGATTATTTTTCATCTACTATAGATTATTTAAAATACCGTTCATTTAGTATATTCTTAAAGTTAAACACATTAATTAACAGGTGTGAATGATTTTGACCTTGGTTAATACCGCTAAAATATTTAAATTGATTAAAAAATAAATTTTTCTTTTTTTCATCAATAATATTAAATTCAAAAATCGTAACGAGCATAAAATTTAAGAAATATTATGTTCATGATGTAATGTCAGAAAATAAACTCATCTGTAAGTCGTAAACTATTAGTAATTTCTACTTAGTCGATGTAAATGAAATTGAAATATTTATATGCTCATTGATGCAAGAATAATATTAATAATAAGTAGATATTCAATGTAAACATTGGGAAATAAACGCTATCACTTTAATGCACATTATATTAAATATTATGATGATATTAATACGTATCAAACATTTTAGGGTCTAAATGGAGATTTAGGTGCAAGAGAAATCTTAATTGGTGAATTACGTGAAGCTGCTGAACCTTTACAAAAAAGCTGTTTACCGGAAATTGGTGAAAAAGTCAATGCTGCTGTTAATGAAGCTATTCAAGCTTGGGAAAATACCAAAGCTGAATTAGATGCTCTTTGTATTAAATATCAACATGCTGTAAAACTTTGGGAGCAGTATAGAGACTCAAGTGCTGCGGTCAAGGCTTGGGTTGACACTCAAATGGGAAGTGTAACTAATCTCCCACCCGAAGAAGCTCTCAAACAAGTTAAGGTAATATCATTTACATAATTCATTATAATAGAGTTATTTAATTTTAAGTAATCTTCTTAAATTATATTATAAGTCTTTAGAGATTTTCCTTATTATAAAAAAAATTCTATTTAGCAAAAGTAATTATTTCTATTTTATATTATTCAAATCTTTAAATATAAATATTCCATATCCTCTATGATCATTAAATAAAGCATAGTATGTTTACATGCTTCTATTATTATAATGAGCTTTTCGTTTTTTTTACATAATTAAATATTGATCTAAAAAGATGTTATCACTTGACTTAACTAAAAGGCTATATTTTATCAAGTAAACACAAACTATTTAATAAAATTAATTAATTATATCAATAACAGTATCATCTCTGCATACGTTATTTCATTCTCATTAAGAACATATGTGTTTGCTTTTACTTAATCTTTTCATCTTTGTCCCTCTCATCGTCACAATCACGTGCATCAATATTAGGGTGATGGGAGAATTGGTATTAGTAGTGGTAAAACATTCACCCTCTAAAAGTGAGGGGGATGTGATGTACATAAACGTAAAAATTCTCTTTTTTCTCCCTTTTCAACTTTTCATGTATGAATTCATCTCTCTTGCGCTTGCTCTCTTAGTAGCAAAAACCGTCACATCGATTTCCACAGTTGCCAGTTTGGTCCATGACCATACTCCAAGATAGTGTATTATTGCTTCACGCGTACTCTCTTATCTTAAATATTTTTCTTCATTTAAGTATTTTTATCTATAAATTCAATACTTGTGGTGTATTTTTAAATTATAAAATCTCAAACAAATTAAAAATAATAATTTTTGTGTTACTTTAATTATAATACCATAAATTAATTCAAATTCACTATTATTAATAAATTTATCAGTTAATGTGATTAATTTATATACAACGTACTTATGTGAATATGAATTGAATGAATATACAATGCAATTACGTCAGCATTATTTATTCAAGTTAAAATAATTATTTAAAAACACGTGTATTGAAATATAAACCATTCAGCAAGTTTAACTTCTTAATTCAGATAAACTATATGTGATAAACATGTGATTTCTTGTGTATTTCATATTATCAATAGTACCAAGTAAAATTCGATAATTATTTTAGTAAAATTTTGTAAATAAATACTTATACATATGTTAGTATGATAAATTAATAATAATTACAATGTGTACTCCAGAAGAATTAAAGGTATTGTTTTTTTATAAATAATAATAATGTAGTTGTTATTATTTGATAATTTTAGAATTTTTTTCAATCAATTCATGGTTTACTTGGTGAATTATTAAAAGAATTGTTGGATTTCCAAGGATACATATAATTAAGTAATCGATATGATATGAAATGGTGTTAAGTGAATTATAAATAAAAAAAAATATTGTGTTTAAAAATTGTTAATTTTTAAAAAATATTTAAAAAAAAAAGTAAAGAAAATTTTCTCGATAAACTAAAGGTGCTAAAAAAATCAAGAGAATTTACGTTTAGCGATGAATAATATTCCTTTGCAGACAGTATCCAGAAAATACTCCTCTATAAATATCACGGTATAATGAACAAGTATTCAGCTGTCTTGAGAATAAACCGAGCTAACATTCTTATAATATTTCGACTTTTCCTCTAATTTTGCGTTAAATTTAAAAGCCATAGCTATTTGTAAAATTTATATTTATAATTTGTTGATTTTGTCTTATAGGTTTGTGAAGAAACTCTTGCTGAACATAAACAACGGCTTGCAGAATTACGGGGTTTAGTAGCACAAATTGCTTCAGATGTTGGTCTCGATGCTGTCAATGGTCCTTTGCAATATGAGGTTGAAGCCTTAGGACGTCGCCTTGAAGATGTTCGTGAAACTCTAGCTACTCTAGCAGACACTGCGGATGCACGTGCGCTTAATCATGAATTAACACGTGGTGATTTATGTCAAACAAAGAATTTCCTTGATTCAGTTCAACAGGTAAATTGATGTCCAGTTTTGTTTTTACCATCATTATTTACTAAAAATATTTATAATAATATTGCATTCTCAAAAAATATAATCAAATCACATAAGTTGATTATACAATGTTTTATAAACAGTAATTAACTGTCTAAAATATTCAAGGCTATTTTATTTCATAATAACAAATTTCCAAGGATTTAAAAACAGATAGGAATTTTTTTTACTTTTTTAACATAATACACGTGTATCCATAGTTTATTATACATGTATATTACTTGTATCACTCCTCAGGGTTAATACTTTAGTACTTGAGAGGTGCGGCGCGCAGTAGGTGCTTGGCACAACTCAATCATCCTCGCGCACGAGGGCATATATTTTAATTGTAGTTTTGAAACAATTTGTTATGTCAAGGCCAAAGGACTTATCCTTCTATTAGGCTATTTACATTGGTCACGATATCTGCAATAGTTAGAATGCTCAATGAATAAACAATCTCTTTTCTTAAATATGTTACATACTTGAATGAAATTCTCCAAATTAATTGTATCTTTTTTTTTATGCAGAGCTTGTCATCTATAACAACGACAATTGGATCAGAAGAATCTAAAGAACAATTAAATCTTCTCCGAAATCATCTGTTGGCATTAACGAGAACTGAACCACAACTACAATCTATAAAAGACCGTAGGTTAGATATTGTTACCACAGAAACATCAGTTGTAGAAGTTTTACAATTATGGCAAAGTGTATTCCGCGAAACATTTCAACAATACCATCGATTGTCTGCTCGATTGGTTCGATCAGAAGATGTATCAGCTACGCTACGTCTTTGGCAAGAATATCTTTCTCATGTTCAAGAATTCTTGTCCACCGATATCCCGGGTGATTATAATGGACTATCCGAGCACAGAAATTTGTGTCAAGTTCATAAAAATTTATTAACAGATCAACAGCATTTAATATTATCTATTCAAACGGAAAAGAAAAGCCAAGATATTTCTGTAGCAGAACAGTTTAATGTTTTAACAAATTTTCATAATGAAACATTGTCTAAAATTATGGAGCGACATGCTTCAGTGCGAGATAGACTTGCAGCTTGGGATAAATACAAATCAGATCAAAGTAAATTATTAACATGGCTAAAAGATATTGAACGAGAGAAAAATCGGTTACAATTAAGATTTATACATTTACGAAGGATAGATAAAATTATTTCAAAAATTGAAATGCTTCTAGAAAAAATCCCAGCTGGTCAAGCTCAAATAAATTCACTTAATATTCAACAAGATTCATTATTAATTAATTGTGAAGAAGCACTGGCTGTTTCAGTACGAATGGAGCACGCAGCAAATACTCAAAGACTAACAAATCTTCGTGCTAGTCTTGAAACATGGCGAGATTTTGTATTAAGAATCCGACAATTAAATGCAAAACATGTTGATCAAACTACTACTATTACTGCAACTTTTCAAGAAATAAGTCAAGCATTAAGTACTGCATTCCATACTACTTCAACTAATCTTATTCAAGTAAAGCAACAATTAAATTCTTTACAAAATTTGAAAAGTAAGTTAATCGATACAACAACTAATCTCGAAGCCCTTGGAGTAACAACTGAACAACTTTGTGAATGTCTTAGTCCTTCAGACATGAAAAATTTAAATCAACACATTGCTTTACTTTGGCAGCAACATGGAGATTTAGAACATCAATTGGCATTATTAGCATACAAATTAGGAGAACGTTTAAATCTTAGAGGAAAATGGGATACTAGATTATCGAGATTTATTATTTGGGTGACTGATACAGAATCTAAAATTCATGGTTATAATACAACAACGACTATGGAAGAACCAGAAGAAGCCTTAAAAAAATTAGAGGGAGAACTGCATGCTGAAATGACTTTAAAGCAACGTGAATTTGAATGGCTTCAAACAACAGGCCAAGAATTGATAAATAATTCAAATGAAGATGAAAAAATAATATTGAAAAAATCCTTGGATGACTTAAATGAAAGATGGAACCAATTAATGAATGTCGGTAAAACTAAAGCTAATAAATTAATTGATTTAATGCAGACAATAAGCTTATTAGAAAAAAATATTGCGGAAATCAGAGGTTGGCTTGGAAAGATTGAACTTCAACTTGTTGATACATTTACGATTGAATCAAAGACTCAAAGTACAATTGATAAAAAATTGAAAGATCATGAATTATTACAGAAATCAATAGAAGAAGAAAGTGGTAAAATTGGTGAAATATTTAATCTTTGTGAAATATTATTAAATGATTGTGATGCCTGGAAAGTATCATTTAATACTGATACTATTAAAAATGGAATGCAAAGTTTAGAAAAAAGATGGAAGGCCACATGTGTTAGATCTGCTGATAGAAAACGAAAAATTATCATGGCCTGGAAACTTATTCAAGAGCTTGATAAAATTAAACAAGAACAAGAAAAGTGGATTACTGAAGTTGAAAATGAATTAAAAACTATAGAAGAATCTATAGAAAAAATACCAAAAGAAAATACTGAACAAACAATTTCTAGAGTAAAAATTATTTCGAAAAATATTGATGTACATAAACCAGCATTAATAATAGTTGAACAAAATTACAGTAAGTTATCAAAAAGTGGTTTGGAACCAGGAAACTTCAAAGTTCTAACAACAGATGTTCGTTCTTTATTAGATAGATGGCAAGCTCTTAAACCAAAAGCTAATTCAATCATCAGTTCTCTCCAACATGAGCAAAAAATATATCGTGAATTTATTTCGGCTCATGGATCAGCAGTCGTTGGTCTTACACAAATCGATGTTAAATTAACACAATTACAGCATCTTTCCCAAGATGATAGATTCAAGTATCAACAAATAATAGATATTGATAAAGATTTAACCGTTCAAAATAATATTCTCCAGCATGCTGATGAATTAGCGTTAATTGTGATGCAAAATTGTTATGCAAGCGACATCCCTGCAATTCAAGAACTCGTAGATGAATATCAATTACTTTGGCGAGATATCAAGACAAGAGTAACTACATTAAAAGCCAACATCGAAGAAAATTATAAGAAGGAAGTGGATGAAGCAGTTCAAGTAGAAACTTTGAAATTCGAACAAGATAGTGCAGTTCAAGTAGATACATTACCACGATTAATGAGAATGACTTCATGTGATGCTTACTTGATAGAGCTGCAATCAGCTTTATCAGAATGTCAATGTGTTTTGGAAGAATTAGAAGATGCTATTGCTCCTGAGCCAGTAGCTGGGCCAGGGATTGCATCAACTGCTAAACATATTGCAAAATTAATTGGAAGCTGTCAATCTGCTATTGAGCTTGTTAAACATTTACACAGCTTATTGATGCAAGATGAAAAATACAGTAATGAAGCTGCAAAAATTTTCCAAGTAAAGGAACTCAATACACAATTTGATGATCTATTAATTCGTGCTCGAGCTCGAGAACAGCAAATCAAAGAAATAAGGTCAGTTACTAATAAAATATTAACACTTAAATCACATCTAATAAATAATAATAATAATTCAGTCAATAATATAATTTCATATTTGAATATAGATAAACTCATTGTCATTAATAAACGTATTAATATTTTTATTATTGCATTAACAGATCACCATCAATTGGCTTATACTCTTTTTCATGTGAACAGTGAGTCTCTTTACAATCATTTGCTAATATTTTTTCCATTGTCTAACATTGATTAAAATTAATTAGTTTAAAATGTTTATGTACTAAATAATGGATCTTTAATTTTTATTATAGTGACAAAAGTCAATTGCTGATGTCCTGCCCCGTTTGTTCTCGAAGAAATTGGACTCAAGTTGACATTGATTTATGGAGACTAGAGAAATGGTTAGAATATGCAGAAGGCATTCAAAAAAATCAATATTCTCCGCCAAGTAATATTGAAGAACTTGAAGATATCATTCAGGCCCATCGTGAATTCTGCTTAGATCAAGACAGTCATAAAAATATCATTATTAGTTTGAATATTGTAGGATCTCACCTCGCTGATCATACAGATAGTATTGAAAAAGCAGAAGAATTACGTGACAGATTAATCACTGTAAATAGAAGATGGGATCTAGTTTGTCAAACTGCTAAATCTTGGCAAACCACACTTCAGACTGCTCTTATGAATAATCAACAATTTCATCAAATTGTTAATGAATTATTAGATTGGTTAGTAAAAACTGAGTCTTTGATACATGAAAATGAACCTATCGATTTGATGGAAGCTACTGATGTTATTAGATCGAAATTTGATAAATTCCGGTAATTGAAATTATTTAATTACGAGATAATAATAATAAGTCAAATAAGAAAATTAAATAATAATTTTCTTTATTTTCGAATATTTTAGAGAATTACAAAGCGATTTAGAACGTTGCGAACCACGTGTTTTATCACTTCAAGAAGCTGCTAATCAACTACTTGATGAACATTCTAAAATTCGTAAACAACTACAAGAGCTTAGACTTCATTTACAATCATTGAGACGATTAACAGGCATTTATACATTAAAACTTGGTGCAGCTCTTGGACTAGATCCACAAGAAGTGGGACTCACTACATCTTCTTCATTGGCTACTCTTTCACAAGATGTAAGTAATATTTTTTTACAATTATTATAGATGTAAAGTGGTGTAAACAGTCAAATAAATGAAAAAATTTTTGTAATAATGAATTTTAAATTTCAGCAATCTTTCGCATTATCGTAGTCTAAGCACTTAATAATTCACAATATTTAATGAAATAAGATTAAATATAGATTTATCAATAAAATTTGGATAAATAAAAATGATTTAAAGTTTTTATTACAACTTGTTAAATTTACAAAAAGATAAATAATGATCCAAAATTTATTGAAATTAATTTAAGTAGTATCACTTCACTTGCACCGTATTTTATAGTTTTGTATTTCTTCTTTTGCTCAAATCTAGCTGCTCGACAAAGCTACCTCTGGGACCAGTCAACTTAATCAAGCCTCTACAACAGAGTATGTTTTATTTTTAACTTGAAATTAATATAATTTATTAATATGTAATTAAATTAACAGTTTTATTTCAATTAATTTTTATTGACTAATTATTGAAAATAGTCATAAATTTACTATAAAAAAGATTAAGAAAAAGAGAAAATAAATTGTTATAATTAATTTATTATTTATGTATTTGTTGCAGTGGTGACAACGAAAGATCCAATGGCACAATATTGGTACGTGGATACCGTTTCGTAGGTCGTGTACTACGGGCTTCCTTACCTATTCAAGCTTTAATGCTTTTATTGCTCGGTGTAGCATCATTAGTTCCTACAGCAGAGGATGATTACAGTTGTATGCTTTCTAATAATTTAGCTTCAACACTTACTCCAGTACTAAATTATCCTAATGGTCCTCCACCGTTGTAAGAAAATGTTGAAAAAACTATGTACATAAAAGAAGAAAAAATTATATTGATTATAATTTAAATAATATTCATTTCAGTCTTATTGATTGATTTAATTATATAATTAATTTATTCATCATTTCTATATTATATTTATTAAATTGTATATGATAAAATTAAATAATGTAAAAATTATGACAAATTTTTTAATATTTGTAAAAAAAGTTTATTTAAAAATAAAAATGTCTATGGTGCTATTCATTAAAAAAAAATATAAATTGTGTGTAACACAACATAAAAACGATGCAACGTTTTTCGAAAATAAATTATATAATATAAAATTATAAATAATGCTTCAATGGTTGATAGAATAATATAATTTAGATAATTTTGGCGTATCACACGCAATGTGACCTCATTATGTATTTTTATATTAAAAAAAGAATGCTGTAATTGAAAATAAAAATATACAATTGAAATAATATAACTATCAATTATAATTTGATTGATTGTATAAAAAAATAGGAATTTTGGTGAAAAATGAATAAAGACTTATCAATGCCTTAAAAATAAATTATTTAAATTATGTAATGCAATATAAAAAATCGTACATTAATTTTGGAATTTTCTATAAATTTATACATCTTGATAAAAATATACATGTATTATAATCTTACGAGCAATATTACTATACAAATTTATCATTCAGTTTAATTTTTGAGCGCCGCTAATTGTTCAGAATATTCCAAGTATAATCTTTGCCAGCGTAAATGACCACCTATAACACTCAATGCATCTGATAAAAGTTTATGTTTTTTAATACCAAGTATCATTGGATCCCATGATGTACTCTTTGATGCTAGACTATGACTTGGACCCATTAAGTCATCTAGAATAATTCTTAATTTTCTTTCCAGTCCATCTATAATTATTATATAATTATCAAATTATTGCATTAATAAATAATTTAGTAAAATATTATAAATATATAATAAAATACCTTGTGTTAATATAAATGAAATTAAAGCCATAAACCAATGTACATATTCTTGAGAGCTTCCAAGTGCTTTTGATGCTAACAGCTGTTGTTCAAAGAACGAAACAATACTCGAACCACTATGAGGTGGTCTGGGATTTGGCATAGAACCAGCAACTCGATTTAATCCTTCTTGCAGAGTTGAGAGAGGTCCACGAGGTGTTCTACCACCAGCAACGGTAGATGCACTTTGTGCTGACCAACGCCATATTGGATCGTGACTATCACCAATCAATATCCATGTTCCTGAAAAACATTTATGATAAAATATAAATATGATATTTATAATTATTCTTATTAAAATGAAACACAGTAACACGTACCCATTTCTTTATTGTATACGTAGGCTCTTGCATTCGTAAATCCTAAATGTGGCATTCCATTATACAAATTACATGTTAAAAGAGATCCTCCGATAGCTGCCAAGTGACTTGCAGATGTTGAAACAATTAATCGTGATATATTTCCAATTTCCCATACTCGAACAGCTCCACAACATGAAATAACCATTACAACATTACCCACCGCATGAACTTTAGCTAATGGTGCTGGTGGAGCTAACGGAGGTGAAGGTCTTGATCCTTTTACAGGATCAAATGTATGTATACTACCATCTTCTAAACCTACAGCTATCACTGCTGCTGAAGCAGCTAAGGCTACAGCATTGTATCCTAAATAAACGTCCCATGTAGGTTCAGAGTCAGTACCACGAAAAACTTGTAAATGAGATAAATTTTTATTATTTGTTATCGTTACGGCATAATGAGCCGCTTGTTGAGATATCGAACTCATTGACTTTAGTGCTGGAAATACATGTTGTCCGATTTTTTCAAATACAATTTTTGGCCTTCTGTCGTGAGAATTATGATGAGTTTTCGAAGTTGACGGGTCTCGTTTTTTCAATGTAGGTATGGAAGAAGATGATGCATTTGTTGATGCATTAACTGTTGTACTAACGTTCGGTGTCACAACAACATCATCGCGTTTTTCAATTACAATTGAACTTTTTGTTTGTGAAGTACTAAAAAATATAGATGTATTTTTTACAGAAGAAAAAGATTCAGAATTTCCAGTATTTCTGCCAAAAAAAGAAAAAATAAATAAATAAAATTTATTATTGAATGTAATTATGGTATTATAATAATATTAACTTACACAGTATCGGGTGGAGGTGGTATAAACATTGGAGTAATTCGTCGTCGTCCATCAGACGTTTTTGTTTCGATTTGTTTATTAATAGGACCTTTTATCGAAGGGGAAGATGATTGTGATGAAAGACCATTTGATAAAGATGTCAAAGTATTGGCAGTAGTTGTAGTCGTTGTTGTTGTTGTAACAACATTGGTAGATGATTGAGTTGTAGATGTTTTTACATTTAATAAAACTGGAGATTCCATCACTGTACAACCACCACCTTGGACTAAAGGTTTTCCGTACAACCTTTCATGAAGACTACACTACAGTAGAAAAAAAAATTATTTTATATCTCCGAAATTATAAAATTTTATGATTATTATTAAGAAATATATATTTACTTGTTCAGCAGGATCAAGTGGTTGTCCCAATTCTTGTTGCGTAAATTCAATAAATGCTACAGTTCCATCCCAAGAACATGCTGCTAATCTTAATCCACAAGGAGACCAACTAGTATCGAGTACGGAATGAGTAAAAAGTTCATGAATTACAACAAGCGGCCTTTTAAGTGATGTCAACCACACAGAAAGTGAACGATCTCTTGATCCAATAGCAACACAACAATATTGTTGTGGCTTTAATGATCCTGGTGGTTTTTTTTGCAATATATTACCATTGAATCTCTGTGTTGAAAATAATTGTAAAAATTTCTTTCAATATGTTTTATAGAAAAAAAAAAAATTAATAAATACATACTACACATGTAACAGCTTTTCTATGACCAACAAAATCTTTATCTCGGGTCCAGCCTTCACGTTCAATTATTTGTGCTGTTGGTCCACCTCCATTCATAGCATGAGCTGAGACTAAATATTGGCCATCAGGACTCCATGATAATCGTAATACATGAGTAGTTCCACCACATTCATCAAAAGGTTCAGAAATTAACGTAGCTTCGCCCCAATCAGTGGTTCGCCAAACTCTTAATGTTTTATCATCTGATTGTGACGCTAAATATTTACCAACTGGATCCCAAGTCACACCTTTCACCAGTCCTGTATGTCCTTTTAATATCGCCACAATAGCAGGAAACTTTGAAGCATCCCAAATAATAACATTATTATCTACAGATGCCGATGCAAGCCATAGATTATGAGGAGCCCAAGCAAGGTCTAGTACGTCACCTTCATGACACCTCAATGTGGCTATACATCGCCAATTTTCTACTCCTGCTTTTCCACCAAATATTGAATTTGTACCACAACCCATTCCACTGCTTCCTGCTAATCTCCAAATCATTACAACTTTATCATCACCTCCGGAAGCTAATAAGCCACTAGGACTCCATCTTACACAATTAACACATGCTATAATATTGAAAATTAAGTTAATAAAATGTGATATTTTTTAAATATAATTAAGAAATTAAAATTAAAAAAAAAAACATACCCAAATGGTTATCTAATTGGCAAAGCATTTTTGGTACATTTTTATTTAATTGAACAGTCTCATTAACAACTGGTTCCATATTCCATATGACAACCTTACCGGAATCTCCTCCTGACAATAAGAAGAAAAGAAATGTATATTTTTTATTCATAAATGCTGCTATGATAGACTGAAAATTTGCATACCTTGTCCTCCGGTAGCAAAACGTTTGCCATCTGGATGAATATCAATCGAAAATATTGGATGATCTGTCAAAAAGAATAGCTAAGTATCTTTTCTATTATTTATAAAAATTAAATATACGAAAAATATTGAAACTTACTAGCTTCATGTGTCACCCAAATGGGCTTGATCAACTTCATTTTTAAATAGTATTTTTCTTTTTACACTACATAAATGTATAATTGTAATATTTTGAAACTGAAATGAATTATTAAAAATTAGTTAGCATAAATTTAAAATATAAATGCTTTTTTTCTTTTTAAATAAATTGTATGATAATCTACAATAATTACAAATTTCTAACCTCTAAAAACTTTATCATTTAAGATACTTGTTGAAATAAAAAGTATGAACATTTTTTCTATCGAAAAAAATTGTCAAGTATGTGAAGTAATTGGAATTGTTGAAAAATTAAAATTTATACATATAAACTCATACTTTACCAGTAACTACCGGTACACACATTGATTGTATGATTAAACTGATGATGTAGAAATTCCTCAAACAGCATTTGGAGTAGTAGTGCAATTCTAGTTGAATTATTACACTGATTTTCTTGGTGTGTGTATACATGTGTGTATATTGTATATATGTGTTGATAATGTAGAGATGGAAAAAGCATATAGCTGCTGATTGTCAGATGTGCTAGAAGCTCTATCGATAAATAATCTTGACGTTTTTTAAATGTACTCAAAACATTTAAATATCAATTGCTAGCATCACAAAATATCCAGTTATTTTATTAATATATATAATTCCAATAATACACAATAAAATAATTATTTAAATCAATCATATCTCCAAAACTATCTTATTAATTCAGATACACATAATAGCATTGAACCCATCAAGTTTATTTATTAAAAGAGATCGATGGAAATAATGGATAAAATGTAGGGATTAGAAAAAAATAAATAATAATTAAAATTGAGAGTAAGATATCTTATTTATATTCTACTATTAGTATCTAACTATTATTAATAAACTATAGTTTATGATATTAATAATAATTACATTTATTATAAATTGCAAATTAATATTGATAAAATTATTATTTTATCAATATCTTTATTTTTATTAAATATTTATAATTTTTTAATCGTTAAAAAGTTAAAATACTCGTAGTAACTACAATTTTTTTTTTCTTTTCATTGCTCTCTTTCTGCGGTATTTCTTCTTTTTTAATTTATCTTTACAATTATAATTTTTCATGCAGAAAGAATATTAAAAAAATCTTTTTCAGTACATTTATTTCGAGATATTAATGTTTTATACACAGTATTCGCTAATATAGTAATAGTAATTATAGATAGTAGTTAGCAGTATTGGCGCAATGCAATTTGCACTTTCAATTGATCGGTTAATATTTGACAAAAATACAAAAATTACTAATTTATGACAATCATTATGAGAAACAAACTTTCACCGTCTTCTGATTATCAGACATCACTTTTTTTCCATACTTATATCGTGTATTTTATCTATTCAATGTATCACTGTATGATCAACTTGCGCTTTAATTTAATATTTAATTTTTTTTTTATTGTAAATTACATTTACACGGTATTTTCAGTTAAATGTTAATCATATATATATATAACACAGAATCATTATATCATGTATGAATAGTAAAAAAAATTCCCAAAGCAAGTTATGTGATTGATTCGTTTAAATAAACTTTAAGTTTCAAGACACTTGTTTTTTTTTTTATTTAAATCATTTATAAATTTGACATACGTGTACACGTGAAATTTGTTTATATATAATACGTAGATGGGGACCAAAAGCTCAATTATTATTGCATTTAATAAGTACAGGATAAAAATTTTAATTCAAATTGTGTATATTATGCTGTATAAATATATACACTTGTAAATCTAGTCACCATCAGAATTATTATTATAATTCATTGAAAAATAGACAAACGCTTTATAAATTGGTATACAAATTATCACGTGTAATCGTTTCATTGTAACTTGCTTATGGTAATGTGGCTAATATCCAAGTCATTATATTTATATAATTTTTTCAATGATTATTTGTTAATTATTATTCATGTACAATATTTTTTGCATGTAAAAAAAGAAAATAATGTTATATTATTTTAGAGTAGACAGAATTATTTTGTAGCGTTGCTCGTTTATTGTGAATAATTTATCGAGCAATTGAGTTTCATAATTTTATTATTACAGAACAAATTTAATGAATACATGTATACAAGTACACAGGACCCTCGACACTATTTAAGTCATGTGACATTAATAAAAAATAATGATCCGTTTTTTTGTTAAATCTTTTTAACTATAAGCCAATTGTAAGAATTTTAGTTTTTTTTAATTTTTACTTAACTTTGGTTATATTTTATATGATTCAAAACAATTACTTTTCCGCTTCATAGTTTAAACTTATAATTGATGCGGAATTAACGATAATTATCTTATAACATTAAACGGTTGTTTGAAGGATAAAAAGTGAAATAATAAAATGAAATACAAATAAACATTATTATGAATATTTGTATAGTAATAGATAAATTAATGATAAATTTTAAATGATACACCATTATTTTATTATAAATAATAATAAACATAATGTAAAAAGCTTAAGTAATTGTCATTGATTAGGAAGAATTTATATAAAAAAATCAATCTATTCACGGATAAATATTACTTTTAAAATTTTTGTTGATATACTTTACTTTATTACTTACTCAGAATATTGTTTTAAATTCAAATGCATAAACTTGTGATATACTCAATTATTGTTGTCAATTTAAATTCAATATAAAGGAAAAAAACTTAATTGGATTGTTTATACAATGTAGAAAATTTTTTTCAATCAATTACATAAAGCACGTTGCATCTAAATATATCAAAAGGACGATAGAATGTAAATCCACAGTACGAGAGCCCACGTGTTGATATAGTTCAGGCCGCCCTGTTATTCATCTTTTTCCTTACTAATCAGTCGTGATACAAATCAACGTCTTAGTTACAATTACCGCTAAACGTTTTATTTCGTTAAAGCGATTGCACTTTGAATTCGTTGCAAGCGTCAATTTCTCAGAAAAAGATTACAGGAATTTTTTCAAATAAATTTATTTTGATACCCATCCATAGATATCCACTTTAATTGAGATAATTTGAATTTTCATACTTTCATTTTACAAAATTTTCTACAATACACGAAATAAATGAAAAACAAAAAGATAAAAGAAATTAATAAACAAGTATCACCTAGTCGAATGTGCGATTTCATTCGAGAGTCTGTATCGTTCGCAGGCGGCGAAGGCGTATGTTAGCTCGTCTCTCTTTTTTTTCCATTCTCTATAATATTTTTTTTTTATTTTTCTATGTTTTTATGCGTACATAATTGCGCATTCTATGTGTATAAGAATTCTTCGTTTTAATCTATTCTTTTAATACAATTGCGTTTTTCGCAAAAACGAGCACGCGAAAGACGCGAGAGTATACTCGGTCTTTTTTTTTATTGTAGATTTAATTACCAGCAGCCCAATAAGCTGAACTATAGCCAGGCTTAGCCTGTGCTTTATTTTGTGAACTCGCATTGGATCTTTGACCTGAGCTATTACTGCCGTCCTGATGAAGTGGTTGATGAATATGTTGTGGCATTGTTGATATAAACAAATGTGGACCACCATAACCACCAGGCATTCCAGCACTTTGACTTCCAGTCAGTCCAAATGGAGGCGGAGTTGCTGAATGGAAAGTTTGTTTATCATAGGACTGCTTTAAAAAATATAAAAACATTAATTAATTATTGGGTATTACAGTTATTTGTTTTTCTCTCTATCAATATATTTCTTTAAAAAGAATAACTCACGTTTACTTTATTAAGAGCAACATGATTCTTGGCATACATAGTTGCACCAATATCAGTGGCTGATGATGCTCCAGAATTTGTGTTGCCAGTAGAAGTGCCAGTTTTACCAGTTTGGGTCCCACTATAACCACTGCTAGCACTCTTATAATCACCAGTGGGTCCGGTATTAGCGAGTGTATCATAACTTGCACCGCCTCCATATCCTGACCCATAACTACCAGGCTTTGCACTGTATGCACCGCTATTTGTACCAGCACTTCCTGCAGTAGCTATCTGCTGTAAAGAAAAGGTTATTTGATCATAATTGTATAAAATTATTTTTTAAATTTACTGTTTAAAAAAAATACATATATATTTATTCCTACCGGATAAATAGCTGGCCCACTATATTGAAAGCTTCCTGGCATTATTCCTCCTCCATAAGCAAAATAAGCATATCCCGGTGGCAATGTAGGATTCATCATAGGCTGTTGATGTTGGGTTGCCGTCTAAAAATTATATTTTTCATTATATCGCTATTTTTTTTATATCTCTTAACGGCAGTTTTACCTGTTGTGACATCGTTGATGGTACTGGTGATGCATTGCTGTCATTTCTTGCGAATCGTCCATCACTCATACTGGTATAAGCGCCTTGAACTCCTTGCACACCTTGTACTCCTTGGACCCCCGAGAGTGGATCGCTCCTTCCACCACCAAGACTCGTAGCTGGACCAGTTGTCTGATACCCCAGTGCCGCATCATAGTAACCAGTAGTTGGCTGCAGGTTAGTCAGGGAGGCCAAACACAAAACTACATGCATACACTGTGTACTCCAAATACGAGGAGACCTCTAACTAAATACCTAAGACAATCTATAGATGCACGAGGAAGATATACAAAGATACATAATGAGATGTCCAATAATTTACATGCGTAGAATGACATAATTTGACGTAAAGTTTCTCTTAAATTTTACTTGACTTTTTTTTTCATTCCACCTCGTGCTATCCAAGATATTTAATAATAAACTTTCACTTATTTACGACGCATCCCTGGAATTACAATAATCGCGCCAAAGTAATTGATGATAATAACACTGAATGAAATGATCTAATCATGTGAAATAATTATTTATAAAAATAATGATATACTAAAGCCACAAGGTGCGAATATAAACATAAATTTGTCAACTAAATAGAACAATAATTCAAAAATACATAAATATTAATAGTGAAAGTTTAAACAGAAAAATCAATTACTACCAAGCACCAGAGATAAAATATAATTGAACGACAACATTCCTTACAGCAAAAAGTATTAAAAGGAAAATATCTATTGAGTATTCGTGCGCGAATAAAATAAATTCAAAAATATCTACTATTGACTGACCATATGAGGTATTCTTTGTTGCATTAGTTGAAGATCCTCGTAACTATACATTGGCTGTTGGAATGTAGCATAAGGTACACCTTGACCCATGATATACGAATGACTGAGCATAGTAGGAGTCATATTGCTAGCAGCCCCTCCTGCACTACTAGCACCAGTAATACTTGCTCCTGTCACTGTACTACCAGTTGACGTACTTTTTGGTACAGCTAATGTCATATTGAATATCGTTAAAATGTTACTTATCTCAATTAATTTATATTACACAATATTATAACCTACCATTAGAACTTGATACTTTGGTTTGTGAACTGTTTACAGATGATGAAGAAAGTCCTAATGATGGAGTACTCGTTGTTGCTAAAGAACCACTACTAGTCGTTGCATTGCTATCGTATTGAGAGTCTTTACTAGACGCGTTATTATTCAACTTTGTATGGTTGTGAGATGTTTGCGTCTGAGTGTTATAATTACCATAGGCACTGCCGTAAACCTAAAATATTAATAGTAAAATAAATTATTATGCTATTTTTAATGATAATTTATCATTTAATAAATAAATAATTTTACACCCACAGAATGCGATGAACTTTGATAGGCATTGCTATTTGATTGAGTTATTGGTGACGTAAATGTCGTAGCGGACGGTTGATAGGCCTGTGATGATGATTGGAATGAAGAACCTTGATAGCTCGACGCTTGATAACCAGTGTTACTATTTGCTCCAGTATTTGATTGAGATACTTGATATTGAGCAGTAGTCGATGGAACAAATCCACCACTAGATTGATATCCTTGGTTAGACGTTGTTGTTTGATTATATGCCGATGTTCCTGTAGATGATTGTGCCGAAGGTGAAGCTTGACTAAACGTTGAAGCATTAGATTGAGGGTAAGATGAAGTACCACTATAGCCGGGTTGAGTAACGGATGTCGTTGTTGTAAAGTTATTTCCACTTCCACCGGTAACAGTTGGAAAAGATGATTGCACTGACTGTCCACTTGCTGATGAATAAGCATTATAATTACTAGATGCAGTAATATTTGATGATTGATACGATGTTTTTTGCGGTTGGTATGTTGTAGAACTTGTGCTGGTACTTCCATATGACATACCAGCATTATTTGGTGAGGCAATCATTTGAGAAGAAGTATTGAATGAACCACTTTGTTGTGCAGTGTCAATATCTAAAGTATTTGAAGATGTTGTAGAATTAGCCATTCCTGTACCTGCTACATTAGATGTTACATCCATTGTGGAGATGTTTGCAGCTGATGAATTATACTTATCAGCCGCCGTACTCTCGAGTGTTGTATTATCACCTCCGAATTCAAGAGCACCAAATTGGACATCTAAAAAGCCTATACTATTAACAGTATCACCGGGCATTTCGACTGCAGTTGAGGGAATTTTCGATGGTGGTGGTACTCGCGGTCGTTGTTTTTGTTGTCTCTGAGGTTGACTGGTCATATTCATTGATGAAAATGCAGATTGATTTGCATTTTTATAACTCTCGCTAGTTTGCTGAGTCAATTGAGTAAGATATTGGCTCTGAGCGGCAGTCAGTGTATTAGATTGCTGTGTAAGTTGAATTTGTGTTGACATACCAAGAGTTTGCTGTTGTTGTTGAGATTGCTGAGATTGTGATTGCATAAGAGATGATTGTTGCGGTTGTATTGACGAAACTTCCGTTAATTTAGACAAGTCTTCTTGTGGAAGCCCACCAAGATTCATAGCCGTTACATTTGTTTGAGAATTAGTATCTGGTAAAACTTTTGACTCTTCTCCGACAGTCTGATCATTCATTGATGTACTTGGAGTAAAAACTTTTGTATCTGCTAAAGAACCTGTATATTCTTCATTTTCCCAGTCTTCAGTAGGTTCAAAATTATTCCATGGATCACTCGTCATTTTAGAATCTTGACTAATTTGTTGTTGTTCTTCACTACCAGTCCAAGTATCAATCGGACGATTAAAAGTATGAGCACCAGAAGATGAATCACCACGATTGGCAAATGTACGAGGGCCAAGGCCTCTACCACCTCGTCCACCACGACCAGATCTTCCAGGTCCACCACGGCCTCGTCTTCCACCACCGTAGTTACCACCTTCCCGTACATTATCCTCCATATTTCTCTCATTTTCCTTGTTTTCCCGACCACGCCCTATTGAAAAAAATATATATATTAATCGTTATATAAATAAAAAATATTAAATATGTATTTGTCATTGCATATAAAATAAAAATATGTAAATTTAACAAATAAATACTTACAACCACGATTATCATGATTACCACGTCCTCGCAAACGTGGTGGTCCACCTCCTCGCTGATTACGTCTCTCTTCCCAATCGCCTCCACCGCCACCACCACTTTCTTCATGATCAGTCGACTGATCCGCACTCTGCTTAGTACCACTTGGTTGACGAGGTTTCTTCTTTTTCACTTCCCACTCCGTGGAAACACCTTCAAGGAGGTCATTCACAGCTCGATCAAAATCCCAATCACTGTCGTGAAGAGCCATAATGACCTCGTCCTCCGAACGCCGAGTAACTTCCATAATTTGTTTTATATGATCTTTTAAAGCTGGATCGTCAATACCGCCTGATCGAGTATCAATTATTTGTGCATGTTTTGACTGATCTTTATTAATCTAGGAATAATACATTATTTTTTAACTTAAACATAGTAAATTTGACATAGAAATTTTAAAAATTATTTATTTGTGAATTGTTATAAATAATATTTTAGTTATACGTATATTGTAAATTTGTGTAAAGAAAGTTGGCGTTTATAATGGAGTAGAAGTTACCTGTCCTTTTTCATGCTTAGTAGAATCTGTAGACTTTGTATGATGGTGTTGATCTGATTTTCCATGTTGTTGAGACTTGCTTTTGCTGGTGCCTCTCCCACCGGAGGACACCAACGATTTGTTGCCTGAACTCATCGCAAGCTACTAAATCCGTTTATCTATTTTCTTTGTCTATTACACCTATATACACGTGCTATTTACAATCTGTAACAACAAAATAAACATGTTATTAATATAAATTCAAAAGTTTATAAACATTAAATATTTAATCTAAGTAAAACCATATTCAATATTCATTTTTTGCTAGCACAACTATAATTGTGGAAGAAACGCCATTGTTTCCATAAACATGTATACCGGCGAGTAAAAATTAACGATAAAAAAGCGATAATTTAGAATATATAAATCCTTCAACTTATGAATCATCGTGTAACCGGTATCTTTAACCCGGTGTCTATTCGTCAAGAAAAATTCTACCTTTATTGTATGATCTATACTAATTGATAACCGGAAACGTCGTTCGCGTACCTACCCTCGTGTCACCACGATAAAGAGGCAAGATTAGCCTCGTGAAATCGTCACCTGTGGCAAGTTGTACGTTAAAGAAATAAATTAAAGAATTTACGAACGTAGTTTCGCGATACCATGTGCACGACGGACGCCATTTGTGGATTCAGGGGAAGGCTTGTCAAGCATCGTCGCGACGGCGGCACAACATACATACACACATGCACGCACATTACTATATCATTTTCACAAAATCTGTAGGTAGAATGGCGGATTTTAGACCGAAATGTAAATGCTTTAACTCACTAAGTATTGAGCCTCCAAGATAATAATTTATCAAATTATCGATAACACTAAACGCGCCAATTTTACGGTACTTATTATTTTTACAACCTAGGCGCGCATGAAGCTGTGAAAAATACACAATGTATTATCCCCCTGTACCTGGTTAGTGCGCTCTAAACGAAACTTAATCACGTGATCTCAGGTCTATACCCCCTGTTAAACACTTTGTAAGACGCTTTACCTAGTTCTTCTTACTAACCAATAAAGTATCACAATAATTAAAAACACAATTTTAATGATGCACTATTACTTTTATAGTAAGCCGTATATGTACATGAAAATTTTTTTATGCTATAATTATATTAAATGTTTCATACACTTGACTTTGTGTAATCTTAAGCTTACCTCCCGACCTATCGTCCTCAGTGTTTATTGGTGCCTTCACGACAACGACGATTTACATTACACGAACGTATATACGCCGTGTAATTTTTTCAGTTTAACAGATTCTATGAAAACCAGCCAAAAGTTTTCATTTTTTTTCTTTCGTATGTACAACATACATGTACATATGTATATGTATGTTATACGTGGTGTTACGCATGCGTTAGTTTTCCCAATTTACGAATTTATTTGATATAACCTAAAAATTATCTAATATTTTTGTGCACATAATATAAGTATTTTAAGTCATTTTAATAGTGACATGCCTCGATTCCCCTTACACCCAGCTAGAGGTACCGGAATAGATCCAGGTACTTGGAAATCTATACGTTTAGCTAAATATGGATGTGCAAATAGACCATTTTTTCACATCGTTGTCATGGAAGTATGAATTTATTTATTAATAGTGTTATTTGAATTTTTTAGTCAAATTATAAATTCAAATGTTTTCACTAGGAACATAAAGAACAACGCGAACCACCGATAGAACAATTAGGCACTTTTGACCCTATGGCTAATAAATATAATGAAAAATTAGTAACTTTTAATTTTAATCGGCTACAATATTGGATGAGTCAACCAAAAGTTGAGGTATCTAAACCGATCGCTCAATTATTAGGATTAGCTGGATATTTTCCTATCCATCCACTTACATATTGGACAGCCTGGACAAATAGAAGAAAAGCTGAAGAAGAAGCAAAAGCTCAAGAATTACAGGATAAACAAGAAACTGAAAAAGCTGAAGCATCTAACTAATAAATCAAATCATTTTTTTTTATCAGAAAGATAGTTTATTACTTATATAATAAAGTGAATTTATTGGAAAACATAGTTACTTATTTAAATAATAATTATTGTTTATACTCATTTATAGCTACACACAAGTCATACCACAGTTTTTCTAATTCATTTTTCTTTAAACCACGTTTGCAGAAGTTTTTAAAAATTTCTTCATTGGCAGTCACAAATTCTGTTGTAACATAAAATAATACGATAATCAATTTATGTTAATAAATATTTAATATTATGCATACATTAATATATTTATAAATACCATTATCTATTCCATCAATATCAAATATATGATCTATAGATGTTGTTTGTGGATTCAATTGTAGCCTCCAATTAAATTTGACATAAATCTTTTTTGATGCATGTGAATCGTGTACATAAGCAATTAAACCTCCGCCTTCTTCAGTAGATTCTTTTATAGTAACAATTTTTTTACTTTCAAGCTTGTTCAATATTTTCATTCGAAATATATTTTGATCATTATATTCACTAAAAGCTGACATTAGATGAGTGAAATTTTTTAATTTCGTCAGTGTATCAATCCATGGAGTTAATTCATTCAAATAACATTGTTCAATATTCGATAAAGTACATTTTATATCAAGAATTTCGTTTTCTTTCAAATTCTATAGTATAAATAAATCATTACTACTGGAAATTTTTTATGTAAAGTAAAAAAGAAAATTAAAATATCGTACCTTTTTATTAATTGTTAAAAACATTTGAAATTGAATAACTTTCAACACTACTGTCATTTCATAAAGCCAGATATGATCTTTTAACCACTTTTTATTAACATCTTTAAATACAATCCCTGTAATTTGACGTGTTGCAGCATTCAACTGATTTAAAGATGTTTTTTTAGAATTCAAACTCATAGCTGATTGATTAGTAGATAATAAAGGCTCTGCTCTATTAATAAATTTATGTATTAAATATTTAACTTTGGAATGAAAAAAAAAAATAATTTCATAGATATTAAAAGTGCATACATACGATTCAATAAAAATAGTTTTCTTATTGTTTTTTAAGTAAGTTTCAAATTCAGCCAACTGATCACGTATTTGCATTCCTTTGTCAATGAGATCTTGTTTCTTTTGACGTAATTCTTTCAATTCCTCTTTAAGTTCCTCCATTTCTTTATTTTTAGATGAATTAAAATATCTTTTGACTCTATAAACTAGATAAAATAATAATAATAGAAATAAAATGTTTATGTAAATAATATTCAACTTGAATTATTCAGCCATATTTGTAAACAGGTTTGTTGTTTATTTCATACGCCATCTACAAATAAATTCATCAATTTGAATGAAGACTTCTTTGATAAATGAAAGGTTCCACTTTAGTTGAAGAGTTCTAGGAATACATTTTTTCGATTATTTGTGAAAATTCAAAAGTTTTTTGACAATTATTTATTTTATTCTAACTATTATAAAATGGATTCATATATAATGCAGGTAATTAAATGTTGGTTAGTTTATTACATGTTTATTTAAGTAGCAAAAGTTTATTTTGGAGGTTATAATTTTAGCTTCGTCGAGTTTGGAACAATCAGGATGGAGAAGCTTTAGCGGTAGGTTTCAAAAAATTATTTAACATTCTAATTCAATTGAAATTTTAATAAAAAAGTTTTTTAATATCGACAGGAATTATTATCGCTAAGACATAGTCATACAGTAATATCACATATTATTACTGAAAATTCGATTGTAAAAGCTATAGAGCATCTTCCAACACCTTTTGATGATTTAGTTCATCTCCATCTCAAGTTCGTAGTCATATTATTAGTATAATTGTTTTTTCTATATATAATAAAAATAATATACAATTTTAAAATATTTCAGAACACTCATATCAATTAATAAAGATGATCCACGAATGATGTATAATCATCAGAGTTCGATGGTACAGAGCTTAATAAAAATTCTGCAACTACAGAAAGAAGAGAATTGGATGTTACCTGTAATGAATGTAGTATGTTTAGAACTTAGACTTTTAGCTATTCGAGCAGAAAAAACAAAAACCAAAAATACAAAACCCGGCGAAGTATTAGAAAAATGTGCAGAATGTTTGATGGGTTGTTTTCGAGTGTGTGCAGCAGATAACAGAAGTTCAGAAGAAGACTCTAAGCGTTGGGGAATGCTTGCTTTGGTGAATCAATTACTTAAAGTTTATTTTAAAATTAATAAACTTCACCTATGCAAACCCCTTATACGAGCAATCGAATCATCTATATACAAGGATCAATTTCCTCTAGCTCAAAGAGTAACTTACAAATTTTTTGTTGGACGAAATGCTATGTTTGATAGTGATTATAAAGCTGCTGACGAATATTTAACGTATGCTTTTGAACGCTGCCATAGACAATCGACAAAAAATAAACGATTAATTTTAACGTATTTAGTACCTGTTAAAATGTTACTTGGCTATATGCCAAAGCAAAGTTTACTTGAAAAATATAATCTCATGGAATTTTGGGAATTAGTTGAAGCTGTTAAGAGAGGTGATCTTCGAAAACTTGAAACAGTTATGACTCAACATGAAAGTTTTTTCATTGGTGCAGGAATATTTCTTATTGTTGAAAAAATGAAGCTGATAGCATACAGAAATCTCTTCAAAAAAGTTTGGCTGGCATTAAATACACATCAAATTCCAGTGGAAAATCTCCTTACAGCATTAGAAATGTATGGTGTTGAAGATATTGATATGGATGAAACTGAATGTCTTGTTTGCAATTTAATTTACGACAATAAAATTAAAGGATATATATCACACCAACATAAAAAGTTGGTTATTTCAAAACAAAATCCATTTCCTCGATTATCATCAATTATTTAATAACATTACTCATGTATCATCAAAAATATAGCAAATTGAATTAATAAAACTATTTATAATTTTTATAAAATAATATAATTATTATCTATTGTATAAAATCAATAAGTTTTAGATATTGTATTACTAATAAAAATTTTGATAAAACTTTATTTCACAAAATTTGAATGTACATATTTTTTTTATAAAATTTACTTAAATTGGTATCAATGATTGATGAAGAGAAGTTGGTACGTATGACTAACCACCTGCTATTGGTGTGTACTCGGATCTCATCATTTCAAAATTTACGAAAATAAATAAAAAAATAATATCCCTTTCTTACCAAAATACCAAATATGATATTGATTTTGTCAATAATAATAAATACTACAACTATTTTATTCTCAAAGTTATAAATAAAAGAAAAATTAAAGTGAATTAAAAAAGAATAGTAGATAATCTAACATACACCAGGATTAACTGAAAAAAATGAATACATGTATGTGTATATCGTGTATATATAACTATCAATAGTATATTGTGTGTATGTACATCCGTGTATGCGTATATGTTGAATACGAGTATTCGCTTATAGAGTTTTGTTCTTGATTCGATTACGTTGTATGTGAATTTTCTCTTGATCGAAAGTCAGTAATTTTACACAAAACTTTGAAGGACATAAAATTGTTACATTTTAAAGACTTATCATCAATTCATAATAAACGTCCGTTTTGACAAGCGTCATTTTAGTGGCGTCATCCGGTGATAAAGATCCGTCAGTGAAGAAATGCGGGACGAAATCGTTACAAACGACTAGTGCTATCGATTGACTGTGCGATTGGTTAAAGCTAGTATTCTATGCAAGTATGGCTGCTTTACCGTCACCCACACAGGTATACGAATATTTTTTTTATTTATAAACAATATGAACATTAAACCGGTATTATTTTCTGTAGCTTGTTAAAATTTCAATCAAGTCTATGAAAAATATTTTTCTGCCGGGGTATATAACTCTTGTCAAAGGCTACCTTTGCATGACGTATTCTTTATAGCTTACAATTTACTTTTAAGCTATTTTTTAATGTTTAATTTTGATATTTTTCACTATTTATGATAAAATTGTATAATTACACCAATTTAGCCTTTTCATACACTTTTTTCTTTGATCGAATTTACCTTATTTTATTCATTTACATGATAATGATGATGATTATTATCATCATCATCATTGTCGTCATCGTTGATTGATTCTATTAAGTATGCCATTCTTTTCAGACTGACATACAGAGAAAACTTAAAAGCTTCTTTAAATCACTTACATTTTATTGTGTTTCTTTATTGATCCACGGGCAAATAAATAATTTTTTTTCAGGTGGCTGGGAGTCATGAAGCTATCTATGAGGCTTATTACAATCAGGTAATGCATTGTTCAAGGCTATTATATAAATTCAACTATCTGAACGATAAAGTATCAATATTTATCTCTTATTACGTATCTAAAAGGTGGATCCCAATGGGTCAGGAAAAATTGAGGCTATGGATGCTGCGAGATTTCTTAAAAAATCCCAATTAAGTGATGTAATACTTAGCAAAATATGGGATATGGCTGATCCTCAGTCCAGAGGATCACTTGATAAATCTGGGATGTTTGTCGCTTTAAAATTATGTGCCTTTGCTCAGGCTGGACGTGAACTAAATATGGCTAATTTGAGTCAAGATATACCTCCGCCTAAAATGGTAAAAGATAGTCATATAATTATATTTTGGTCAATAATTTTACCGATTAAGCTTTAATATCAATATGATTATGTTAATAGGAAGTTTTATTTGTGATATTGATTATTTTTAGGGTGATATTCCGCCGATAGTAAAAAAAACTCCAGCTGTTCCTCCTCCACCACTCATAAGTTCAGTTAGTAATGGTGATTGGTCAATTAAACCAACTGAACGTATTAAATATGACTGTCTGTTTGACAGTTTACAACCTACTAATGGTTATATACCAGGTAATAAAGTTAAAGGAGTCTTAATTAATAGTAAATTACCATTGGATACTCTTGGTAAAATTTGGGATCTCGCTGATATTGATAAAGATGGAATGCTTGATAGACATGAATTTGTTGTGGTAAATATCATCATTGAGAGATTTAATTTTATTTTAATTTATTAATTTTTATAAATCATTTCTTGTAGGCTATGCATCTAGTCTACAAAGCACTAGAAAAACATGCAATTCCAAGTGTCTTACCACCAGAATTAATGCCACCAGGAAAAAGAAAAGATACGCCTTTAATAAGTGATACAACTGAGCCAATAAAAGCACCGCCAATACCACCGTTACCCAATGCATCTGCAATCAATAATTTAGTAGGTCTACAATCTACTAAGGTAAACATTATCATGATTAAAATGTTCATATTATGATAAATGATTAATTAAAGATTTTGAGATTTTGATAATTCAATGATAATTATTAAATAAATATATAGCCTTTACAACCACAATCACAGCCACAAACACAATGGGTAGTTACACCAGAAGATCAAGCAGCAGCAGATAAATTATTTTTACAAGCTGATATGGATATGGATGGATTTGTTTCTGGTACAGAAATTAAAGATGTATTTCTTCAGAGTGGACTTCCACAAACTGTTTTAGCTCACATATGGTAAATAAATTAATTTTATTCAATTATACATTATTATTTTATTATTAACGACTATAACTAATTTTTTTTATCATATATTATTTTTCTACTATTAGGGCCCTTTGTGATTTAGGTCAAAGTGGTAAATTAAACAAAGAACAGTTTGCTTTAGCCATGTGGCTTATAAAACAAAAGTTGAGAGGAATCGATCCACCTTCATCTCTTACACCCGAAATGATGCCACCATCTTTGAGAAAGTTCACAGATGGAGGAATAGTGGTGAGTTAATGTATTCATTTTTTGTCATTTCATTATTTTATAGAGCGATGACGACCACGCCAAGCTTGAACAAATACATAAAGAATAATAAAAACTATAGGGATTCCAGTAAACATCATTATTTGATTATTTAATTTGTAAGAAGTATCGTAAGCAACTTCAAGCCGAATCGTTCCTACAAGTACATTTCGTTGCCAGCAACTGTAAATATTAATATCAGCATATCGGGCATTTTTAATTACTATTCGTTGATGAGAATCTATGTATATCCGTTTACGGGATTGGATTTTTATTATTTCAGGATCTACTGTCTTTATGCCAATTTTCCAGGTGATTGGCAGGTCAACATTTAAATTGCTTAAAATTTTATTTAAATTAGTATCTTCTCTATAAATATTTAAAAATTAAATATTACCCAGGACATTTTAATTTTACTCGGTGTCCATGCTTCTGATACATAGTAATTCGTTGAACAGAAGGTCGAGACTCAGGTACTCCTTGAACAGTAGAATAAATACCAGCACTGTTGTTTGCACTTTCTAATACCCTTCCACTTTTATCTCGAATCTCAAAAATTACATCACGTTGGCATTTCACTTTGCAAAATTTTCTCATTATTTCCGTATTTCTTGTCTTTATTTCGAAAATTTCTTGAATTTCTTTTGGTGTAAACCATGAACGACAAGGCATTTTATTTTGAAAAACTATTAATACATTATCTATTTTTTGTTTTAATTTTTTTTCATTATTATTTAGTACACTTTTTGGCCAATTTTGATGATTATTACTCATAAAAATATTTTTATCATATTTTATTGAAGAGAAAGTGCAATATCCATATCGAATTTGTATTCCTATATTATTACATACAGAACAAGAGGACCAAGGCGTCCAAGATGAATAAATTTTTAATCCATACTTTGGAATTATTTGAGGTGATTTAGGATGCGTTGAATTAAGTGCAGTAACAGGTCTAACAGCTATTGTAGGTTCAGTTTCATCAGCAACATAAAGATAATATGGTGTTGATAAAGAATCAGCCATTTTACACCAATATAAACCTTCTTGAAAGGTTTGTACATTATACAAAGAAAGAGCTCGATTATTAGCTGAAATTACAACATTTTCTGTGAGATCAACTTCTACATCATCAGCATAAATGTTAAAAGTATTTCGGTAAAACCAGTTTACAGACTCAATGGTATGTATATCATTAGGTGACATGCAAATATCGCAAGGCATTCTATTTAAAGAGATAGAACAGATAAACAGGATGAATTAATATTAAAGAAAAACCTATATAAAAATAAATTTTATAAATGCCTACGTGACTGATGTTCCTTCTAAAGCGACTAGAGCTGTAGGATGTAGAGTCTTTGATGGTTCAAAAGAAGAGTATCGTTTTTTTAAACATTCATAATATTCATTCCATAATTTTTTGTGAATATTCCTCAATGTTTCATTCCCTTTTGGAAATTCTATTTCATTAATATCGAAATGTAGATCCTTACTTCCTGATCCTTTCCAAAGATGTGAAATTTTTTTCTTCCAGGTATCATACTTATTTTTTAATCGTACTGGCAAATCGAAAGAATTATTAAGATGTATTAAATAATATAAACAAATTATCTTATAGAGTAACATTATAAATAGTTTCATGTCATAATTACTATTTTGATCGTCTTATGTTTACAGGAAAATAATAATGTATCTGGTTATTCTAATCCTGAACTTGATATGATAAGTAAGGATATTGCGGAATTAGCTCGAGAAAGACGTACAATGGAACAAGATATTGCGCAAAAAGAAGCTGATATTAAAATTAAGAATGGCGAGATCAAAAGTTTGCAAAGTGAATTGGATACTTTAGCTGCCACGTTGAAACAATTAGAAAATCAAAGAGGAGAAGCCCAAAAGCGCCTTAATGATCTAAAAGCACAGGTATAAATTGTCATTTACTAAGTCATTATTAAATAATTAGGTAATGTGATAAATGTCATGAGGAAACTTTACGGATCCTTATAAGCTTATTGTTTGCGTTTGGATGCATGCATGCACAATATGAAACAAATAATCATATTTATTTATATGCTTTAGAACGTTTATTGTTAATTCATTTTATTATTATGATTTTTATTTATTTCTCCAATTATAAAGTTTAAAATTTTTATTTTTTTATATGTTTCTTTTTGTTTATTGATTTATTTTTGAATTTTTTTATGTATACAACTTATAGCGAGAAGAAATTGAGAAAGAATTAAGTGAAGTTGAACGAGAAACACGTGAAGAGCAGGAAAAGGTATTTATTTTTTAAGATTTTTTTTTCTTTTTTCTTTTTTATTTATAATTTACTGAAAGAGTAACATCATTATTCGTTGTTTTCTACAATTCCAAAGGTATAAGTATGTGCATGCATCAATATTATAATGAAAAAACACAAAATTATATTGAATAAAAAAGTTTAATAATTTATTTTGTAAGATTATTCATACATTTATACTTATTATAAAAATAATTAATGTAATACAAAAAAATTCTTCTATGAATTATTGTATTTGTTTAAAAGGTGGATAAATTACGCCAACAAGCTGAAGAACAAGAGACAGTTCTGCGAGCTCAAGAAGAAGAGCTAAATAGTAAACGCCAAGAATTAGAAGGCCTTCGTCAAGAAGAACAGCAACTTGAACAACAACAAAATAAAAGTAGAGATCAACTAAATGAATTAACGAAAAATTTACAAAATACTCAACTTCAAATAAGCCAAGCAAAAGCTAAAATCACTCATTTAGAAGAACAACAACGACAGATGACTGATGCAATTGCCATTTATGATTCAGCAATAGCTGCAGGAGATCCTAGTCTTGTTCCAGATACTAGTCTACAATTTAATCCAGAAATTGAAGAATTAGAGTATGTTACTTTTATTACTGTTTAAAATTTGTTTAAAATAAATAATTTATGTTGATGAATTTTTTACAGGTTAAATGAAGATAATTCGACTAAAATCAACGGAATAAAGGAAGGAGAAGCCAAAGTTGTTGACTCATTTGCCGGTGCCAATGGATCTTCAGATGCGTTTGGAGATCAAAATGATCCATTTAGTTCTAGTAAAGCAAAGAATGCCTTTGAAAGTGGAGATGGAGATCCATTTGCTAACTTTGATAAGCAAACAATATCATCTAACTTTACAAGTGATCCATTTGCTGCAAAAGAAAAACAAGATCCATTCGCGCCATTTGATGATAACAAAAAAAATGATAAATCTACTACAGAAGTAGTATGTATTTTTTAAACTTAATAGTAAGTAGTTTAAAAGAAAATAATTTTTTTTTTCTTATTTATAGGCAAAAGATCCATTTGGTGATGATCCCTTTGCCAATTTACATGCCCCTACTCGTCCAGAAAGCCCTAGTCCTGCTCTTCCACCAAAAAAAGCTAAACAACCACCACCTAGACCTGCACCCCCTCGTCCATCTTCTGGGCCAACACCAATGCGAGCAGCTCCTGCTCCTCCAACACCATCGCCAACACCTGATCCATTTATTAATACCAATTCAGATCCATTCGCTTCTCAAAATGACAATAATAATCCAAAATTCAATACTTCGGGCGGAGGATTTGCTGATTTTGCTAACTTTGATGCTAAGGTAAGTTAAATTTGGTGTTTTTTTTTATCTATAATTTCAAAAGTAAATTTAATTATTTTTTTTATTAGTAGATTGTATTTTTTTTTCCTTTAATTAATTCATAAAATACATGTATTCTTTGTTAAAAATATTGTTTTTAAATTTATTTAGGTAAATGCAGTTGATGTTACAGTTATACTACAGATCTGATGACTACCGGAGCATGCCATCGTCACAGTGATTGTTTTTTTTTCTTTTCATTTTCATATTGTTATTATTTTATATTATTTTGTTGTTGTTTTTTTAATTCATTTTATTAATTTATTTTTATTCCTGCAACAGTTCATTAATTTTTTATCACAATAAGTGTAGCAAGGCTAGCAGTCCAATGGAGTAAAACGATAATCGGCGGCTTTTTGCCCCCCTTTCCTCTTTAACTTTTCAGTAAAATCAAATTGACACGTGAAAAATCCTGCTTCAGCCGGATCTTGTTCCTACTCGAACTGCACCAACAAGGCCGTTAAGCAGACCACGCATTACACCAACACCAACTCCAAAGCTACCAGACTTTACTGAGGATCCATTTCGAGACTACCGCTATGAAGATCCATTTGAAATTGCCGATCCATTTGCCGATGATGATGATTTAAATGCAAATAAGAAAACCCAAGATAAATTAATCAGCGAAGGACGTACTGTTGATCCATTCGGATTGGAAACAACAGCATCTTCAATTCAAGCAACTAGCTTTTCTTTTAACGACAAGGATTCCTTTGATAAAGGATTTGAATCAGACTTTTCAAAAACATTTCCTTTAGCTAAAATAAATAATATTAACAAATCTAACAACAGTTTAACAGACTCCAAGAATAATTCCACAAGAAATGTTAATGAGGTTGATTTTGAGAACAATGCTATCAATTCAGTGAATAAACCTATTAATTTTGATGAAGCTTTTGCATCAAATAAAACGATAAAAACTCATAATCGTTCTGAACGGAATATAGCTCATGTTTTTAAAGATATATTTACAAGTCATGGTAATTCTAACAAAGTAAAAAACAATGGTAGTGCGACTTGGAATGGTCGAAAAGAAATGTCAAAAATGATTACAGAACAAGAACAACTTGCTTGGGCGTCTCAACAAAGTTTGCATGCAGAAGAAGAACGACGTCGGCGTAAAGCTCAAGAAGAAGCTGACTTTGCTCTTGCTCTTGAACTTAGTAAACAAGAAAATGCAGGCAAGTTTTAGAATGGCATGAATAGAAATTATAAACATTAAAAAATCAAGTTAAATTAAATTCATGCTCAACAATTAGATAAAAACATGATAATAAGCATATTATCTCATTTTTCAACTGTTTGGTCGTCTTATTTTGTTTTTAAATATCAACATAATATTAATAAAAAATAAAGGATAAGGTTTATGATGTTGAAAATACGTTAAATAATTTTCCTTTATTTTAAACCAGTATTTATTCTGTATTTCGCGTTTGAAAATTTTTAAAGAATGTTATATCATCATGTGAATATTATATATTTTAATCTTTCTTAAACAATGTATTTACATTGCACAGACTAAGATGCATTACACAATAGATAACTAAAAAAGTTAACGTTATCAAATGAAAAAACAAAAAAAAACAATAAAATATGAAAACTTTCAAAAGAATATCCTCGTATAAAAGTGATACAATTTAAGCTTATGTTCTTCTTTTATGTTGCTCGGTACGTTCCAAAGACTACGGTGTTCAATTTAAATATAATAATAGATAAAATCCATAAACACTTGATCAGTTGTTAGTTTTCTAATGAAAATGATCACGTGTATTTGGATTTAACATTCACTCTAGCTGTTACTCTAACAACTTTGTTGTTTAATAATTACGGCATGTATGTAACTTTTTAATGTATATATTCTCCTTGTTCTACTTCATAATCATTCTCATAATTGAGACTGTAACTCATTCAGTATACTATCTTTTTTATATTTAATCATCTATCGAAAATTCATTTAATCACGTTCTTTATTTTATCTTAATATTCTTTTATTATAAATTTTATTTTTTAAAACATTAAAATAACTATTCTGGAGAGTAAAAAAAAAGTTGTTAATTAAAACAAATTTTTTTCCTAAAATAGCCAAATAAAAATGTTGTTATTTTCAACTGTTTATTATTTGAATAACACATATACATTCATGTAAACGTTCTTATTCTAAACAATAACAATACACAGTAAATATAAGGATAATAAATATTTCTATATTATTATTTCAACAAAAATTTTATTGTTAAAACTAAATATTTATAGTACAATTAAATTATTTTTTTGTATTGAATCGCTGATTCTGAATGAACACTGTTTGCTTGTTTAATATGTATTTAAAGATTGATAGTTCATTTTGAGTTAAATTAAAATTTCTGCAATAAGTACTGACAAGAAATTTTTCATTTCTTAGTTTGTATTCATTTATGATTATATTTTAAATTAATAACTCGGAGTAATAACTTATTTCTTTTTAACAATAACGTTTTTTATTATTAAACACTGTAAATAATTTCATTAAATTAATGTCAATCATTAAAACTAATTACAATGTAGTCTATATAATAAACAAAATTCATGATAAAACATATCTTTATCAAAGACATCATTCTTTCAATAAAATTACTTATTTAATATATCAGTCACTTACAAATTACATTTTTACAGACTACATTGTATATACAATTATTAAAACATTTTAATTTCAATCATCTTTGTACAACGAACAATAAATTGTTTATGGTTTTTTTTATATATAATATAATTTGTTATTTAATCCAGAGACCTTTGAACGTGTTGAAAAGAAGAAAATAGACAATAGTTAAAAAGTTATATTAACACAAGTATGAATGATAAGAACAAGTAATAATAATATAATGTAAATTTAAAAAAAGTATGATGTTAAAAAATAATGATAAATCGATATATATATAAATTGAAAAAAACAAACATATGCCTAATAATATAAATAAAAAAAAAGAACAAAGTGTCTGCAAGTAAATTTAAATATCACTAAAATACGGCATTTAACTATCTGATGAACGAAAAATCTCCACGTACATAAATATATAAAAATGGTGGATTTATATTTAATGTTTATTAGTGCGATTGAAAGAATGAAAGTAAGTGTGGTGCATATTTTAAAGCACAAAAAGAGAAAAAATTAGTAAAAATTAAGGGTGTAAAATGTTACCAATGTACAGGCGTATAATAAATCTGACACGAGACTAATAATTCATATATATATAAATATTATAATTAAATAATAATGATGATAATAATTATAATATTATTAAAAATAATAATTATAATCGATCGTTAATTGAATGAAGAGGACAATGTATTGTTATCTCAATATTGAATATCATAAATATTTCATAGAATATTTCAACAAGACAAATAAAGTATTGAATAATTATTGCAGGACTGTGCAGAATCTATTGATTACAAGAAAAAAAATATTGTGTGCACGCTATTAGTTATTTAGTTGCTAGTTATTGTGGAAAAAACATTGCTACAATAAAAAAAAAATTTGAACAACTTCTCTACACGATTATGATACGTATTTCTATATGAATATTGCTCCCAATCGCTAATAAGAGCTCATAAAATACAAACTTGGAAATAATGTTAACTATATTACTTAATTAAGGAATAATCCATTTATTTTCATCTTTCAAATGTATAAATAATTAACTGTTTACACGGGTGTAATGTATTATTACTATTGTGAAAAAATGACTTTCAAATAAGTGAAAAATCTGATTCGGTAAAAATTTTCTATTAATTCTTTAATGATAATTATGGTAATATTGTATTCATTGATCTTTAATTACCGTACATATTTCAATTATATGAATAATATAATTAAATCAGTAAAATTATGACTATAAGAATATTCTGGAAGAGAATTGATTTTAGCTCACTTATGAGAAAAACAACTTGGAGCTTTTGTAGGTACAAAAATTGAAAAATTCTTAATAAAGGGACAGGATCTGATTTTTTTTACTTCAAATTGAAGGACATTGGGGTGTTATATATATATATAAATATACTCAACAGTGAACATGTCGACTACAATATATACTGGGTCAAGGGATTTCAAGTTTGTCTGACGACGTACTTGTATTGCCCGAGGCTGTTATTACTCTCGTGATTTTTTTTTTTCATTTAATCGTATATTCTTGAAGATAAACCAGATTTCACGAGAACTTTCCGGGTTTACATGTTCAACTGATCATGTAGGAAAATTTATAGAAAACCTTAATAATAAATATGGCATGATCTGGTTATGATTGATGATTTACCATTTATTGAATATAATATTGCTGTTTTATATAAAATTGAATTTTTGGTAGAACTGATTTGTTTTTAACTATAATGAATCTAAATATTAATGCTTGTATTTGACAGTAATCCTGATTTAATTTTTTGGTATTAGTTTAAGAACGTTTATTATTTAGTTTTTTTTTCTGGATATTATGATGAAGGTCGGGTTAACAGTAGCAATGCTACTTACAAACTTTGATATTACTGAAAATTAAGTTTTTTTCTTTTAATTTGCTGAATCAACATGTGCACTTGGAGTTACTTTTGGTACTGGAAGTAATTGTCAATTCATTGGGAGCCTCTATTTTATAATATGGTCATGGTCATCTTGACGAATCACCCTGGGGGCCTCGCATTACACGGTCAGTCCTTATTGTTGCTTTGCTCGTATACACCGGATTGACTTGAACTGACTCACAATCATTTAACCAGCGGTTCTCATGATCATTCTCTAATTTATTTTAATTTATTATCAAAAATCCTTTAAGAGTTTCAATCTAAAATAAAAATGATGTAGATGATAATTTACAAAAATATATATTTTAAAAATAAAAGATACTTTTATTTTTATAATTTTCATGTAATATTAAAGTTGAAAATTAAAAAAGATCATTAACAAAAGTGCAATACAATGCATTGACATTTCGTTTCATATATTTAATGATGAACGATGACGAATTGAAAATAAAACTGATCCACGCGTTTGGCGGGCTACCCTGACCCAGTTCCGGTGTGGGTATGATTCCTGTCTTGTTTTCTGAGACATTCGCAAACCAAGATATATCGATTGCCCCAGGGAATTCACCGCCCTCTGAGATTCAACGAGAGGCTTAACATAAGTGAGTATGTATGTCCTTGATTTTTAACTCCTATTTCTCGTCTCACTTTTCTTTCATCTTTGATCTCAAAAAATTTCCTACCAATCAGATACATTGATCCTCACAATTTGTCGATACATCCTTAATTCCTCTACTGACAATCTATAGTTAATTTTATAATTATTGACAATTTAGTTATTTAATATTATGTTTAATTATGTGATTGTTTGCATTAGGGTGAAAGTCAATTATATTCAAAGGATACATATATCTTTAGCAGTTCTTACGTCGATTCACTAAGACATTAACTTAAATACGAAAATAATAGCAATTACATAACAGGATCTAATATTTTTAGATTGATCTATTTATCGATTTGTTCTATTAAATAGCTTTTAAGATTACAGTGTAGTAAGAATTCATATAAATCTTTAGATGATGATTATTTTAGTTATATGTCAACGCATTCATTGTATAAATTATATGTATTGTACACAATTGAGTGAATCATTCTTGTTTATCTCTTGACCAGTTATGTCATTATTTATATACATCAACGCATTAATTTTTGCTATTATAAACTTATAATAAAATATTTATCATGTATCATTTAATACTTAGATAATTAAATAATTAGCAACAATTATTTATCACACCTTCTATTACTTATACTCACTAAGAATAACATTATTTCAGAAAATTTTTCAAGCATTAGAATTGAAATAACTATTGTTCATAAATTTCAATTACTTTTATTTAAAGAAGGTTAATAAAAAAAATTTGATGAATGTTAATGCTTTTTTTTCTGTTGACTTAACTCTTGATGTATCCTGGAGTAACGAATTTAACCTTAACATTCATATTCAACATTAAAAATTATTGTTATGAATATCAAATGTAATTAACTCTAGGAAATCTTCATCATTTACAATTCATAACTGGTTAATTTTAACATGGTTGTTGCATAATAACACTAGAGAAGCAAAACAAGTGTTTGCTGTGCGAATGCCCTGGTGACTTAAATCTTTTACGTAAAGACATAATTCTATTATATACTTTTGACTTTGCGTGTCACCCCATATTCCTGGTATCAACCTCTTTCGATTATATATGTATAGATTTTTTTTTACGTAATCTTACATCATCTTTAGAACAACAAGTAAAGGATCCGGAAAACTATGCTGTGCAAGAAGGACTTGATCGTTTAGACTTTATTCAATTACTGTAATTGAATTTTTTACGTTCATCTGCTGAAAAAAATAATATAACAAATTATTCGATTAATTTAATTTTAATTAACTTACAAAACAATTAAATTTTTATAACTTAACCTAAAAAAAATTAAAAAATTGAATCAGAATTTTTTTACTTAAACTGATTGGAATTTTTGAAATTTAATAATTAAATATATGTATTCCGAATAAATTAGTTTATTAGAGTGGCATAGACATTAATCAACGTGTTAAAACAAAGATAAAAATCGTAAACAATTATTTGGCAAATGTCTACAATTAAGTGTATGTCTTTAAAAAACTTACAATACTTTTTATGATTACTCTTTTCCAAGACACCAGCCGCACTTGACCTATATCTTATTATGCTCACAGCGTCCGGATGCGACACGAAATACGCTAAGATACTATAAGACTGTCAGATTGTCTCTGGAGGTCATGTACTTGAATCATTTTTTTTCCATTTTCATCCATTATAGAGTTGAAAAATTTAATATTACAACTGAAAAAAAAAACAAATATGCTCATCAATTTTTTTATCATAGTAAATTTTTTAATTATGTATTATTCATAATCGATTTCTGAAAAAATTAAATGGCTATTCAATATTTTGAAAATTTATTATTTGGCTGATTCATTATAAATCAATCACAAATGGGCATATGAAAAGGTCATGACCTCTATTGAGGTTCCATAGTGTCCTTGAAAGAAGACTATGGATGGGAGGAAGTGAAGGAAAAAAAAGGTGGTTAGTATTATGGTGGTGAATAGTAATAATGTACATACAACACTTAAAAATAAGTGAAAGATATGAAAGTGGTGGATGAAGAGTAATTTGTAAAAGTATCGCGCGTGCGCAATGTCAGAAAAAGTACTTAAAGAAGTCGCGACTCTTTAAGTCGGATGGCCACTCTTGTCTAAACCGTCACACTGTCCGTGTTTTATTATATCTTTTCTTTGATAAATTCGAACAAATTATTGTTTTTACAGCAACTATATTAATTACCAGAAAAATTAGTGAGTGTAAAACAATTTTCTTCATCAGATGCTGAGATTAGATAGAATTTAATAAACAAATTATGATAAGTGAAGATGAGCAATAAGGAAGAGGTGAAGTGCAGTGATGATAATCATCAACTGTTAGATACAAATCTAACAGATAATAAACAAAACATGATGGATGAACAATTGGATATTCAACAAGAATCAATGGATGAAGTGGGAAGCTTGACATTTGTACCACCACCTATGAAAAAATCAGATACCCGAGACAGTATTTCTTCAATTGACAGCGATGTAAGTTTATCATTTGATAGACGTGGTTCAAAAAGTGAAGAAGCTGATTTTTCGGATATTGGCACTGATGAACCTGATTGTATTTCACCTGTTAAACAATTTTCAAATACATCTGCATTAAAAAAATTAAAATGTAATGAAAAAATAAATGAAAATGACAATTCAAGTAAAAAAGTACCTTCAAAGGATTTAGATGAAGCCATACACCTTACACCTCCACAATCACCGACAGATCAACAAAAAGAGACGGAACCTATTGTCAGCGATGAACTTGCTGAGAAAATTTGTGCTCAAGTAGAATTTTATTTTTCTGATGAAAATATCATCAAAGATGCATTTTTGTTAAAACATGTAAAAAGAAATAAAGAAGGATATGTATCGCTTAAATTAATCTCTAGTTTTAAAAGAGTCAAACATTTGAGTAGGGATTGGAGAGTAGTTGGAACAGCACTTCGAGCTAAATCTACTAAATTAGAAGTTAATGAATTGGGTACTAAACTCAGACGGCGTGACCCTTTACCGCAATACGATCAAACATTACCATCAAGAACTATAATTGCTGCTAAGCTCCCTGTAGAAAAGCTTACAATTGAATCTGTGGCTGAAATTTTTAGGCAATTTGGTGAAATTGCTCTCATAAGGATTTTAAGACCAGGGAATCCAGTGCCAGCAGAAGTAAAAAATTTTACATCATTTTTTATTTGTCTATTTCAATTAGTTTTTTAATTTAAATTCATTTATTGCAGATTCGTCAAGCTATTTCAAAAAGGCCTGAACTTGGATCTGATGAAGAATGTGCTTTAATTGAGTTCACAGACTCAGCAGCAGCTCGAGAAGCTCAAAAACTAAATTTAGGTGATACCAAAATTTATGAACTTCAACAAATAACAGCAGGAGAAAAGAAACGAAAGCAACAATCAAACCAACAACAACAGCAACAATCACAACCGGTGAAGAAAAATGTTGTTCAGAGAAATTCTGCACCACGAGAAAATATTTATTCATCTAGTTGTCCTAGTGGTTCAGAAGAAGAAAATAAAAATTTAAGAATAAAAGGCTGTAAATCTTATTTAGGAAAAAGAGAAACGGCGCTCTCCATTAATCCATATACTTGTAATCATGGTGATTATTCTGAAATTATTCGTTGAGCATATTTAATAATCAATCAAAAAATAATTTCATTCTATATAATTACCTTTTTTTTAGGTTCACCATCAATGGATCCATGGTTTTCAAGAAGATTTTCTGCTTGTACCGTTTCAGGATCAGAAAATAATCCCCTATTAATGCGTCGACTTTCCGCATGTTCTAATTCAAGTTCTAATCTTGATAATGTAAGCTATTCTGGAAGACGATTTTCTTCATGTTCTTCTGAATCGGATAATAATTTCAATTCATCGTTATATCACCTGTCACCTCATCAAAGTCAACATAATCTTTATCCACCGTTCAATTATTGGCCAGGACAATCAGCATCAAGGAGATACTCTTGCTGTACACCTGGAAGTTCTAGCCCCACTACTCTTGGTTACAACTTTGATTATATGAATAGTAATTCATATTATCATCATACTAGTCGACGAGGCTCTGCTGAATATGGTCCAATGATGAGGAGATTATCTACTTGTAGTAGGGACTCTGGTTATGATCCTGGAAGTCGAAGACTCTCTTCTTGTTCATCAGGATCTGATTCTTGTTCTGGTTTTCGTTCTCGTAGTAATAGTGGATTCGTTTTAATGGCACATTTACCTGAAAATATTACACGATTACCATCAGGTCCTGACGGAACACGTGGATTTGGCCGAACTAATTCATCTGTTGAAAATTCAAATGTCACACCTACCGTTGAATCTTCTTGTGCTTGACCATATTCCAACATTGTGAAGATATTTGAACTCCATATATTAGATAAAAAAAATATTTTAATAAAAAGACAATTAGATCATAAAATGTAATTAAGAAATATATATTTAAGTGCTCGATGATACTCACAATTGTAAATAGTTATTGATAAGATCAACAAGAATACGTAAAATTAAAGGTAAATATTTTAAAATGGTTATCCAGTGATTATAGTTGTAATTTATTTATCAAATAATAACATTAAAGTTTAAATTAAATAAGAAAAAAGTTGTACAGCCATATAGTTGTATATTAATTAAATCTTTGAAGGAAATTTTTTTCCAAGTAGCATTGACCTGGTTGACGGTGTTTATTGATCATATAACATTATTATGCCATAAGTTTTGCTAGATTACAAGATAGATTATACTTAGATACAATGGCCTTTAAAGTTAATCCATACGTATCCAATAAATTAAAATCGTTATAATGATCTTAATTTAAGTATACTTTTTAATTTTAAATAGTTATAATTTATATATAAATGTCGCTGTATAATATTTCTATACATATATGGCGTATATATGTATGTGTAATTATTACCGACTGCAGAGAAAATTTTGTATATGAAAATGGAGTTTCCGATCTCAATGTCCGTCTCACACAGTTTTGGCTTTTGCTCATCTTCTATTTATGTATGCAAAATAAATTAACGTGTTATTTGTATTATTATACAATTAAAAATTTATAATTTTTTATTGATACGTTTATTTCAAGTTGATTTTGAATTACCAATAATTAAGTGTGTCCTTATTTAATATGGCATTAGTTTCAAGACAATTTCCTAACCTCAATCGTAATGTTAATAGGAAGTCTAATAATCGCAGAAAAGTACATTTAATATTCGATGAAAAAGAACGAAAGTAATTTATTAATTTAATAAATATATAACTCTAAATTTTTTTATTTCATCTTGATTTTTTATTCCAACTCTCATTATGTACTGTTTTTAGAGAATATCTTACTGGATTTAGTAAACGAAAACAAGAAAGACGTCGAAAAGCCAACGAAAAATTAAAATTGAAAATCAAAGAGGAAAAAAAACGAATAAAACGAGAGGTAATTTTTTTATTTTAGTTTATTTGTTGCTTTGTTTGAACGAATTTATAAATTTCTATTGTTATATTTAAATAAGGTCAAAAATGAGTATCTGCCGATATCTCACCGAGATATACCAGAAGTAGAAAAACTATTATCTCAAAAAGAATACGAGACAGAAGGAAAGACTGTTAGTATACTAGAACTTAATTTAAATGATTTAACACGTAGTTCTAGTTGGATAGGTGATAATGTACTCACTCATGATGAAAACTTGGAAAATGATGATGCAGATACTCTATTTACATCTAATTGTCACGATGACAAAGTAATTTTGTCTAAGAAAGAATTATCAAGTGCTATAAAAAAAACATATAATCAGAAGATTCTTTCAAGTAAAGTCTTTCAACGGAAACAAAGTTTAGAAAGAAAGAAGAATAAACATAAATTTCAGGGTAAAGAATCATTGAAACAACGAGCATTAAAAAAAAATAATAACAAAAAGAAAAAAAAATCGACACGTAAGACATAAATAAAATCAGTTGTTGTCTTAGAAAAATTATATTTGCATATTAAAATAATTTATTATATAAAAAAAAGTTTTTTCAGAATAAATGTAAATTTATATACCTTAATATGTTATGTTACTTTGATATTTGTTTTTTTGAAAAAAGGACAAAAATTTTTATTTAAACATTCTTGACATTTCGGACGTACAGGCAAGCAAATTACTTGTCCAAATCCAACAAGTAAATGATTTATTTCAGGCCATAAATCTTTTGGTAACCATAATTCTAATTGTTTTCTAGTATCTTCAGGTGTTTTTGTAGATGTTTTAACCCATTCTAATCGATTGCATATTCTATGAACATGGGTATCGACTCCAATCCCAGTTACTTTGTTCCAAGCAACCTGCATGCATAAATGTCCCATTTTTGGACCAACACCTGGTAAAGCGCAGAGGTCTTCAATGGTACTTGGAATATCTCCATCATATTGTTTAAGTAATATCGCAGCGACTTTTTTTATGTATTGAACTTTTCTCTGTAAATTGATGAATTTTTTATGCCTTTATAGAGTGAAGAAGAATTTTAATAATGTCGAAATGATTCTATATCTAATTCAGTGTCATTACCTTCCAAAACCCAACGGGATAAATGAGTTCACCTAGTGTAGTATCTGATGTATTCAACAGAATCTGTGGTGTACAACCATGTTTTTTAAGACGTTCCATTGCTGCAAAGTTTATTTGATCTTTTGTTTGACTACTCAGCATCAATGATACCAAGACTTGAAAACGAGTTACTTTTGGATCTGCATCTTTATCTGAACATTTATCACAGCCTTGATTGTCAACAGGTGCTGTATGATACTTTCTCATTTCTCGAATTAAATCAAAAGTTTTTTCCCAATTATATGGAGCCCATTGTTTGAGTTGGTTTTTTTCACAGGAATTCTCAATTTCCTTTGATTCATTATCCTGCTTAATTTCTATTTTTATAGGTTTACGTTCTCTTTTAATTACTTTTTCATTAGGTTCTTGAATTTCTGTAACGAAATACTTTGATACGTCTTTATCAGTTATTTTTTTATTACTTTTATCAGGTGATTCTGCAGTAGATAATTTATGTTTTCTTTCTGCAATCGAATTTTTTTTATTTATTACGATTGTAGATTTTTTATTAGCTTTTGAACGAGTATTCATTGTGAAAAATTTTGTAAAAAAATTAGGTTTACAACACATGTACATAATACATGGAACATAACCTTAAATGTGTCTATACATGTAGATACTATATATATATAGTATTGAAAAATATTATATACTAATATGTATTAAAAATGGGGAAGAGAAAAAATTATTCATATTATATCGTGCATGATTTCAATATTTACTTTATTTAATAATAAAAAAAAAATTTCAGCCACTCAGTCTTTATTGCCTTTTATACATGGAAAATTATTAGACTACGAGTCGTAAATAAATATTAGACAAATATATAAATGGAAATGAAATGAAACAACGTTCATATATTTTTTAAAATTAATTACATTAATGTCACGAATTAATGGACAGTATAAAAAAACATACGTTTCTTAATATTATTAAAATATTGATGATATATATATAAATTAATAAAATTCTTAGTGTATTAAATTATTTAAAAAAAATAATCTAAGTACATTTACAAAAAGAATGTTTTTTTACATAATTATAATAAATTTTTAACGTAAACTTTTGTGCCTTTAGTTACAGATTATTAGTATTGATATAAGATACGTTTCATAAATTCATAATAATAAAAATTTAAAAAAATAATAATATTAATAAAAAATCATTTATAATAAAATACAATTATTATGAAGAACAAGTATTTTGTTTTAATTATCAATAAATAACTATTTAATTTTCTAAGTAAAAAAAATAGCGTTGAAGAAGATGAAAACTATTGTAATTATACTTCATTGATGTTTTCTACACTCAACCTGCTATTTGACTGGAACTGTGATTGGAGTCATTAGTCAACGGTATTGGATTGATCGTCGAATCCGGCATCAAAGTATGAGTTTCTTCTTCTTGATCAGATAATGGAATGGCTCGTGTTTCATTAATTAGTTGCTTATTAATCATCTGGCTTGGCACCTCAGTAAGTACTGGCCCGTACTGCGAAGTTGAACCCACCAGCAAGTCAGTTGATGGATTCAAACCGCCCAACATCTTTCGTCATAGCATAGCGTATATAAGGTAAAATAATGAGCAAGGAAAAAAAATGCCGTCACAATCAACAGATCGGCAACTCAATAAAATAATTTAAAAAATAAACGTCAAGGGATATTAAAAAGGATCAAAAGGCATTTTAATGGTAAATCTTTAAATTCCGTTTGAGATAATATGCATAAATGTGTATAGATATATATGTATATATATATTTTAAAATTCTCACCTGTCCACTAGCTCTACTTATTCCACTTCGTTGTGATTTACCACCATGGCGGAAAAATCGTAACCATGCCCAAAGAGCACCCATTACTAGTCCTAAAAGTGTTATACTTGCACCAGCAGCCAATGATCCTTGAGATGAATCGGTATTCGTATTATTATCCATTTTAGTTTCCGTATATGAAAAGTTTTTACTATCCTATTAAAATTATGAAAAATAAAATAAAATATTAGTAATGATTATTTATTATATAAAGTTTTTATAAAGAAATTATTATTTATAATACCTTGATTTCATTGACATGATTGTTGTCAGAAGATATAACATTTACTAGCATTGTTGTTAATCCAGCAACTGTAGCACACAGTGCTACTGACAAGAGAACCCATTCTAACCATTTTCGAGTACTCACTTTATGTCTAAAAACAATTCTGGAAAATCCATGTCGAATTCCTGAACCTCCTCCACGTCCAACACCACTTTCATTTCCATCACCTCCAACTTCATAAGAATAACCTACAGTTGTAGGTTGATAAACTGCTGCACTATCTGGCATATTCTTTTGAAATTAAAATTTTTTCAACAGTAAATACTTGTTTTCAGTCAAGTATTTTCTTTTGTTGTATCAATACTGAAGAGTGGCCATCATAAATGAAAAATTCACTGAAAAATGTTTTTGCGTTTAACCAATACGTATTTGAATTATTTTTTTTTTTGACTTTAGATATAATTATCTTTTTGGATATACGTTATTATACCGTATCGTTTTTACTTGATTACTTTCTGAAAATTTTTTTTTTTTTAACTTATACTTACTATAACTATAAACGCAAATAAATATTTTTATAACAAATAATAATCTTTAATCACAAAATTATTTTTATTTTTACGGTTTTTAGTTTATTTAAAATCATCTATATTTCAGATTGTAGAAAAATACAACCAAAAAAATATGCAACGAATGATTACATAGCTATATACACACACGTGTAATGTAATACAGACGAGAAAAGAAGGGCTGGTTTTCAAAAACAGCCGACATTTTTTAATGAATCATTTACAATAAACGATGCTTCATTTAATTTAATTAGTAACACAATTTTAATTGTCATCAAATTAATGATTAAAATTTTTAATTTAATTTTTTAATTAAAATATCTACATTGTCATTTAATAAAAAAGAGAAATAACAAACAATATTAAAATACTTCAAACTATTATGATATAATAATTATGTTTTTTATACAATACTATTGTATTTGTATATATGTTGATGATACATATATATTATAATAAAAAAAATAACCGCTGTTAATTAAAAAATTTTTTTGTATTGACCATTTGATGATATTAATTGAACAAAGGATATCGTTTATTGGTTAGAACGCTCATTGTTTGAGAAAGTAGGATTGGATGATTATTGAATGTGTAGTTACATACATTCAACCAATGGGCGGAGTCTTATCAAGCGGGTGCTGTATCGATTTAAATTTGGTTTATCGGCTCATGTGGTAGCACCGAGAATACCAAAGTTATATTCTTGATATACAATCAGCTCGACAGTAGTACGTACTCAAACGTCGACTTGTAAACTTCAATTGTTCTTTTTAGCCCAATTATCACATGTGCATATCAAGATAAGAGGTTAGTCGTGAAGATAATTCAGAGATGTCTAATATGAAATCAAATTCGTTAATATCAAAGGATTATCAAGCCGGCAATGACTCTGGTCCTATAGAAGTTAAAAGTATTGTGCCAAGAAATAGGTCAGTTTTGTGCTTTGTTTAAAAATCATTTACCCTTTCAAACGTTAGTATAAATTATTTTAAGTGTTATTGATTTTTACATTAATTTATGTCGAACAGATGTTTTACAACCACGCCTTTATTTAGTTTTATGATTCATTTTATCTTATTTATACCATGGCTATTAATTTAGTATTGTCACTATTATTTTTAATTATTTTTTAAGAAATTCATATAAAATCATCAAAATCACAATAATAAATCAATTTAAAGTGATTACTATAATTTTGCTTTGTTTGAATTTGTAAACAACATATTTGATTTTGTTTTTGTTTTTCATTTTTATTATAGTATATCCTTACAAATATCAATTGAAACTCGTGCCATTTGATTTGGCTTTTAGTCACGTGTATTTTATGATTTATTTTTTATAAAGATTCAATTAATTTTTTTGTGATTAAGTTATATATATAATTATTATTTAAATATATATTAATTTTATAAAAAATACAAATAATCTAATAATTTATCTATGATCAATTGTTTTGAAACGATTATCAGTTGGATTAATATATTTTTTTTCTTCGTATACAGACAAGATTTACTTAAATGGAATGGTTGGGGCTATAAAGATTCTGAATTTATTGTCAATGATAATTCAATTATTGAATTTACTGGATCTAGGTAAGTGAAAATTAAATATAATACTTTTGTTTGATTTTGTAATAAATTTGCACAGTTAACTAACTCAAATAGAACGCTCATGAAAATTTAATGTAGCCAAAGTAAAGACTGCAATTTATCAATAGCGATGACTAAATAAAATTAACATTTTAGAACTGCTTATTAATATTATTCTTTAATCATTACATATTTACTGTACAATTAAAATGAATGTCAATAACTATCATCAGTGTGTACAAGAAATTATCATGTTTATGTAAATCATTTATTATGTGTTTAAGGTATCCAATTGGGAATTTACAACTTCCATACTTCACAGAATGGGTTCAACGAGTACTCGGTGTTGATTTAAAGAATCGAACTTTGTCGCAACCAATACCCATGTCTTTTCCTAAATCCATTGTTACGGAAGAGTTTGTCAATGCTGTGAAAGAATTAAATATTACATATTCTATAGAAGGTATAGACCGGTTGTTTAGAGCACATGGTCATACACTCCGAGAAATGGTTCAATTGAAACAGGGTAACTTTGAAAGAATTCCTGACATCATTCTCTGGCCAAGTATGTATAGTGAATAATTTACTCAATAATGATGAATAGCATGACATAGAATTTTACATAAGAATGGCTTTTAAAACTATTTATTATATATTAGAAAAAATTCAATCTACTGCTCGTTTTTATATAATCTTAAATGACTTTACATAATTAAAATTAGTATGATACAAGTCTTAAAATTTTGAAATCGTATAGAAATTATACTTTAGAAGAAAAAAATCATGTTAAAATGACATAATAAATAACAAATATTTATTTAGTCAGTTAGCATTACTTCACTATATGATAATAAAAATAGTATATTACATTAAGAGTAAATTAAAATTTTATATTAGTGACTCAATATTTGCAATACAAATAATAATTTTTTTTTCAAAATTACTATTTAATTTGCCAATGCTGTTGGAAATAAATAAAGATAATAATATGAAAATTTTATTTATTTTAGAGTGTCACGATGATGTAGAAAAAATAATAAAAATTTGTGTCAAATATGGGATAGCTTGTATTCCTTTTGGTGGAGGGACTAGTGTGAGTAGAGCTGCAACATGCCCACCTAATGAACAGCGTCCAATTGTTTCTCTTGATACCTCTCAAATGAATCGAATATTATGGATCGATCAAGATAATCTTCTCGTTTGCTGTGAAGCCGGAATAATTGGACAAGATCTTGAACGTGAATTAAGATTAAAAGGTTTAACGTCTGGACATGAACCTGATTCTTATGAATTTTCAAGGTATTTTTTTAATAAATGAGATTTATAATATTTATCAACAGAAAGACTTGATATTTTTTATTCTATATTTTTTAGTTTAGGAGGTTGGGTAGCAACAAGAGCCAGTGGAATGAAGAAGAATACATATGGGAATATTGAGGATTTAATAGTTAGAGTACGAATGGTTACTGGACGTACAGAAGATCCAGTATTGACATTAGAAAAAAATGTACAAGTACCAAGAATTTCTAGTGGACCGGATTTTGATCAAATTATACTTGGCAGTGAAGGTACTCTTGGAGTTGTAACTGAAGTTGTTTTTAAAGTAAGACCATTACCAAAGATTATCAAATATGGCAGTGTTATATTTCCAAATTTTCAAAGTGGTGTTGAAGCAATGAGAGAAATTGCCAAACAACGTTGTCAACCATCAAGTATACGATTAATGGACAATGAACAATTTCAGTTTGGTCAAGCACTTCGTCCCGAACATGGTTGGAGTGATAAATTTATGCAAATTTTAAAACAAACTTATGTTACCAAAATAAAAGGTTTTTGTTGGGATGACATTTGTGTAGCAACACTTTTGTTTGAAGGTCATGATACAAATAATATTGCAATACAGGAAAAAAAAATTTATACAATAGCAAAACAATTTGGTGGAATTAGTGCCGGAGAAACGAATGGAGAACGTGGTTATATTCTTACTTTTATAATTGCGTATATTAGGGATTTAGGATTAGAGTATCAAATACTTTCAGAATCATTTGAAACATCAGTCCCATGGAGTCGAGCAATTTCACTTTGTCGTAATGTTAAGTCACGAGTATCACGTGATTGTAAAGAACGAAATATAACGCACTATCTTGTATCTTGTAGAGTCACGCAAACTTATGACACAGGATGTTGTATTTATTTTTATTTAGCTTTTAATTATACTGGTGTACACGAACCGATTGAAACTTATGAAAAAATTGAAGAAAATGCAAGAAATGAAATACTTGCTAATGGTGGTTCTATTTCTCATCATCATGGTGTAGGAAAAATGCGAGCTAAATTTTATCCTAAATCAGTTGGAAATGTTGGCGTATCACTTTATCGTGCAACAAAAAAGCATTTAGATCCTCATAATATATTTGCAGCGGGTAATTTAGATCCTAATTGTTTAGCTAAATTATAAAATTTTAATTCGTATCAATTATTAATACATTAATATAATAGATAATAATTTTAAAAGAGATGAAAGTTACCAAATATTTCTAAAATAAACAAATCTTTTTTTATTTGGTACAAATGCGTAAATGTATTTGCATTATAATTTTTCATAAATTATTGTAAATAAAGAGAGAAAATTAATAATAATAATAGTAATAAACATTTTAATATTATTACAATTAAGTGGATATTATGAATTTTTTAAAATGTTAATTTATAGTCTGAATATTAAATTTTCACAAATAATAAGTATATTAACACTAAGGATTATTTCCTTTTAAGGTAGTTAAAAAAGAATCAAGATCATACTCATCATCGTACTGTTGTTGTTCCCACAATTCAGGTAAAATATCTAAAATTGATTTACTAATACCAGGAATACTATTAACAGATCGTGATTCATCGTGATCTTCTGATGATTTTTTTTCTTCTCCATTTTCTAATGAAAATAAGTCCAATAACTAAAAAAAAAGAGGAAAAAAAATATTTATACATGTATGTCTTTTACAATAATTTTTGTAAATAATTAATAATTAAAAAAATTTACCTTTTCAGTACCCATTGTAGTAAGAGATGTATTGTCAGTTGAAATAATAGTTTTTGCTGTATGAAGTTTGAATTTTTGTAAATCCATAATTTTTTCTTCTAAAGTACCTCTTGTAATAAGTCGATAAACATTAACAACTTTTTTTTGTCCAATTCTATGAGCTCGATCCATAGCTTGAAGATCTTTCATCGGATTCCAATCATGTTCAATAAATATGACAGTATCAGCACCAGTTAAATTTAATCCAACACCTCCAACTTGAGTTGTAAGTAACAGAACATCAATAGAGGGATCAGTATTAAAACGTGATACAATGCCATGTCTTTCTAATGATGGAACACTACCGTCTAATCGAAGATAAGTAACAGTAGGTAGATGAACACTTAAAAGATCTTTTTCTACAATGTCTAACATAGCTTTAAGCTGACAAAATATAAGAGCACGATGTTGACTGACAAGTTGTTGATTATCAATTAATGTACAAGTAGCTACTTTTTGTTGCAATTGTTGTTGTGGTTGGCCAATACCACAATCTAAAAGTAATTGTTTTAATGCTGGTAATTTAGCACTATGTTCTATATCAGATAAATTAGTGTGCATTTGACAAATACTTTGATATAGTGGATGACGTGGGCCTAAAACAAGTTTTGGATGATTACAGACATTTCTTAAATAATGAAGAGTTTCAAATCCATGACCACGTTTAGTATTATCAGATGATAATGGTAAAGTAATATTTGTTAAAAGTGCTGCATGACGTTTTTGGAAATCTTCATAAAGAGTTTTTTGTAATGGTGACAATTCACAATAATAATCTTGAGTAATTTTTGGAGGTAGATCGCTGAGGACATCTTCTTTATTACGCCGTAATAGAAATGGTAATACTTGTCGATGAAGACTTTCCATAGCAAGTGCACCGGCTTCTTGTTCTTTTTGTCCAGCTTTAGATTCACGACAGGCAAGAATAGGCCTTGAATATTTAGCAGCAAATTGTTTTTCACTACCTAAGAAGCCAGGCATTAAAAAATCAAATAATGACCACAATTCGAGAACATCATTTTGTACAGGTGTACCAGAGAGTATTAAACGATGATATGCATGTAATCGTTTTGCTGCTTTAGCATTTTTAGTTTTTCCATTTTTAATAATGTGACCTTCATCAAGAACACAATAATTCCATTGAATTGTTTCAAAAAATTCAAGATCCTTCCTTAAAATATCATAACTTGCTATTATTAAACGATATTGAGATACACGTGTTCGAAGTTTTTCACGATCAAATGGAGTACCAGCATATTGCATTACTGGAAGATCTTCTTTATCAAAAAATTTTTCAGCTTCATAAATCCAATGTCCTGTTAATGTTAATGGACATACAACAAGACTTGGTGGTGATTCCGAATTACGATGATGATCAAGAGCAATAATACATAAAGTTTGTAATGTTTTACCTAAACCCATATCATCGCAAAGTACTCCATGTAATTTATAACGATTAAGAAAATCAAGCCAATTAAGCCCTTGTTGTTGATAAGATCGAAGTTGAGCAGATACTTTAATAGTTAATTTGGTATCGGGAATACTGCGGGGATTAAGTAGTTGTTCAAGAAAACGTCTTTCTTGTATTTTTTCATCAATAAGATGAGAATCAACTATTAATCCTGGATCCAATGGTAGTAATTGAACAAGCATGGCAAATGTTGAATTAGAAATAAGTCTTACAGCTTGATTTTGATCAGACATTCTTCCAAGTAATCTAATCATAAAAAGAACAGCATAAGGTACAACATTAACACCAAGGTTTTCAACAATACATGCTAAGGCTTCTGATGCTCCTTGACGACGTATTTCGCCTTCACCAGGTGTTGGTAAATTATTTTTTGAATTACCAGATTCAGTATTACAAATTTCTAATAATGGTATAACAAATTTAACGACATGTTTCATGATATTTTCAGTATCAATAACAGCTAAAGCAGCTATACATCGTGATGCCATATGTCTAACAGCTTTATATGAATGTGCTAAAAGTTGACATAATTTTGGTACAAATTCAATAATTGGTGATAATAATAATTTATCAAGATTAGGTGCCATTATTTCTAAAACTTGTAAATTATAAATCAAATTATTAACTTGTTCAATTGAATCAACTTTATTATTGTCAATTTCAATATCATTCATAGTTATGATATTCCAAAGATGAGGTAGTCGTGTTGGTAATTGAGATCCAATTAAATGAGCTATAGCTGTTAATGCATAAGTGGCACCACGACGACGATTTTTTGCAGCTTTAGCTTCCGGTTCTTCATATGCTAATAATTCATCTAATGGTATTTCTGTAGCTGGTGGCCTACCAGGCCCTCTTCCACTACTTGTACCTCCACTTAAACCAGTACCTCTATTATAAGCAATTCTTTCAGCATGTTTTTGTCTATTATTTAATGTTAATATACCATCATAAGGATCAGTATCTTGTTGAGTGACACGTGGTGTAAATTCAATATCAGAACATAAAAAAGTACATAAATTGGTAGTTATTTTATTATTTGGTGATGGTTTTCTATCAGTACAAAGATGAATTAAGTGAGCTAAATGTTTAGCAGCAAGTTTTTGTAAATCATCATCTTCTTCACGCTTAATAGCTTCCATTAATGGTTTAACCAAAGGATTTAATGGTTGTGGTGGTTCTGGTAAACAATGTAGCATTGTTGCTGCACCAGCTAATGCTGCCATAGACATGACATTTAAAGCTAATTGTTGAGTAGCTGTATTTGATGCTCCAATTTCTAAAGCTTTTCTACGTTCTTCAAGGCTAGTTATTAATTTTGGTTTTAATTTATTCAATGCAATATTACCAGTTGTATTAGAATTATTATTCAATAATGGTAATTCTGTAACAGATTTACTTGAAAGTGTTGTAATTTGATCTAATGTCATAACAGCAGTATTTGATTCAATATCAATTGGTAGTGCAAGTTTATAATGTTTTAGAGTGGCAATGTAATCGTTACTGTCATGTAATAATCTTGTAAAAGCACCGGCAATTTCATCATAATAAATACATTCAGATAAACATCCTAAAAGTTTATCCTTCAATATATCTGGTATTTTTGGTGGATTTGGTTGTTCAAGTGCCGCCCAATGTGCTATTGTTAATCCAACGACAGTTCTTTGAAGTGATGAACGTGATGTAAGATGAGCTAATAATACTCTAGCATAACATAATGCTGGACTTGGAATATCTGGAGTATAAATAACACCTGGTGCTGGTTTAACAACATAACGTGATAGGAGACCAAGCATTCGTGTGGCCATAATTCTTGCACGTATAGTATTTAATAAACGTATATTTTGTGGCACTGTTTCAACACCACCAATGTAAACTTTTAATTCAGAATGTCCACTAATTTTCGTTAAATTTGATGAATTAGTAATATTATTATAATTAATTAATAAAGCAGGATTAAATGGTGCATGATCTGGTTGCATAGCTAAACAAAGCCAAGTACTAACAAGTGGGCATACAGCATGAAGTAATAATTCTAAATCACTATAAATAACAAGATTTTCCCAAACATTTTCTGTTATTTGTTGAATAAGGGGTTCATGTTCAATTAAAGCACGTTGAAAGACATGTCTTAGTGCTTCTTGAAGGATAAAACAGCCTTCTTCACCCCATCTTTCTTTACATTTAATTTGAAAATCGGTATCCTTACCAGTTAATGTTTCTAAAGTTTGTAAAGTAGCTTTTCTAACACTTGAACTAACGTGACTAAGAAATGGCCATAGTCGTGGTAATACTTGTGATAATGGTTGTGGTGAAAGAGAAGCCCGTGCCGTCGGTAGTGAAAGTATAGCCGCAAGAAGACCCATAAAACTATTACAAGCAGCAGCAAGGTCATCTTGATTACGAAGAAGTTCCCAAAGACGAGTAATAATAGCTTCAAGTTCAGATGATTTTAATAAACGTGGTAATGCTGAAGCAACTGGTATAAGTGCACTAGCTGCTGCTGCACCAACATCATCAACAGGATCTGATAGTCCTTTAATAACAGCATGAAAAGCATGAGGGAGTATTTGATCTAATAAATCATCTCTAACGGCAAATAAATATTTTAAAGCTAATAAAGCTCCATGTCGCGCTTCCCATTCATCATATTGTAATAATTTTAAAAGTATCTTGAGAATATTAATAATATCATCATTATTAGTTATTAAAAGTACTAAAGAACCTAATGCTTGAGCACAAGTTTCACGTACTGGTGCAACAACTTGATCTGAAACAAAATCACCAAATCTATCGAGTGCCAATACACATAGTAATCGTAATGATGCATCTATTATCCACCGACGATGGCTTTCATTCATTTCTTCAATAGTTTGATTACGTGATTTACCCGCACTTTTACCATGAAGGCGTACAAGTTCACGAAGTGCTGTTGCAGCACCATGTCGAATTTCCCATTTTTGACTAAATAAATCTTGACAAAGATTTTCACCAAATGATTCAAGTGGCCAATCTAAAATAGTGTCAGGCCAATTGCCGGTTCCATCAGGTACTGCACCACCAGAAATATTTATTTCATCTTTTTTTTCATTACTTTTAACATCACAATTAGTTGTTGTTGTTGTCATCATCGTGATAGTAGTAGTAGTTGTAGTAGTAGTAGTAGTTGTTGTTGTTGAATCAGTCGAGACTACGTCCTCCAATTTGATTTTTTTATTAAGAGATTCTGTACTATCAGATTGTTCATCTGGTTCACGTGAACGTTGTTTTGATATTGATTGTCGTGCTTTACGTTTAGCACGATTAATTTCACGTCTACTTAGGCCACTTGACTGTCGAAGGATTTCATTGAGTGAAATTTTAGTTGATTGATTAGATGATAATTGAATAGGTGCTAAATCTTCAGTAGTAAAAAGATCTGAAGTATTGACATTCATTAAACGTGGATCAAATCCTAAATTGGTTGTTAAAAATTTATTATCTTGAGAATTAGTAGATTGTTGTTGTTGTTGTTGTTGTTGTTGTTGTTGGTGTTCATGTTCAGCAATTACTAAATCATATTCACTACCTTCTGATCCAGTTAAATGTGAACTTTTAGCAAGAATTTGATCCATATCAAAATCTTGAAATGTTAATTTATTTTTGAGATACTCATAATCTTGAATTTTTTCATCATTTGATAATTCTTTTTTAATAGGTTTAGGATCCCATACGGGGACTTGCGATAGTATGGCTTGTATAGCTTGAGCTGCTGATACTCTGGTACCCCATTGTGGTGATTTCAATAGAGTTGATACTCTCGCTAATAAATGATGTAATTCATGTGGATGAAGCCGTTGCGCTTCACCTAATTGTTGAGCAGCAGCTTTTTTAGTGACTGGATTCGTACCAGTTTCAAGTAAAATAAATAACCGATCAAGTCTGAAACAAGTAATTGATTAATAAAGATGAAATGTATATATATATATATATATATCTATATCTATATATGTAATAATGAAATACCTTGATGCCATAATTTATATATATTTTTGATTTTTTATAATAAAGAAATACTTGAATTTGACAAATACCTAAAACAATAAATATGATGGTAAAGGTTATTGATAACATATTGAAAGAGAAATAATAACAATAATGATATATGAAGAGAATAAATTTTACCGCAGAAAGGAGTTTTTCATGAAATTGTTCCCATTCTAGTAATATGTCAATATGGATGATTGAACGTTATAACAAGTTGTTGTTGCGTGCCTCAAATAACACAAGTTGTTTGTGCACAGACACAAAAACAATTGTAAACTTTAGATGATTTTTAAAGTGTTCAACTGACCCGCATAGCCATTTCCCATTTGATACGTACACCACATATCATATAACATAGTAAAAGATGCAAAATTCGATATCTATGTACTTGATTTTGCCAAATTTTCGGAGAGAAAAGCATGATACAAGCATCAAATTTATACTGACAGCCATATTGCTGGGGAAGCTGAGTTTTGTCCTCTTTATTCACCCTGATTGGTCAGTTGTGTTAAGTTCAGTTTGAAAATTATCGTATGACGTGACGAATTTGTAGTTACATGAAAGCATGATTTTTTGAAAAGGGAAAGAAATATTTATATTTTTTTTTGTTATTTAAAATAAGGAAAAAATAGATTATTATAAGGGTGAATGTCATAAATAATAGATATATGTAATGTTATTTGGATGATTTAAATATTTTTATTATCGTTTCCAACAATATGTACATTGAGTAATTGATCAAATAGTATTTGAATACTAGATTATTTGACTATTATTATTTATTATTGAATAATCGATAGTGTGACGATTTTTTAATCCTTCTAGCAGCAAAATAATATTGTAGGTAGAGTTTAGTGATATTTATAATGAGCTTCCCATTCTGAAATATACAATAAATATGTATTAGATGAGATGAATTTGAAAAAGTTGATATAAAGAAAAGGAGAACGTACTTGTTCTTGGATAATTAAGGATGTAGAAAAATATCATAGCACCACATGCAACTTGGAAAAAAGATGCAACACCATTCTTTTTTGGCAAAACATATTTATGTTGCCAACGCCAGTATGCTGATGAAACAAGAAAAAGTATAATTATGTAATACGAGGTAGTGATATGTATAAAGACATGTGTAAAGATGATTTATGAACCTCTGCTTAATAACTGTGCAAAAGGTGCTGGACCTATATTACGTCGACTGAGCCATGCAGGTAATTCACCAAGTTTGACCTGACCAAATGGTGTATCTTCTGAAATAGATAACAATAAAGCGAATAATAATAATGATTGGGGTATGATTACAGTAATGAATAAATATTTGATAAATACTAACGTTTGCCATAATAAGTTGCTGGATCATATGGACCGTGAATTTCATGATTATATTCTTTAGGATATTTATTCCAATTTCCCCAATCCATGATTTAAAATGCAAAAGTAAACTATCTGAAATGTATTGAACAAATCTCGAATGAAGTCGACTGAATGAATTTAATAAGGAAGATGAGAAAATTATGATTCAATAAGAAGAAGGTGATGGTAGCGATGTCTATCTTTAGGCAAATGTACACTTGTCTTCCCTACACGATTACCGATTGTGAGAATGATATTTATATACATTGAGTTTCCAATCATGTATTTTTTGAGTTTAGGCGGAATTGAAACTCAAAATTGATCTTATTTGAAAAATACACTTGAAATCAAATTTTTTGAGTATGTAGTTATAATTATATTCACATCTATGTGAAATTTTGTATGTATAAAACGTTTCATATAATTTCAAAATTATTTTTAAAATAAAATCAAATTTTTAAACCATTAGTGCCCTCTTGTTTTACAAAAAGTAATTTAGAATTTTTAAATTATCCAATCAGATAATTTTCAACATGGCTGTTTTCCCCAAAATATTGTCTCAAAGGTAATAGTAAAATAATGCAGTATGTATATAGTGTAGTTTTTGTTCATTAAAATACTAAGTTTTACTAATCTTTTGCTTCTGTTAATAGAAATGCCCATATTTATGTAGATTTATTCTACAAAATAAGATAAATTTCTAAAATTGTCATCATTTATTTATATATAAAACACTGATATATATATTTTATCCGACTGACGAAAGAATTGCGCATTGGTCATCAATGATATCATCATCAGAGAACCCGAAACTTGTTCCTGAAATGAACGAGTCAATCTCAAAAAGTATTTTTGAGAGTCTTGACATGGAAATACAGGACGGAAAACCTAAATTTCGGTTAAATGAATCGACATTTTCAGCTGTTAACATGAAACACCAGATGAATTTACCTAGTGAAGACGATGATGATACTTCATTTGTTGTGCTAGGTAAAAGTTCATTGGATTCTATTAATCTAGCTTCTCTTGCCGATTATGAGCAAATTCAGCAAAAAAGCATGAATGTCGTAAGTATAATATATTATTTTCTTATCAATATGATCTTCAAAGCTACTAGATTTATACAAATATTTGTTTCAGGATTGTAATTCTATTCTATCTACTTTATGTCATGAACAAATTGAATCAAAAGTTACTGAGTTATTGCAAGAGAACATAAAATTAAAAGAAACATTAACAAGAAATAATGCTGCAATGAAACACCATTTTAATACTTTAATTACCTGGCAGAATGAATTAATAAAAGTTCATGGAAACCACAAACAAAAATTTGTAGAGACTTGCGATATGATTGCTTCCTTGAAAAAAGAATGTGCTGAATTGAAAGAGAAGTTGAGCACAATGGAGTCACGGGTGGCTTTCACACAGTTTTCGGGGGAAATGGTAAAATATAACTACAAATATTAAATTAATGATCATAAAATAATGTCATTCAGAATTAATGACAAACTATAGTATTTTTATTATTTAATAACATTGATAATTTTAGGTGGAGAATTCACCTGCCCAAAATAAGGGCAATTCAATTGTGGATGCAGTTGATTTAGTTGTTGATAATAAAGATAATTCTACTCCAATGAATTCTATCACTAGTAATACATCGAAATTACAAGGGTTATCCTGTGATTGCAGTGAGGAACACAAATGTTTGAAAATACGAGAAAAGCATGAGCGAGATATACATTATCAGCAAGAAATAATCTTATCGTTGAAAGAACAATTACGTAATTCAAATGAAAATTCATTTCTTTTCCTCAAAGAAGACATAAAACATTCTCTAGATCGTCCTCCTGAGTTAAATCGTAGTCAATTTTTTGAACATTATACACGTTATAATCAAAAGCTCAACGATTTAGCCAAATGCTATTCGGAGCAAACATCTCGCTTTCTTAATATCCAAGATTGTTTAAAACGATGTATTGATTCTTTAGAAATTCACAAAGATTACAAAAATTTGAGTTCGCCAAGCATTATTGAAGAAACTGAACAAGTCTTAAAAGATTGTCGAAAAAAATTGATTGAAGAACAGTTGCTTAACATTTCTGACAGACAAAATTTAATTAAAGCTCAACATCAGTTTCAACAAATATTTTCTGATTATAATTCTACTTTACATGGATTAGAAATACTTCAAGCTGAAAGTTCGAAACCAAGTCAGAAAGATTATGAATTGGAAAAAGAAAAACAAGAACTTGAAAAAATGAGTAGAGAGCTAGAAAATAAACAAAAACAGTTGGAACTTTCGAAGAAAAATATGGATGCTGAGCGATTATTATTTCAGATGGAGAAAGAAACTCTCAATGAAGAAAAGTCATCACTTAATTCACAATGCTTATTATATGAATCGCAAATTAAAACATCTAATGATAAGCTAAAAGAGCTTCAAGCGACTAATGATCATTTGAAGTCAACAATAGAGACGCTAAAAGCGACGATAACTAATGATTCTAAAAAACTTGAAAAAGTGTATGCTGATTTAGAATCAGCTAGAAAAGATGTAAGAATTATCAATTTCATAAATATCTTCAATAGATTATTATATCATTTCATAAGAAGTAGACTTATAGATATAATTTTTTTGTTTCCAGTCTGAGTTAATTAATTATTTCCGACAACAATTAAAAATCTTCGAAAGTGACTTCCAAGAAGAAAAACAGGCAAAAAATGAATTACTACGGGAAAGAGAACAGTTAACAGAACAGCTAGCAAAACTCAGAGATCACAATCAAAATTTACTTCAAAGAATAAACGGTCCAAATCCTACAAGGATCCCTACATTAATGGATCAAATACCGGTATACTAATAAATGTTGAAAATAATTACAACTTTATTTACTCGATTACTTAAATATTTCTTTTATTTACAGAATGATGCATTTTGTCCTGAATGTGGTTTATTTAAAATGCCGGGTCAATGGCACGGCCCAGGATTTTGTCAGCCCACTGATTAAATTCAAAAATGCATTACAGTATTCTTTATTTATAGATGTATGATAATATAATAATATTATTATTATACAGACATAGACATTATTTTTTATGAGTTTATTGGCAGATCTACTATTTTTCTTAATCATTATAAGAGATATTCAATAAATAGATTATTGAATTTACAATAGAAACTTATCTTGAAAATATAATTGTTAATAACTCTACATTACTTTTTCGCGTAATTATTCCATTCAAAATGAGAGGCAAATAATATTTTTAAAAAAAGACGGGGTCACTCGGAAGATACTTTTACTGCCATCTTTCAATCAATTACAAAAACAAAAACAAAATGTCTGCTCTGCTAAATAAAAAAATAAACAGGGAGAAATGCAGTTTTCGTTTCAGTATTTGTGAACATTGGTATTCGCTGATAAAATGACAGAGTTAGTAGTGTATAATAAAAATCATTTAGTTTTTATTAAATAGATTTTACATGAAAGTTAAGAAGTGATCATAAATTTCTCTAAACAACTACAATGGAAGTGACCGATCCAAGTCCACAAGATCTCCAACGAAAATTATATTTCTTGGTGGAACAACTCCAAAATATGGCTGGTGCTTTGCCTCCAAAATATCAAATGCGGCTTCCTTATGAATTACTTTCTGGCTTAGCAAATTCATTACTAAATGACACAATATTCGAAATAGTTAAAGGTCTAATGGAGATCCAACATGTTACAGAAAAACATTTGTTTCAACAACGATTGCAGTTGATAAATCAGCATAATATTCAAATTCAGGAAGCTATATCTTCATTCAGTAATGATCCAGAAAAATTAGCAGAAATAAAAGCTGCTTTAGATGTAAAACATAAACAAGAATTAAAACAAACTGATATGAGATTGGTGCAACAATTGGATCAAAAAGTAGCTGACCAACAGAGTATTTTGGAGAAAGCAGGTGTTCCTGGTTTTTATGTAACAAATAATCCAATTGAGATTCAAGTACAAATGAGACTATGTGATTTTATTATTAGACTAAGCAAAATGGAAATTCCTAGTTAATTAATTAAAACATTTTATTACATGAAAACTACACAAAAAATATATTTTTAAACCAAAATGAATTTGAATAAGAATAATTATTTGTGCAGTTTTAATGATTAATATTTTACATATTTACATTCACATTTTATTTTAATAAGACTAATTCAATATTTTTTGAATATTGTTAAGTTATAATGTTAATATAAATGAATCTTCAAAGGAAAACGATTGTTTTTCTTAACAAAATTTAATCATTTTTATAAAAACATTCAGTAATTATTACTTAATTTTTAGGAATGTACACAACGAAATTTCTTTTACATCTGCTTGTGACACGCAATATAATGAAAAAATAAATTAAAAATTAAAAAAAAACTATAAGTTATGTTTTTTTAGCATGAATTGAAGCCGTTTGTGGAGGTGGTTGAATATTTTGGTAGTCCATAGGTCCAGGAGTTTGCATTGAATGTTGATTACCTCGATCATCCATAAAACAAATTCTATAGACATCATCGTACGTACTGGCAAAATGAACTTCGAGTCCATCAGTAATGAATTTTGCTAAATCGTCAAAGTCTTTTTTATTCTCTTCCGGCAAGATAATGCATCGAACACCAACACGTTTAGCTGCAATTGTTTTTTCTTTTATTCCACCAACTGGAAGGACTTTTCCCATAAGACTTAACTCTCCCGTCATTGCAATGTCTTGTTTGATAGGTTGATTTTTAGCTAAAGATATTAAAGCTGTTGCTATTGTAACTCCAGCACTTGGACCATCTTTGGGAGTAGCTCCTTCAGGGACATGAAGATGTAAATGTGAATCATATAAGAAAGTATTCTCTGGATCTATTCTCTTAATAAAATTTCTGGCAACTGTAAGAGCAATTCTGGTAGACTCTTTCATCACATCTCCTAGATGTCCAGTAATTTCAAAAGTACCTTCGAATTTTTTCTTTTCTGATGATGGCTTACTAACAGTTGTTTCAATGTATAAAGTGGACCCACCCATCGCAGTCCAAGCAAGGCCCATAACAACACCTGGAGGAGTCAATTCGTACAATCTGTCATGGGTGAAAATAGGCTTACCGACAAAGTCACTCAAATTATCTGCAGTAATATCAACCTTTTCAGCTTCCTTCTTTACCACTTTAAAAGCTACTTTTCTAGAAACTTTTTCAATATGTTTTTGAAGATTTCTAACACCAGATTCTCTACAATAAGCCTTTATGAGTGTTGTCAAAGCATTTTCTCGAATAGTAATTTGTTCTTCAGTCAATCCAGTATTTTTCATCGCTTGTGGGATTAAGTACTGTTTTGCAATAGCTAATTTCTCTTCAGCAACGTATCCAGACATGTCTATCATCTCCATTCGATCTCTTAAAGGTTCTGGAATAGTATCAGTAACATTCGCTGTACAAATAAACAGTACTTTTGATAAATCAACAGGAACATCTAAATAATGGTCTAAAAAGTTAGCATTTTGTTCTGGATCTAACATTTCTAGTAAAGCTGATGCTGGATCTCCTTGATAACCTTTGCCAATTTTATCAACTTCATCGATAAGTACAAGCGGATTTTCAGTTTTTGTTTTCTTCAAGCATTGAATTATTTTTCCAGGCATCGCTCCAACATAAGTTCTTCTATGACCTTTAATTTCTGCAACATCTGTCATTCCTCCTACACTAAATCTAAAATATTCTCGATTTAAGGCTCGAGCGATCGATTTTGCTATTGAAGTTTTACCAACCCCCGGTGGACCGTGAAAACATAAAATTTTTCCTTGAGTTGTGCCTTTTAATTGACTCACTGCAATGAATTCTAAAATTCTTTTCTTAATGTCTTCCATCCCATAGTGATCTTGATCAAGAATTTCTGCAGCTTCTTGAATTTCTAAATTTTCTGAACTTGTTATTCCCCAAGGTAAAGATGTCAACCAGTCTAAATAATTCCGCGTTACATTAAATTCACTACTATGGTTTTCTAAAAAGCTCAATTTAGTGAGTTCTTCATCAATTACGTCCATTACAGGCTTGGGCACAACTTTCTGTTTAATTTTTTCTCTATATTTTTCTTCAATAGCATCTTTATCATCTTTTTCTAAACCTAATTCTTTTTTAATCACTTTCAACTGTTCATGAAGAATATATTTCCTATGTTGTTGTTTTACTTTTTCTTCAACTTCTCTACCAATTTTTTGCTGGAGTTTACTTAGTTCATATTCCTTTTTGAGTAAAGCCAGAGATAATCTCAATCTTCTTGAAATCTTTAGAAATAATCGAAAACATTAAAATAAAATTTTAATAAAAAATCATTCAAACATGTTTAAAAAACTTACATCCATTTCTTCTAAGACTTCTTGTAATTCCTGGGCATCAGCTCCAGTTAAAGCCGCACCTAAATCACTCAAGTATACTGGGTTGTCTACGACTCTTTGGCCTTGATGGAGCATTTGCTGAAGTGATTCTCGATATAAGGGATTCATACTAATTATGTCTCGAATAGTCTTGATTAATTCTTGAGTTAAAGCCTGCAATAAAATTTAAAGGAATGTTAATAATAATTTAAAAGTTATTAAAATTAATGTTCATAATTAACTAACCTTTATTTCCTCTGTTGTTTTAAATTTTTCATGAGTCACATTAACAACTTCAACCATTAGAACGGGTTGTGGAGATCCATCGGCTATCACTTGCGGTTGTTGCACAGGTTCCGTAGGAATAGCCTCAGTATGAACAACTTCAGCGTTAGAACTTTCAATTTTTTCTTCAGGTTTAGTCACTTCAGTAACTGAAATTTCTTCAGGCTTTTCTACTACTTCAACAACTTCAATATTTTTCATTTCGTTCCTCTTACTCCTTCCATACGTTCTTCTGGGTTTTTTACCATGTGTTTCGTCTACAGGAACGTTAATTGTTGTATTAAATAGCGGAAACTTCAATTTCATTGCTGTTTCGTAAATAATTTGAAGTAAATATAGAAAAGATAAAATACAAAAGATTTTTTTCTTTTCTAATAGTTTGGAAAAAAGTCGGGTACAAATTAATTTTACCTGAAACTGGCTTTTCTGTGATATCCTCTAGTATTTGATTGACAATTTTTATCCTCCTATGTGCCATAACAACTAGTCTTAGCTTGTCTCCCAGGTCTTGAACTTCGTGAATTTGAGCGAATGTTCCAATTGCGTAGACTTCGTCAATATTGTTAACAATTTCGGCTTCATTTCTTCAATTTCAGAAGGTTAATTTAAAATTATTATTATCAAGAGTTAAATGAGTTGAAATAATTGGTTGATACATGAAACTTACTCTTCACTTTTTTTCAAAAAAATTCCTACATAAGGTTGATTGAGCTTAACTTTTCTTCGAATTAAATCAATTAAAACTGGATTCGTTAATTCAATAAGTTTTATAAATCGAGGGAAGACAGGATTTCGGCTAATAGCAATCATTGGAACATGTGGCCAAACTTCTGGAACTACAACTGTTGCTGGTAATGTAGCAGGATAATCATCAGGTTGTTCAATCTCTGGTTCACTAAAAAAGAAACATTTTTAATCATCATCTTGGATGATGAAATAATTACAAAAATCGTGAATTACAGTGGAGGTCCATCAGTAGCCGGAGGTTTTTTCGTCGAAAATTCTCGTATACTTATAAAAGCTGAAATTCTTTGATAATCACGAAGATGTTGAAATCCATTGCTATTATTATTGATGTTCAACCATCCGAATTTTTTTCTAGTTAATACACTTTCTGGTGATGATATTTTTCCTGAAAATGATCGAGCTATTGTCCCTCGATGCCGAAAGACCGGCAATACTCGTGAACTTGTTGAACTTAACAACAATCTCATTTTGAAATAGATAAAGTGAATATTTATTTAAATTTTCAATTTATTTTGAATATCAATTAGAAGTAAATGTAATTTTCGTTCAATTTATTGGCTCGCCACCAAGTGAAAAGATTTTTTTTTATAAACTTTTCATAACATATAAATTTTGAACTTTTTATATAAGTAAAGCATGATAACACTAAATTATTGAGATACAGTGAAAATATATGACGAAGTTATATACTTTAAATTTACTTAAATATTGCGTAATGATATTTCTTCAACTAATATGAATTGAAAGAAACCCACACGATTGTAAAGCAATTTTTGAGGTTATGAAACTGACACGTACAACAAAAGTAAGGTTAGTAATCATGAAAAATAGTTGCTCTGAAAAATATTCTCACTGATAATTATTGTATTTATTTTATACTTTTAAGGTGTTTAAAAATATTTAAGTGATATTACAAATATTTTGTATAAAAATCGCTGAGATCTAGACTGTATTTAATGTAATTAATAAATAAACAATGGATTTTGAAACAGAAAAAGTTATTGAATTAGTATTTCCAGAAGGAATACCAGGTAAAAACATTAAACTTTTTATACCAATTTTTGATAAACAATCTAATAATCATTATCATACAATATTTTAAGATAATTGGAGAGATAATCCTGATTTTTATCAGTATTTAACAAAACTTGGAGGATTGAATGTGGATCAATTGAGTAAGGAAAATAATTTAGACTCCAATTTGTTTATAAAGCTTCATATTTATTGTATTAATTCGGTTAGGTAAGGAACCAGATCATCTTACCGATGAGAAAAATACAGTACTTCAGAGTACTCAAGAATTAGCATTTTCTAATTACAAAACCTTTATCCAAACTGCTGAAAGCTCAAGAGAAATTTTTCATCAGTTCAATCAAACTGAAAACCATCTGGAAAATTTACTGGAAAAAATCCCCAAATTCATTGATAAATGTCAATCGTTTTGTGATAAATCTAAGGAAATTAATACTCACAGACGTTTAAACAGTTTAACATTAAAGAAGAATGCAGAAATGTTAGAGATCCTGGAGATGCCACAGCTCATGGAGACATGTTTGCGTAATAGTCAATACAATGAAGCTTTAGAGTTATCTCAATATGCTCGTCAGTTAGGAGTAAAGCATTCTGACATTCCTATTATCCAATCTATTGTTGAAGAAATTGAAAACAGTTGGTCTGGAATGGTAGGACAAGTTGTAGGATCGCTTAGAGGAGACTTACCTCTTCCAAAGTGCCTTCAGCTAGTTGGACTCTTACGATCCATGGATGCATTCACAGAAGCTGAACTTCGTATTAAGTTTCTTCAAGCAAGAGATAGCTGGTTACAAGGTCTACTCAATGCCATACCTAAAGATGATCCTAATTTTCATCTTACAAAAACAATTGAACTGTCTAGGATCCATTTGTTCAATGTAATCACTCAATATAGAGCAATGTTCAATGATGATGATCATTTGGTATTAAATAGAGATGCTATTATTAATGAATCTGCAATTTTTTCTAATTGGTTAGAAGAAAAAATATCACAATTTCTTACAACATTAAAGAATGATTTACCAAATGTTACATCGATTGATTCTATTTTGGGTCAATGCACATATTTTGGCCTATCTTTTGGTAGAGTTGGAGCAGATTTTACAACACGAATGTCAGATATATTTATTCAGGTTGTCAGTAATAAATTTCAAAAAAATATTCACCAAGCAACAAAAAAATTTGAAAAGGATATGGAAACATTTACATTAATTAATAAATTGCATAGAACAGATTTAAAGAATGATGCTCCTATTAGATCAGTAAGTTTTTTAAAATTATAATATCTAAACTTTTGTAAGATTCTTATTTATAATATCATTAATAATAAATATATTTTTAGGATAATCCTCCAGATCAATTAGTTGATTTTTATCCATTAGCAGAGTATTGTAATGGTTTAATATCAACATTTAATGAATTAAGATTATGTCCTCCAGTAGCACTATCGGAATTCTGCGTGTCTGTGATTGAAGAATCATTAAGTACTGTTGCAAAAGGCATTCTAATGTTTTATAAACAGGAGCAACAAGCTTTTACGGTCACAGAAAGAGAAAATATGGTTAAATTTGTGGAATGTTTTAGTGATTATTTAGTTCCTTACGTTCAATATTGTATACATGCCATTTTTCCTCAAAATCAAATTGCATCTCATCTTGGAATAACTATCACTCAATTACAGAAAGAGGTAAATTGTTAAATACCTTCATTAAAAAATATACTGAATTTAATATTTTATTTTTTTCTAGGGAATTACTTATTTAAATAGAAAAAGTATATTAGAGCCTTTAATGTCATTATTGCCTATTAAAAGTATGATTCAAGAATCATTCTTTCCTTCGACAATTACTCCATCTGAAGTTTCTAATCAACCTACTTCAGATGCAATTACAGCAAAAGCTTCATCCAATCAAGAAAACATTCAAAAACTGGATAATGTAGATAAAAATTTAGAAAATGTATCCATTACTCTAGAGGCTCAGGAAAATGATGAAGAAAAAAAAACAAACACAGAAGAAGAGGCGTTAAATGTTAGTAAAAGAGTTGAAGAAAATATTGACAACCAAAGCTAATGGAAAAGTTGAATATTATTCATTCATGTCGTTTTTTTTATTGTAAATAAATATTTGTTTATTAACCAAATCAATTATTTAATGTGTTACATTTTATCACGATGTAACTTTCACTTGAAATGGCTGATATAAATTTACATGTTTTTACATAGTGAAGTGTGCTTAGAACAATAATACTTAACAAATAAATTTTGTTAACTAAAAAAAAATAGTATGATGACAAAATAAATATTTCTGTGTATTTTTATAGATTTAAAAATTTGATAGAATTAATTAAAATTGAACATGTCAATAAATCATTTCATTATTATTTTATCAACAAAAAAATAAAAACAATCATGCAGAATGCAAAATTAATTAAAAATTCGGTTAAATTAAAGAATATTAGAAGTTTCTGCCAATTTTCTAATACAAGTATTTGATTCACATGCATGATTAATTTTGTCCTCATTCTCACTATGAAATAAATCTGATTCTTTATTTGGTAAATTCTTATTGATAAAAACTTCACCATTTGAAGTAGTAATCGAAGGCGTTTTCATTTTTTTTATTACTACTTCATTCTTTTTTAATAAATTTTCTAAAACGAACACTTTATCTAGTGAATTGCTATCTTCATCAGAAGAGCTAGAATATCTTCTTTTAGTTTCTTGCAGTTTATTATTTAATTTATCATTATTTACTGAGCTTCCGAATTTCAACAGCTCTTTCTCTAGCCTTTCAATTTCATCTGTTTTATGAACAGGCTTTAACATCATTAATTTTCTTTTCATTAATTTATCATAACTTTGCCGTGTTTTTATAAAAGATTCTTTAAATTGAGAGATTATTTCAGCATTTCTAGTAACAAAAGAGTTATCTCATAAAAATAGAATTAGTTTTATCACAACGAAATAACTATTCATTATAATTAACACATCTAACGGGCATTAAAATATATCATCTCTTAACATTAACATCACATTAATTTCTAGAAAAATGAGTGAACAACTTACGTTTTAGATTGATTATTAAAATTCCGAGTAGTTCTTCTACGTGTTTCATTATGAGAATCAGATACTTTTGAAATTGGCTCAGAAGAATATTCTTTAAGCGGACGATGAGTAACTTTAATATCACCAGTAATTGAATCCAATGTATATACCACAGATTTTTTTAAAGAATAATTATTTATAACAATTTCTTGATCTTTGTTCTCTTCAGCTTCTTCGAGACTATTAACACCAGAAACAGAATGATGAACAGGTGATCCTCCATTAGTTTTATTCATATTTGCTAAATATTCTTCTTTCCGAAGTCGTCTACCAACTGTGATTTTTAAAATTGGTTTTTTATTGCTTTGTAAAGGTAATCTAGGTACAGATGATGTTATGGATGATTTCGTATTATCAAAAGTTGGAATAATAATAATATATGGATTAGATGTGGTACTCGATAAATTTGATGAATTCTCTTTCCTTTTTAATGGGTTCTGTTGATTTTCTGAATTATTTTGAGCAACTTTAGGTAATATTTTTCTAAATCTTTGAATGTTATTCGATACTGGCACCAAAGTCTGATTTATTGTGGGTATTTGGTCAATAAGGCCTGGTGTTAAAATAACAGGTGTGCCTTGAAGAACAGGAGATAGTAATATTTCAGTCTTAGCATTGTTTTCAGCAACAGGCGTATTCGTTCGTTGAATCAGTTTTGTATCAGTTGTTTCTATAACATGTGGAATAATACTACGGTTTGGAAATATTGATGGTATTGCAGTTGGTGTCAAAGAAGGATATTTGTGCAATGGTCTTTCAATATCATTAGGTTTGAAATGGATTTCACATATTTGAGTATGGGTATTCGGTTTCCAGTTCCGTTGATCAATAGCTAAGAGCCATTTTTCTAGAAGAGCCTCATCATGTAATGGAAATCTAATATAAAAGATATTATTAAATGATAACTGATTAGAATGTTTTTAAAGAAAAAGAAACTTACTTGAAATAACTAATTCTTCTATCGTTAATAGATTTATAGCTGTCGCACTCGAAGACACAACAACTCTGCATTCTCTTAGATAAATTTTAATTTATTCCAATAGATATTTACCTAATTTTATAGAGAATGAATGGGTAAAACATGTAATGAAATGTCAACAAATAATAGTCATTGTAGCCTAAATTTCTAGAGTAAAAACGAATTGTATGAAACTACACGCGAAATTTTGTTGTGTCCGGCTGATTGTTTTACTGTCTGTGGATAAAATAGAGCGAAAAAAGTAACGGAAGTCCAACGACTTATTTCCGGAATTTCAATTTCAAATAAATACTCTATACATAGTAAGTTTATTGATATCAAACCATATCTAATATTTTATAAATTATTTTGTATTTTTTAGTTATAATAAAAAAATTTTTAATTTTAAAAATGCATTTTTACATAACTATTCAAATTTAAGATTATAAGTGAATTTTATTCATAAGTAGATTTTATTTCCTTAGACTATTCTACGATTGATTGAAGGAAAAAACTTTCAATCGTTTCAAGTTCTTTAAAATTGAGCAATAATTCATACATACTTTACACTACAATTAATATAAAAACATAGAGTATTTATCCATGATCATTCATTCTGATGACTATTAATTCTGTTTGTATTTTTAATTATTTGTTAATTATTAATGTATGGTCAATGTTCTTCAAAAAAGTAAATTTAGTAAAACCATAATATTTAAAGTAGAATTTTTATTGATATTTTTATCATGTAATAAATTTATCGGTTGGACTTGGCAACACGTTCAAGTTCATCCTTCTTTTTAATAGCATAAGAGTTTGATGACCCTTTAGCAGCATTAATAAGTTCATCAGCGAGACTTTCAGCGATTGTTTTAATATTTCTGAATGCAGCCTCACGTGCACCAGTGCACAATAACCAAATAGCTTGGTTGACACGACGTAAAGGTGATACGTCTACAGCTTGTCGACGAACTGTTCCAGCACGTCCAATACGTGTTGAATCTTCACGTGGTCCAGAATTTATAATGGCCGTAACAAGCACCTAAATAAATAAATATTATTATTGTTATTTCTGTTACAGAACTCAATATTAATTATAAATGCAAAAGAAATGTGTAAAATTCTTTAGTAATTGAATAGTAATAATGTTATTGACAACTTACTTGGAGAGGATTTTCACCAGTGAGTAAATGAATAATTTCAAATGCATGTTTAACAATCCTAACAGCCATCAACTTTTTACCATTGTTACGACCGTGCATCATCAAGGAATTGGTAAGTCGTTCAACAATGGGACACTGAGCTTTACGAAAACGTTTTGCTGCATATCGTCCAGCAGAATGCGGTAAATATTTAGCATTTTTCTCTTTAACTGCAATATAATCTTGCAGTGATAAATCACTCACTTGTACATCATCACAACTCCAACGACCAAACAATTTTATTTCTGGCAGCTCAGCAGACAAAGCTTGTGGCACTGTTTCAGCACCAACGGTGGATAGAACCACGTCTTCATACTGTTCTACTTCCGTCATTGTTCACCTGGAAGTTGAAAAATATTTTTTGGTTATCTAGCTAGAAAAACAACACAGCATGCGGCCATGTGGCCATAGGCATGTTGTGGAGACACGGTTATCGCTTTTATTGCACAATATAGAGAACAAACACATTTTTTAAGAAACTTTGCAAAACCCAAAATGATTTAAATTTCTTTAATTACATTTGCCGACAAAGTAAAACGATCTATAATTTAGAATCTTACCCTATATTATACGCTCACGTCTCTCTTGGAGCAAGCGTTAACCGGAAAAGGCCATGACAGTCATGGCGGTCTAACCTGTAAACGCCGGATCTACTCTAGTCAAGTTGTCAATTAAAAATAATATAAAAAAATTATCATTGTTTTTAAAAATTAGTGATAAAAGCAAAAAAATATAATAAATAAAATATCAATTTTATTTATAATTATAAAGTAGTAGGTAATAAAACATCAATTCATTAAAAATAAATTATTTCAATACGAAATTATTTACTCATTAAAAACTAAACTATATTAAATCAAAAAAAATATTTATTAACTAAATAAATTATTAAAACCATTTAATTAAATTTTTCAAATATATTTTAATTATTGAAAAAATTTTTTAAATACAGCGGTTTAAAGTTACCGATCGAGCTGGCGCTGAAAAATGCTATGATGCCCGCTAGGGGGTGTTAGTATGTCAATTGCAATGGCGTCGGTTTTCGCATTTGCGTCTCTTTTTCTTTTTCTCGTGTGATTTCGAATATTTTTATTAGAAAATATCAAAAATATATAACCAGTTCGCGTGTATTACGTTTAGTGAATATAATTCAATAAAAAAGTGCTAGTAAAACGGAACGATTGTTAAAGGATGTTACGATAAATGGAACAACCAGTGGTCCTGCTTAAACTTCAGGACAAAGCATTATGGAATTTTTAATGAACAGCTAGTTGGTGAGTAAACTAAATTAATATCACTGATTTTATGTATCAATGCATGAATGTTATTGATTAAAAGACAAGTAAAATAAAAAAGGAACACCTTTAACGGAAAAATATGCCAGTTTTGAGCTTAATGTCATTATTTATTCATACCTAAAATTTCGCTTATCTATCGGTCTACATATTAATCACCAAATAGACAGTGCGTATTTAATACAAGTATAATTGCGATGAAAAATGGCTATTAGTATGTTTGGTTGACTGGTAACAATGATGGAGTATTTTGGCAGTCAAGGTCTATTGTGATTCTTGTTATTCAGAAGATTTCTTTAGTTGTGAGTTTGAAAGGAGGAGAAGCTTAGAAGGGTGGTTGAGAGGATTGAAGTGAGTGAATGGAATAGGGTAGGGTGGTAAGAACGGGCAACGGCTAGCCATGTGGTTATGAGAGCAACGAGAAAGACGAGGGCAGCGAATTTACGACCCTCGGCTTCGAATCGTCGAGCCATCTCGGATTCCACTTTATTACTTTGAGTAAGATTAAGCTTTGCTCAACATGGGTCTACCACACAGTCGTTAACGCGCTCACATACATAAATATACCTACTTTTCTTTGCTTCCAAAATTATTATGTGATTTTTCTGAACAAATTTAACTGACGAAATATCTTCCAAAAATAATTATCATTAAATAACTGGGAAACTCCAAAGGGAAAAAATTCAATCTTATTACAAAATAATGAATAAATAATTACTTAGATAAATTAATTTTAATATCAATTTAAAACAACTAATTAGTTTTACGTATTTATAAAAATATTTTGATATAAAATCACTTTATGTCTCAAATAGAAAATCAATAAGAGTTTAGATAAAAATGAGTGATAATGATTAGTAAATTCTAATAGCTCTCATAATAATGTATGACCAATTATTTGAAGTCTATTAATGATTAGATGAATTATGAAATAGATTTGTTGAAAGTGAAAACTTGATTAATTATTTCTATTGAAAATTTTCAATGGTATAGTTTTTAATAGTGTTTTTTCTCACCGAAGACCGCAAAACACTTTAACCGTTGATATGTTGGCATATAAACTAATGAAGCGAAAGTTAGTTGAATAGAAATTTAATCGAGAATTCAGAATTGCTATTGCGGAACTAAATTAGTAACGCTTATGGAGGGACATTATATTGCGAGTTTCAAAGTCTCGGCGCCGACCTTACTTCTCAACAGACTAAAAGAAACGGCTGTTATTACTTTTTTTTTTTTTATCTTTTTCTCTTTCTCTGTTTCTCTTCCGTGCACAACCCAATGTATAGTCATTAACAATGAGAGCTCCGTAAAAAATGTAACCTAATAATATAACACTCTGATCTTCCATTTTTTATTTTTAAACTCTGAAATTATTTACCAACATCATATATACTTATTTATGATTATTTTTTTTTCATTTTCAAGTCTTTTCCATAATGAATTCACAATCTACCATTATACATTTTTATTCATTGCGAATAATTTACTGATAAATTTATTTCGATGATAATGTATTATTTATATGATATTGGTTTTATTGCACATTGCGATTACGCATGACAACAGAATGTCAGTCGAAATTGCATATTGTTTATCTGTCATTTCATTTCTCTTCAATTATACTTATACCAGGTGTGCGTATTGTATGTCGATAAATGAATTACATGACACGCCGATCATTTTCAAAAGACCGAGCAGACAAGAGGATACTCCATCGATCCATGTGACATCCTCTCAGTACAATAATAATTATTATTATAGCTTGTTACGTGAACTAATTGTGAACGTCAAGCTCATCACAAATTTCTATTTCTCTCTCTTTCTTTCAAATTACTAAATTAATAATCCTACTGTGATAATATATTTAAATGTTATTATCAGTCATTGGTATTATTTAATAAAACGTGATAATTACTATTATTACTGTCTATAAATTAATATTTATTATCAATAATTAATTTTTATTATTTATTTTCTTTCATTTTTTTTATTATGCTCGGAAATAAGTTGAATGAGGAAAGTTTGAACAGAAATTGAATCTTTAGAAAATTAATTATTTTGAAATTAGATATTGCTATAAAGTAAATGAATTATTTTCTATTATTTAACAGTTTAATTGCGAATTATTTAATCATAAAAATTAATTTTTTTTTTTATTAAAAAATTAAGATTTATTTGAACCAAAGGTTAATATTTAAAGGAAATAATTTTTCTCTGTGTTTATGAATTATTTTCTTTTTGTAATACAATTTTATGTTCATATTTTAACAAAAAAGAAAAAAATACCCAACATGTTTCTCTATTATATTACATTTACTTTATTTGACGTAAACTAGAAAATATTCCCGGAAAACATAAAATAATAATAATAAAAAAAAAAAAAAATGTTATTTTCTGCAAAGTACCTGTGATAGACGTTTACATTTCTATCTCTTTCCATTCAATTAAACTGATCGAACAATCGTTTTCATTCGACCATGCGTACTTTCTATCCTTACTTCACTTAGTACTTTATACTATTATTCTATCCTACTTGTTCTCATGAATTTACCGTAGTCCTTTATCCTTTCTCCAATAGTCTCTCTTGCTCTTGCGCAGCTGAATTGTTCAGTGAACGAAGAACGATTTGAGGGAGCTCTGTCAGGGCGCGTTACATTATTATATTCTGTGGGCTTGTAGCCTCATACCGTATTATTGTCATGTTTCAACAATGCAAGTTGAGGCAATATGAGTAAAGAGGATAGAAATATACCGTTCTGATCATTTGAATTTACTATTAATACTACGGTTTATGTAAATGTATTAATGTTTAGATTTTATGCGTATAGATTTCGCGGTAATTATGCAAATCAATAATTTGTAACGGTCATCTCATTATGTAATATTATTGAATTATTAATAATAATGATTAATGATTGGAAAATTTTATTTTTACCATATATAAAAGTAATAATAGTAATTCTTACATTCTGTAAATGTAATAAGAGTATTAATTGAATTTTTATATTGAAAAGAAAATGCTTCAATTAAAATAATAATTAATGATACTAAAAAATATTTGAGTAGTTGAATTATTTAATGAAATAGTCATTTGGAGTAATATTTATTATGAAGGAAAAAAATAAATATTGCTGTATTGATTTTGAGTGTTGTAGTTAATAAATAATTATCAATCGAGTTGACTAATGATAAATTTATGAGGTATTAATAACAATAACACTGTTGGATATAATTTAATTATTGTTCTCTAAGTTATAAACTAAATTAGAGGTATTTATTGTTTAATTTGTAAAGAGCTCCATTGGTAGGGTAAACTGTTTTTCCCAAGGGCCACTTCCAATATCTGATTTTTCGTGTCTATGACCTCCATCTAATAGTCACAACACTTTCAACTCACACTGTGTGTTCTCTCCCCTAGTTGTGTCTCTAACAAAAGGGAATAGAATAAAATTTACCTCTGTTATACAACCTTATGTACACATATGTACGTATATGTATGTGATATAAACTCACTTGTTCGTTAACAATACGCAAGTGTACTATTTCTAATATCTTTGTATATTATACTTTTTTACTTTATTTTTTTTGATATTTCTAAATTTTTTCCTTGCAGCCATTTTCCACCTCTTTTCTTTCGCATTTTCTTTTGTTCGAACGTAGTCCTCGACAGTTTATGCCAGACTGCTTGTGATTATTTTTCATTTCGGCGTTTTTTATCAGGCTTTTTTATTCAAGTATTATTATTGTTGTATGAAAAATTTTGTCAGAATTTCTAGGTTTTCGGTAAAAAATATAAGTAAAAATAGAGACACATATTATCTTGAATTTTCACTAGATTTTTTCCGATAAAGACATTAATATTTATATTTTGGAGTAAAAATAAAAATAAATTACACAAATGTGTAATTAGTTTTTATTTAGCTTAGAATAATTAATATACAAAATATTCTTGTTGATCCTTTATTCATAAAAATAAATTTTAATTCAAGACATGTAGTAGGAAAAAACTTTTTATTTAATTTTTCTTGACATATTTTATTATATTTTTATATGAGATTATGTTAGAAAACTTTTGAAATAGTCGGATATCTTATTTTATTCCAGAAATTTGAGTTAAAAGAAAAAATTTAACAAGTAGCTCCTTTTTTTGTGCAACATTGTCTTCAACATTTTGTCCCCTTGTCACACATAATAATTCTCTTACATTTCTCTCTCATTTTTCTTGTACCAAGGCAAACACGTCGCTTACCACTACTAGACGCCATCACTTTACTTATATTTTCTCGTACACACTACTCGTTTTTACAATTTCGTTATGCAGCCATCATCAAGGTTTTCACTTATTCACTAAAA